AAGAACATAATCGTTACAACATATAGGTGGGTAAAATCACGGATTAAGGATTACTAGTGATAGGCATTACTCGATAGTTTCAAATTATTTATTTTCTCGGTTGTTCTTATGAACTATCGACTATCGACCATCGACATTATCGATTATTGAAACTACTGACAACTACAAACTACCGAAACAATCAATATTATATTTTAATAGTAACACATAATAAAATAATAACCAATTATGTTTATAAAACAAGCAAATCAACCCGATACAGAAGCGCGTTAGTTTAATAATATGACATTCCCAACTTCTAACCTACAACAATGTACTATACATAATGTGAAATAGGAACAGGATATTTTTATGAATTTTACATCTATTCTGCGAGTTTGAGCTCTATTTCATCGGACATTTATAACTCTCAAAAATACCCACACACAAGAGTGGCTTGCCTATGGTACGACTATATCAAACATGTATTTTTGTAAGACTTTAACCTGCTCTACGTGGTTAAGTTCACAATTTTATCGGCAAGTACCTTATTATCATTTAGATGATAGCGAAGAGAAACACAGGCTAACAGAAATATTACAATAAATATCTAAGGCACTAATTAAGTAATTAATGAGATTTACCGTCTTTAAATAAAATGAATAAAAATTAATTCAATTGCCATGGAGTCAGATTTGCCCGACGAATCTAACTAGCTGTATTCACATTTGCCTGATGATAGATTCGCCTGTTATAACCGAGGAGAATTTGAGGACGTCGGGCTAATCTGACTCCCTGCAGTAACATTTGCCTGGAGTCAGATTTTCCTGGCACACCGGCATACCGAAAAAAACCGGTACCTATGTAAACACTTACCGAGTACCATTTAATCAATTCTATACATACATCCAGCTTTAGGATATCATAATACTCTCCTACTCGGTAGGTTAAACACTAAGTTTTGGCACTCGACATACAAATTTGTAACGATGGTAGTAGAGATTAGTTACTAGTTAGTGGCCAGCTTTGCATATTATAGAAAAATGTAAAACTTGCAATAAGTAAATTTTTCACCTAAATTAGAATCTAAAATGACTGTAAAACAACAAAATTAACTTCTAAAATTAAAATGTTTAATTTCCGCGCATTATTAATTTTGATTGTATTATTTATAATATAATTGTGTTAACAATAATTAATTACTATTTCAAAACAATTAATAATAATTAATGTTTACCGTTATAAAAATTTTAGATTTTTCCGGTAAGAATAAATACATTATAAATAATATATATATTATGTAGAGACACTATTGGATTTTTGCAGCTCTATAATTTTTACACAGTTACATAACTCCCTTGCCTTAAAATATGTGAACTACAAAACTCTTTTTCCACTCATCTGATATTTTATCTTCTACTTTATTTTCAATCGTTTACCGCCCTATGCTTAATTCCCCCAACTTTTTCCACATTTCCACTGATACTTCACCAAAAAATACTGACTGTACTCAAAGGCGTAAATAAGTGGGGCTGGGAGGGGCTAAGTTCCCTCTTAAATTGCTATAGCCCCCCTAATAACTATTGATTTTACTACATAATACATTGGAAAAAAATATCATTTTTTTGCGCATCACGAATGATTCGATTGGTGCGTCGAGAACCACGTAATCGCGCTAACGGGTAGTTGGTCAGTGGACTGATTTTTCTGAATATCTTATACATAGTTATGGTTTCAATTTAATTTGTAAAGTTTTATTGTTTAAATTATAATGTTTATTATTTTCTATTATCGATATTTATAATAAATTCATTGTATATTATCCACATTAATTGATGTCTATTGAGAATATACAATGAATGAGCTAAAGAGTACACTGTTTTAATATGAAAAGCAAATCCTCGAGAAAATCTATTAAAAAAGCTGAATGTGATGACGATGTCAAGCAAGATGAACCTGCAGAACTCTCTGAAAAAATTTAATGTGATTTAATATTTAGCATGTGACTAAATAAAATTACGATGTAACTAATTAATTTCATAAAGATTTTATAATATAGTTTATTGTAGTACAGTAGTATTTTATTAGTACCTATCATTATACTATTATAGTTTTAGGTATACTGATCACTATTTTAAAGTTAATTTATTTTTCAAATTTCGTCATTTCAATTTAATTAGGCACATTCAAAACGTACTTATTTTAAAATATTAAATGCTTAAATCATTAATAAAATATTTTGAATACATACATTTCAGATCCATCAGGTAAGCTATTTAACGTACATATAATATTTTAGTTCAAATTTAATTTAATTAAACAAAAGGATCTTATCAAATAAGTTATAGAGGAAATAAAGACAATTTAACTAGTTTCGATATCAATTTTCAATAGCGGTTAAAACCGTTAAACATTGATACAATATCAAAATCATAATTGAAACCATAAAAATTTAAAATCGAATTCCAAAACTAAAATCAAAATCGAAAAATAGTTAATACTTATTTCCGAAAATGAAAACAAAATCGACTTAAAATATTTTTAACTGAATTAAAATAATAAAACAAAATTTAAAATAATAAAAGCATTATTTTCATATTTTTTCTATGTTTTTTATTGTTTTATTCAATTATTAAAGAACTACAAAAACTCACAAGAACAGTCGTACCCTCTAGAAAGGGAACTCAACTGTTAGGCGTAAAGATTATGTTTGATTATATTAAATTTGAGTTGCTCATCCCTGGTCAACGAGTATACTATTAAGATTTAGATTTTAGTTTTTCCTAAAGGTATTTATACAGTTTGAATCCACATTATTTCTTAAGCTAATGGCAAAAGTTTTATTATTCAACACATCACATAGAACTACATATTTTAATAAATTATGATATCTTACTACATCTAGTTTAAATTGCCATCTACTTTATTATTAGTATGCACATTAAACACATTTTTTCGAGTACATACATTTTATATTCATGGATTCGAATAAAACATAGTACCTATAGAAATAGTATAAAAATTAGAAATAAACATAGTTTCACAAACGTACCTACATTATTTTGCATATGAGAATGCACTGCATTATGCATCGTTATCAGCGGAGGAAAAACACGAAATGAGTAATTACTCCATAATTGGTCACCATCGGCTACTTTCGACGCCGCATACAGAGAATTGAATAACTATTCGATTATTGATAACGTGTACTATACGTATTTTCTACCTCGTATATTTTACATTTACTTCTACTACGTGTACTCAAACAAAAAGCAAAATTAAATTTATTAAGAAGACGTTATACCCGCATCTACTGTCTCAGTCTAACTACCGGGTAACATGTCAACATAATGCTTACGAAGAATAAGTAAAACTAGCTTAATTTTGATTGTAGAATAAAAATACTTATTATGAAACTTATAGGAAACAATATTTCGGAGGAAATGTCATAGGGTTTTTGTGTTATTCAAAATATACAGCTCGGTATAAATGATACAAAAACTTTTTTTTTAATTTTTTAAATAACTGTAACTTTTTTAACAGTTCATAATTCAAAAAAAACACCAACGATGTTCCTTCCAAAATATTATTCTCTATACATTTTATGATAAGTACTTTTACTCTAAAATCAAAATTGAGCTAGTTTTGCTTATTCTGAGTAAGCATTGTTTTGCATGTTACTCGGTAAGTTGAACTGAGACAGTAGATGTCGGTATAACGTACTCTTAATTGAGCACGTATAATAAAACAGCAGATGTTGTTGGACGCGTTTAAACGGCTGTTAAATGTTGTGTTAAAAATCGCTACGTATATTTAAGATGGCATAATGGCGACTGAAACTACTGAGAGTGGGATAGACATGCGCGAGTTTCGACCAGTTTAATATCTGCCACCTGACCTGGTGCGTTCATATTTGAAAAACAGTACAGACAACGTTACGATTGAGTTAGAATTGTGCATTGGGTTTACCGATGATTGTGTTGTTTCCAGTCCAGTATATCATAGTCAGTGATTTCAATACTAATTATTGGTTACCTATCCATACATACTGTCAAATTAATATTTATTTTAAAGAACATAACTTTAAACCAGGCGCACACCAAAACAATGAGGTTGCAGTATGGCGACAAAGTAGAGCAGTTGTAAATATTAATTAATATATTCAAACGTATTTTCTTCAAATGAAATTTCAAAAATTAGGTGTACTTAATTGGTTTTTAAAAATATATCAGTAATTTGAAAACGACAAATGTTTTACGTTAAAATTAATATCGTACATTTTTAACAGTTTTAAAATCCAATCATGAGTAGAACCAATAATATTTAAAAGCAAGAGATAATATGTGCGGAATTTTTAAAGGAATCAAACGTACAAGTTATATCATTGAAGATATAACAACGCATTAAAGAGATTAGAATAAGACGTTAGACTAGAATAACAGATAATTGGTTTTGTTCTACGCCAGAAATAAAATAGTTTTAACTAAAAAATCGTCATTTTTATTAAATTGCAGGTGCTTATGGTAAGAATTAACAGATTAAACACAATAGATTTATATTGGATCCTTAAATATAAATTTGATACTTGAGATGCTACTCATCGTTTTTTAATAGTCAAAATAAACGTAGCTTAAGTGTCTTATATGTTAAAAATACAATTCACAGCATAATTTAACATAGAAATAATGCGAATCATCAAATCTACTAATGGTTCATTTTTATTATACCTAGCTGCACACCAGTAGGGATGAACCATGATACGACTTAATTTTTTTGTGTTTTTAATTTCCAGAATGCGTTGGTAAATACAAAATACAGTCTTTATATTTTTACAATTATAATATATATTATAAATTTTAATATTATTTATTAAAAATGGGTGCAAAAACAAATTCACACATAATAATTTTTCGGTTTTCGACTTTATTCACTAAAATATTATTAACTCATACAAAAACCATATTGACATTTTCGTGATTCGGTTTTTCAAGTTTAAAGTCAGATAATAATTTTTGGAAGAGATGGCAATAACAGAACGGTTTATAACTACTTGTTCACCTCAAATTAAAGGATCTTATAAAACAAATAAAACAGGTGTATAGAATGAAAAATGTGATAAATATATTGAGTCACATACAAGGGATGATAATCACTGATCTAGGGCATTAATTTGGTCTCGGTGAATATTAATAAATGGTAAATAAAATATCAAAGGGGCATAACAAGAATAGCCAAGTAAATCTCTAGATTAAAAATATTCATATAACATAAAACTATGGAAGAAATAGGAATAGTAAATTTTAAAATCGAATTTTCTTGAAATTTAAAATGTGTAACTATTCTTGATATTTCTCTAGGTTCCTAAATAGAATATGTTTAATATATATTATTAATTAAATAATTAAAATTTAAAAAGGTTGCATACAAATATAACAATTGTTAATATTTCTTAACAGTCGAATTAATAAAATATGGCCTTAATCCTAGTAAGTTTATTCATTGTATCTTATTATAAAATAAAATTCTTGTATAGATTCAAAGTTAATACTGTTGATTTGTTGAGTATTATTATTATATGGATTTTTAAATCAAATTGTTTCAAGACAGCTTGAAAAAATAAAATTGTTTACACAAAACTTATAATTTTAAAATATTTAATTTTGATGATAAAAAAAGCTGTCCTAGGATAATGGGGACGGGTGCAATCACTATTATAGATAGTAGGAAATTAGTAGAGGGAAAACTTAATGTATATTTATAAGCAACAACAAACCATTGTTAACGATAAAATAATTCTGAACGGAGTTTCAGTTGATAGTGTTACTTTGTCAACAATATACGAGTATGTTATATTATGGTAAAATGAATATTACATATGCATAAAATATTTTCTTTAATATTATTTGTATAATATTTTCTTGTTTTTTTTTACGTTTTTCCCGGTTTTAACATATTTTTCCTTGTTTTTCCCATTTATTGGGAAAACTCCTGAGACAATCAAAAAAAATGATCACCCTAAAGTACCCCAGTCCAATTCCTTTCAGAAAAAGTATTATTATTGTAAATCAAAGTGATATCTGTGAACAACTTTTCTACTAGCGATTTTTCTCCGATTTTCAACATGAGAAAAACCGGAAAAAACCGTAGGAAAATCAAGAAAATGTACGCAATTTATTATGTTTAAAATAATTTTATTTTTATTTTGTTTTGTTTTGCTTCAGTGAAATATATTTATAGAGATTTGAAGTTTGAACAAAAAACTTAAATTTGCTTTTTCTAGACGTGGTCAAAATTTCAAAATATTATTTGTAGCATATTAGACTGTCATATTGGTGTAAAATAGGTACAATAGTATTAAACAAATATTATTAAGGAAAATATATTATGCATGTTATGTTATTATTTTATTATAATATAACATATACATTGTTGACAAAGCACACGATTAACCGAGCTCAGAATCGTTTTTTGTTAGTAATTGTTAATCATTGCGTAAAGGTGTACATTAAATTTCTCCTCTACTTTCCTAAATTATTATCTACAACAGTAGTCCAACCATCGTACGAAGCATGCCCGTCTTTTTTTAAATTTAAAACTCGAATAATTATTGCAGACATGTTTATCTATGTCGACATAATGAAATTTCACCATTTTTTTTATAGTGGTAAAGTAAATAGCAAAATGGTAGTATTGTATTACTATATAATTTGATTAATTTTTATTTTGCAAAGAATATTTTTATTATATAAAACAAATGGGTGAAAATTGTATTCTAGTGATGGAGCTCTGCTGATCATTTATTTTTTATTTTATTTTTTACTATCTAAAAGTAAAATTCTTACTATAAACGCTTCTATAAAATCTATACACACACTCATATATATATAATATTAGGTAAGTATATAGATTAATGTGTTATAATTCATTTTAGTAAACGATGGATTAGACAATTACGCTATTGTGTGGAGTAAGAAAAGTAAGAAAAATTAGTTTTAAAATCTACCTACCTACCTATAGCATGCACCACCGTAATTTCCTGATGATCACTATCATTTTTTAAATTATTTTTCTCCTACTCTCTTTGTATTTCAACACTACTTGTAAGTCCGAGTACTGAGTACGAAGCGGTAATCTAGCTGAACTGTGTATTGAATTAATCTCCTATTGTAGCTGACAGGGACAAATGTAGAATCTTGGAAAGTAACCTCGCAGACTATAGAATTCCAAAATTGTTTATAGACAGATTTTATTTTTACGGATTATAAAAATCCGAAAAATAACTAACCATACTTTCATGAACCGTTTTCTTCTGAAAAAATTATTTAGGTGAACCGTACAGTCCTGTGGAAATCCTAAAATATAAACCCACAACCGTATTGTTGTGAATCGTATACTTCCGGAATCCAAATTTTTAGTAACCCTAACGCTTAACTTTCTAAGGATTTTCAAATAGCCATACAAATGTAACGACATGCAAACATGTATACAGAGTGTCCCACAAAAATATACTCATTTTAATACCTCATTTAAATACGGAGATAATAAAGAAAATCAAATTCTGTTTTTTTATATATTGCACACAGGGATAACAACGAAAAATATTTATATTTTAATTAATTGTTATGTTTTGGTAAAAAAAACTAAAAAAATGAATTTTTATTTCATTATTTTTGAAAAATTTGAAGAAAACTATAGGGTTATAGTTTTTCCTTCTGGAGATTTTGAGTTTTCTACTTTGATTTTCATTAAATTTGTGATTTTTAATAATTTTTTAAAGTTCAAACAAATTTAGGTATTATTACTTTTATTATTATAGCTAATAATTGGTTGTACACTCTTATATTTTGAATGTAACAAAGGATGTATTAGTTTTACAATGATGTTTATTATTATTCTTTTTTTTTTTATCAGTGAACATTTTTCCTACCAGCAATTTTGCTCCGATTTAAAACGATAGCACTTTTTCTGAAAGGAAATTTTACTCGTAATACTTAAGTGAGGTCATTTTTTGATTTTCTCTGGACTTTTCCCAATAAATGGGAAATGTTTAATGGTTGAGTACAGATATACAATACATTTCCCTTCTACTACCTTCTAGTTTTTTCACCTACAGGCTACAACAGTGGCCCACTCACGTGTGAAGTATGACAGTCTTTTTTTTTGTAAAAAGTTTTCTACCAGAAATAGCGGAAACAGCTTTTCCGTGTAATTATATGTTACAGTTTGCGATAAAATATTAAAATTAATCTAGCTTGAATTACTTAATAATTAATGGTGCGTGTGTGTGTCTGTTCTATAGATAATTAAAATCGGCCGATTACCATAATCTTACATGGCCGGCATACGCACCCAAGCTCCGATGCTACTTTCCATTATTCAGCATATTGTTAACTTTTCCAGATTTTCTCCTATGAAAACTATATCATCTGAAAACATTTTGCGCCATAGTAACTCGCATTTAATTTCCTTCGTAACTTCATCCTTTACAATAGAAAACAGGTGAAGGCTCGTGGCAAACCCTGATGCACAACTACTTCAACCTCAAAATCGTCCATTTTTCCACACACACATTTTACATTCGTATTTGTATCTCATATTCTCTATTAAATCTATATGCGACTTCGGACCTCGTTTTTTTAAATTACGCAAATATTAGGATTTCTCTTGGAATCTCTTGTTATATGTCTAGACATATAACATACGATAAATGTAATTTTTTGTCGGGGTTAAAAGGTTAATACATATTCTACTAATAAATAATAATTTACCTAAACAATTATGTTTATGTAAAGCTTTACGCCCGTCGACCATGGTTTTGTGATTGACAGTAGCAAATCAGTCAGGACATATTTTTGCTATTTTAAAGTTTATAATAATCATATTATGTAATTTACATATTTATTATTTTTGTCAATTATTTAGAAACTGAGTTTTTCAATTGCACAGAAGGTAAACTATGTATACAATTTATATTTGGCGATAGACTATATTATAATATTTAAATGAAATAATATAAGAAGGTTACGGGCGAACGATAATAGTAGTCCATTTTTTTCAATTTTGAGACAATAATAGTAATAGTACTATTTAAAGGTGTTTTTAGACTATTATTTAATATTAAGTTCCAGGTTTCCAGGTTTCAGTTGGATAATATTAAAAGTAAATATTGGATGAACTGGTTAAAAAATAATTTAATCCGTGCAATTGAAAAAATGTATTTTTCGCTGAACAATTTTCAAAAATGAACTACTCCTAAAAAATAAATACTCCTTTTGTGCCTTTCATATACTTCAACCATAAATTCATTGATACAATTCATGCATATTGATATTTAATATATTCATTATGCATGAAGTCAGTGGCGCACTCAAGCATTTTTAATGGGAAGGGATGTAGCAAATAAGAATTGTGAATAAATTGTAAAACCGTCATCTCCATACAACTTGATTATGGCAATTGGTAATTTAAAGGCCGGATACTAAAAAAGCCATTTTCCTATAAATACATTAAGCTTTTCCTTGTAACTTGGCTAAAATATATGCATTTCAATATTAACTTACTCATACTTTTTTTGTATTTTTAAGTCAACGAGGAGGGGATATAACCTCTTAACCTCCTCTCTCTTGCGCACGCCATTGCATGCAATACTTTTTCTTCTCCTTTGACTTCATTTCAACTATTTAGGAACGACGATTTTTTTTTTTTATTAACGTCTTCATCGGAACAATTTTTAGCATACTGTAATAAACTTTCTCAAAATCGGTTTTCTTTTTATTTTTATTTTAACTTATGTAGATTTAAGCAAATCTTCTCAAATTTTTGATTGGACTAAACTCGGCGTTTTTTTCTTTTTCATTACTGTTGCAGTTCACCAAAATGACTGACTAGACCTATCACCTATTAGACCTTGTTTCCATGAAATACTTTCCAACTTCTCTCTCTTGGATAATACTCATTCAGTTTCTCGAAAAACTACTCCCATATCTCTTTTAGATCCTTTAATACCCTTTTATCTTCACTTTTTATACAATATACACTTTACAAGATTGTCCTCGTCTGGAAAATGGTGCTAAAATTAGGCGGCCGGATCACGAATTGAACCCGAGTCTTTCACTTACTAAGGAAAGGCTCTACCACTGAGTTACCTGATACCTAACTTTTAACACTATTCCTGCCGTACTTGAGTGGTTAAACGTGCCAGATTCGGGCAGGTTGGTGAAGCAGCCGCGTATATGGTTGAAGGCAAAACGTGGCATGTAGGAGACGTGTCATGCCTCTCTCCTTATATTTAATTTTCTATCATTCCACGTACCTATTACTTTATATCCATATCTCGTACTCTGATGTGAGTTCAGCCTAGAATATAGTAGCGATGTCCCTACACTGTTAACACTACATGAGTTGAGTAAGTCTTAACTGATGGAACAGCGACCACACTTACTGTTCGATGGTACCACACACTCCATCGCTTAGATCTCCTTCACCTCTAGCTATGAAGATTTCTCTCATTTTTTGGGGTGAGCCAAATAGCTTAAATTGTGTTTAGGACTCTAGATCCTGTTTGATAGTAATTTTAAATCGACTATCAACTTTACGCAAACTTATTTGTCGCATTATATGACAGGTTAAAAACAAGGTTTTTTTTTAGGTTTTAAAAAATAAATATTAATAAAAAAAATAAAAAAAAAAAGGTCAACTCGTAGTTACAAGTTTTTAAAACACTTTTTGTAATTACATTATTATTATTGTTATCATTCTTATCATTATTCATTACCTAAAAATTACTTTTTATCTACCTTAATCAACTATTAATTGAGAATTAACAAGAGTTAATAATAACTGTGCAGCCACCAGCCGTTAATGTAGTTTGTTCAACTTTCAATGTGTTTATTTCATGTATAAAGGGTAACCGTCGTTTTCAAAACATTTAAAGTTTAATTAAACAGAATTTAAATATATTTTTAAATCACAACTTAACATTTAAGGCTGACAGTCAAATATTTAGTTAAAAAATTCATGTTAATAGGTTATAACGTAAAGATGGAAATTATTTTTTTGAGCTCGTAGCCTTGAGCCTTGAGCTCATACCACACGTGCTCTTAGTGTAAAAACGTCACCATAAGTAATATCAAAATACCAAAGAGGAGCCGACGAAATATGTCTAGCTCCCACTAATGTAATTAATTAAGTATTCATATACTTTATACGGCACGTTTAAAGAAAGCAATTTGTTTAAATTTGTGTGACCTTTTTTAAAATGTATATATAACCCTTTCCCTCGTATTAATTGATTTTCCTAGTTTTCATAGTAATTGGTAAAAACTAGGGAAAATCGTAGAAAAAACGGGAAAATTTAAGAAGCATATAATTTTTAAATCGTAAATATGACGGCCTTTCAAAACATGTATAACCGCTTAGAATCGTTTTTCTTTAACAATGATAATTCTTTGCGTACAGATATACATTAAATTTCCCTTCTATCTTCCCAACTTCTCACTCAACATATGTTGTGTTATTGTAAACACTATATTGTTATAAATTATGGTATTATTCAATTGAAAATTTAATAAAAACGAAAATTTCCAACACAAACCTCACGGTCATATTGTACTCGTACTTTGTAGTTTTTATTATAATTATTATCATTATTATTATTTTTATTATATTATTGTGAAATACAGAGTGTTCCATTGTTGTCTACAGATTTTTATTGAGCTATTAAATATTTACTTTTTTTAAATTTTTATTTTTTACGCAATTATAATTATTATGTAGGGGATTGTATGAAAATTGTGAAAATGGTGATACAAATTTATTTAAATTGCTTTTTTTAACTATGTCGTATAAAATATATGAATAATTAATTATTTACATTAGTTAGGGTCTGTAGACAAATGACGTCAGCCCCTTTTTATGTATTATATTATTATATGATATTACTCAACTAGTGTCGAACAAATTCTAAAAACTGTCAAACAAATTCATACAAATGACGTACAAAATATTTGAATACGAATTTTCGAGAATTTCATGGGTGGGGGGGTTCGGGCCATATGCTTATCATCGTTATTAATCATTCATATAAATTAGATATTTTATAATAGTATATACGAGTAATAAGAGTTTTAATATTAAGCATAATAAACAGCATAATTATAATACTTAAAATAGTGTTTCTGACCAATTATAATAAAGGTATTGAGGTGAAAATAATTGTATAATTTATGTATAAATAGACTAAGATGCTGTTTATATTTTTAGGACATGTATGCAATTATAAAAAATATCTAACGGAAATAGTTAACTCGTGTATGTATTTATTTTTTCTAACTAACTTTAAAATTATTACTTACTAATTTAAATTTTATACACATTAAAAAACATATTAAGTAACATATTATTATTAATACATGATGTGTTACTTGCTAAATGATCACCGTTTGTTGTTTCCACTACATGAAAGAACTTGAAGGTAAAGAAGGAACTGATTTCGCACATACGAATGATGGCGCTGAACGTCCCGAAGCATTATTTTCCCCTATTCAAATAATACAGGCTTGGAACGTTTTCGCAAAAACATGAGTTTCTTCACTCGTGGAATGAAGTGTAGATAATACACTATAAATTGTAATTTACCTAATAATAGAAATCATGGAACACCAACCTAACCTCTCTGGTATCCATATTAATTCTGTTATTAATCAGTTTATGATTCTGAAAACTTAAAATATAACAAAACTCATGGAGTAGATGAAATTCTATCTGAACTATTTAAATTTATGGACATAAATATTAAAAACGCACTGTACAAAATATGTTATAATGTGTAGCTTAACAAACGGTGACGTAGGTCATATCGGAAGTAGAAGGTCAAGGATGGGTACGTGAAATTATGGCAAACATGGATTAAGATAGCTACGAAGATTTAAAGGAACCAAGATTTTTAAAAGGAAACTAGGGGCCGTGGCGAACTACTGCAAACTAACCATACAGTTAAAGATGAGAACACGATTTATTTATTTTTTTTTTTATTATTTATTTATTTATTTAAGTTGAAAGTTGTGTAAAAGATTTACTATAAAATGTAAATAAAAAACAAAGAATTATTACCTATTTACCATAATGTATAAATAAACGGTAAAATGTATTTAAAATTATAAAAACCGGTTGGTTTACATTGCCACTCCCCCTCAATATTTATTTTATCCAATAAATACCATAACGCATAGCCTATATATGATAAGTTATGGCTCGCGACTTATCGTAAAGTTATTATTTATTGTATTGTCAAAACCACACAGTAATTTGTGACTTAAAGTATTTAAATATTAATTGCAATATTTTGTTTAATAATTAAAAGGATATTTTACCATTTTTGACCATATCTATTTGTATACGTATTTGTTATATCTATAAAACAGTTTCTATTAATATCAAATATAAATGTCTTTTAATCAAATGCATAATTTCAGGGGTTGTTGTTGGTGCAAACAAGTGGTGTATCGAAAACGGTCAGTAACAATTTGTTTTTATTATAAATACTTTAAACAGTAATATTTAGTGATGTAAATTTGTATAATTAATACAATTGTATAATATCGTATTATACACGCTGTATAGAATTATTTATACAATAGTGTTAAATTTGAATAATTTTTTTTTTATTTGATATCGGTATAAGTAAATTCAAATAGATAATGGTTGAGTAATCAAGTTTTGCATGTAATTTCAAATTTGCATATCTTTGAATACAGTATTTTGGTTTTCATACCGTATAAAATGTGTATAATACAGTAAAATATAAAAATGTATTATAATAAACTTTAATACACACAGTATTATACAAATTTAATACACGTATAATACAAGAAAAAATAAAATACCGTATTTTACATCACTATTAATATTAAATAAATGAAAATGCAACAAATGGAACAATAAAACTGTTTTCATTACTATACAAAATTTAAGTAATGTGGTCCAATTTTCTATAGGAGAATAATTTAAGATTTCTTCCACAACTTTAGTTAAAATAAATTAAATAAATATGGTATTATATTCATTACGTGAAAACATAATTTAGTATAAAAGTAGAACAGAAACATTTATTGATACTTAACCAGTGAACATATATTAGATTAAAATTAAAATCTAGTTATTTGAACTAAATTTACAAAACGTTATATTAAAATAATTATTCACTGGTTAAGTATCAATAAACAGTGTTCCTATTCTTTTAATTTTTGTATTAAATTATGTGTATACATAATGAAAATAATGTAACGTGTATTTGATTGATTTTGTTTTAACTAAAGCTGTGAAAGAAATCGTAAATTATTTTCCTCCAAAAAGATAGGCAACTCTACATTTAAACTCTACTTTACATTGAAATAAAAACAGTTTAATCATTTAATTCGTTGTATCATTATCTGTTAAATATTGGTTGTTTCAGTACATTCCGATTCCGAAGTATCAGGTTAGAACAGATCCAACTTTAATATTTAAAATTTACACTTATTTTTTATATATATGATTTTTTATTAACTGTTATATATATAAAAATATATATATTGTATAATCAGAGGTGGATTTTCAACATTTTTCTGGAAGGAGTCCTAAAAAATAATATTTATTTCATAGATATATACGATATATATTGTATTATTAGATACCTATTTAGTATATTCAATTTTATTAAAATAAAATCAGTGTCTGGAAAGATCTAGGTCTCCTGAATCCCCCCCGCTCTATAAATCTGCCGCTGCGTAAAATTTGTACACTTAAAACTTACATATCTTAATGATTATAACTATTTTTTTTAATCATTCAGTAAAATTTATTCAAAACTAAAATATTTAAATTTTAATGAATAGGAAATGAACACAAAACATAAGACAGTCATTTTTTTAATTTTATTATAGTTTTCTTAATAGTTGAGAGAACTGTAAGAAAAAAATATAAGAAAATCAGGAAAACATACGGTCATTTTTTTCGATTTTCTATTTTTGTCGTATTTTAATATGAAAAAAATCAACGAATGTTAAACGATAAAAGAATCTTCGTGTATAGCAAAACTTCGCTCAGATTCGTTTTTCGCTACAATTATTTATCGTTGCGTACAAATATAAATTTGATAACTCCATGTATTCTTCTCAACTTCCCACTTTCAACAGTCACACATCAATCAATAGGTATTAGTTCACGTAGGAGTATTATTTCCATTTTGTACAATTTTACTGAATTAAGATAACACCAATAATATTCGTGAATTATAAAAAAAATTATGTGTAAAAAAAATATTTCGCCAATCAAGTTACCCAAGAAGCAGTTTTACACTCAAAGGATTCCCATAATGATTCCCATAGTGATTCATGTATTCACTTACAAGGTTATAAACTCTGTTTTAACTTTACATTATAAAATTAAGGATGTATAAATAATAAGTGATAAAGAAATAAGAGAATCATAAAATAAAAGGTGAAAATTATTTTAGCTTAACAAAAACTGTATAAAAGAATGAAATGCCCTCACGTGAATTTTTTTTTGCTACGGTACTATATGTGCTATTATACTGTTTAAATCCACCTCACTCAGAAATTATTAATTATCTTGTACAATAATATTAATTATGTAGACTAATAGTTAATAATTGGCTTTTATTTATTTTAGAATGTGTTGGTAAGATTAAAATTTAAATAAGAAGTATAATGGTATCATATTATAAAAATATATTGGACAACTAAATATAATTCCGATAACCAAGGCTAAGAGTTTGAGCTGGTAAGGTCATATATTGAGGTCAATCTTAATTACGAAAAATACCCCAAATGGAAATTATTAAAGACCCTTAGAGAGACTTAAACAGTGATAACTGAAAAAAACTGAGTTAGGTTAAGTGTAAAGACATACAAAGGGTTTACATTGGTACTGACAGAAGTAGTTTATACAAAATGACAACATGAATTTTTCAAATTTGTAAAAATTCTGGTGCATATTAGATTGTTTTATAGTTAATTAAAGATTAATTAAATGTTTAATATTATTTAAGCATAATTTAGCTTCAACTCGATATCAATTTTTAGGTACCTAATAATGAACGAAATTCCCAAACCATATCCTAAATTTCTAATAGACCAATTTTCTAATTAGGAATTAAAAAATTTGACTAACGAAAAATACACAACATTTTACTAATTTTACAGTACTCTGTCGTTTTTTGATTTCATAAGGACTATCCTCTTTGACTCTTTTAAAATTTAAAACCGCTTCTCATCCTAAATTAGAAAAGACATAGGTATAAAGACTATATCCAGTAATAAAACCACTTGGTAATGACAATCAAACAAAGAGATTTGAGTAGGTATTTGTGTGAACAAAATATATTGGCTCAGTTATTTTAGTATTAATTGGTTCATTATAATTTTTCTTCCATAATAAACGGTTTATAAATAATTAGTAATAAAATAGTATGTATTGAAAGAATTATTTTAATTTAAACATTTTATTTTTAGCTTCACTTAAAAAAAATGAAATGGGCAGTAAGTAAATTAATTTGCATTACTGATATTAAGTTCAAACTTGGTTCTATTAAATTATTAATATATCAAGTATAGACATTCAGAAGGCTGCATACGAAATGCGTTCTAAAAAAAAAAATCCGTTAAGTGACTACGCGAATTACATCCCAGGTTTTTTTGATTAAGTACACGAATTGTGTCTGATCTACCTGCAAATTATATTTTTATAAATATCTACATAATATAATAATTTTTACATAATTTTTACATGTGGTAAAATTTTCAAACCATTTGAGCCATTTTTAGGCTTTTTATACAAATTTTAATAGTTTTATCGAATTTCATAAAATGAACAACCATTTGGTTGGGAAAAAATTTGAATCTAATGAGCTCTAGCATAGCTTCTGCTCAAGAAATTTCATTTTTTCTATGGCCCGCGGTAAAAAAAAATTTAGCCACCAGCCACCACTATGTTAACTAATGAACGAATAATAAATTCGTTTCTTTCGATAAAGAAACACATCTTTGTAAAACAAATAGCTTCGCTCTACTAAGAATCAAAAAATATTTTGTATTTAATCTCTCTACTAAATTTAAAACTTTAGGTTAACAATTTATCAATAGTTACCTAGCATACATCTAGTACCTTCCGTATAATTTTAACATCTATATTAAAGTATTATTTAGCTATAGTGAAAAATAGAACGGTTTAGTATTATTGTATTCAACAACCAGTGGTCGTCCGGGTCTGACTCAAGGCAGTAGAATCCATATTAGGTAATTAATATTAGAACACTGTTTCGTTTAAAGACTGAGACTCTCAAAACCATATTTTACTTGATAATCTAGAGTCGTCTAATTTTGAGTAATGTTGACTAACTGACCCGGTTTAGTTTATAACCGTTAATTTTACCAAAGGTTTTAGGAGTTATGTTATTTTATGCATATCGGATAGTCTCAAAAGTATAATTAGATTAAATCTCAAACTAAAATTTTACATTGAAAATAAAAAATTATATTTCTTATCGTCATTTGCATTGTTAAATAGATACATTAAATATTATAGTGGGTTATTTTTATTATTCTGCGATGTTGTAAAATTAATATAGCTATTATGGACAATTCAGGGAATTTTTCCAGCCACCTCATCATGCTTAATTTATCAGAGTGTTTTACTCTATAAGTGACCTTTGACCTTTATTAAATTTTTAATATCTTGTCAAGAACAAATCATTCTTAGGAAAATATTGTAGTGATCTTTGAATCCGATTTTTTGGTACAATTAGTACTGAAGTAAGATCAATAAGGACTTTTGATATTTTATTTATAATGATTTACTTAAGGTCCAATTTAATACCAATTTTCAGTTCTATTTAGATTATTTAGAAGTTAACATTTTATTTTTGTCTATTCTGACTGATTTAGAAACGATAATTTGCTATTATAAGAATATTGTTAATATTATTAATTTATAAATTATAAATATTTGTAGTAGTATTTAGAAATATTTATAGAGTGAAAGCATTACTTTTATAATAATAATATTAATTTTTTTTAGGTGAATCGGGTTCAGAAAATTATTTTAATTCATTTCTTAGATTTTTTATGGAGGGTAAGGAATATATTCAGCGCTATAATATTATATGAATGTAATCATAGTTTTTATACATGGCTATTTAAAAATAGTAAATAATTTATAGTAGTATAGTAATAATATAGTAATAGTAAATAATTACTTAACTAAGCACTTATCAACCAAGCCCGGGTTAAAGGGGGAGTCCAGGGAGAGTCGTGGCCCACGGGGCCACCAGACTCCCAAGACCTCAGTTTTTGCCATAGTATATTTTTTATACATACATTTAACCATTAATTTTATACTATGATATGTCAATGTTTTCAATGTCTTTCGTTATAATATACATATAATGAAACTACAAGTAACTTTGTTAATAATTATAAAGGTATTTATTTATTTAAATAATATTAGTGGCTTTTGAATCGAGATCTATATGATGTCTATACTATTTATTATTTTTCTTTCGTTACAACATATTGATTAGTAAACAATTTACAACAAATTATTAGATTTTCAACGAGAGCCTGGCTGAAAAGTTTGACTCCGGGGTCTCTAATGTGTTAATCCGGGCTTGTTACCAACCCAAACTAACGTATATTTTATTATGCATAATACCTAGGTATATAAATTATGTTATTAGTATTGACAATATTATTATATTGTTGTAATATCTACATCTTAAACATAATATTGAATTTATTAAAATATTGCTAATATTGTGATTATGATATCAATTACAAATTTATTTGGTAATTTGTTGTATAACTATGTATTTAGTTATTGTTCCAAATAAACTATAAATATGATTAATTTGTTATGCAATTAATTTGATCGAATGTATAATGTATAGGTACATATTTGAATTTAGCTTAAAAATAATTATACCTATTATAAAAATTGCAGTGGAAAGGTTTCAAAAAATAATAATATTTTTTATATTTTAGCGACAGAAATTCCTAGCAATTTGAAAAGTAAGTTGTTTACTGTAAATATTTTACTAAGTCTAAGATATATATATAATTTAGGTTGGTGCTTATTTTTTAACATTATTGTTTTTTGATGCTTGACCTCCCTATTTTTTTATTACCATGTAAAAAGTAATCCGTGTAAAATTTGGTCATAATACCTTACCCCCTTCCCGTGTCCCAAGAAGGTTGAAAATGAGGAAATAAGATAGTTTTGTGGTTTTTCACAAATAATTCAATAATTATATGACTGATCATAAAATGATATAAAATTTTTTGGTATTTCTTCCTAATGTCTATATAATTTATTATTATACGATTTACTGTAAAAACTGATTTTCCCAAGAAAAATTATGAAATACAAATATTTCACGTATTAAACAATACAGATTTTTGTAAGGTTATTTAATTATATTTGTCAAATGGTTGAAGATATGAAACAATGTTTAATATAAAAATGATATAGAATTTAATTTCTTAAAAAAAAGGTTTTTAATAAAAACTTAATTAAAACGACTAATTTAATATAGAATGTTTTTTTTTTTTTTTTTATAAACGAATTTTAATATAAAATTTTGACGAAAATCGTTTTGAGTAAAAAATTATGTGGAACAAATTTAATTTTTCAATTACTGTTTTGAACATACGTATATTGCCGATTTAAGAACGATAGTGAAGTCAGAATTAAGCGGATTGACTTAGTTTCAAAATAATTTTTGAAGTTCTGATATTATACGGACATTATATTTAATATAAAATAACTCTATACTCGTATAATAATAATACAATTCTATATAGTCTATATTATCGTATGTCTATTATAATCTTTTGGTAGATACGTACCTGTTTTCATCAAAAAGATCGCGGGTTCAAACCCGTGTTCCAAAAGAGAATTTTTTTCTTTTCAACTAAACAGGAAAAAAACAAATACATTTTAAGTGTACCTAGAAACCTAAGTCATCGCTCGCTCGAATTATTTAAATCGAAAAATACACCTCGATTTATTGTACACACTTTTCTACCAGAAATCTTCCTCCGAAGTATCGAGTATAGAACCATTTCTGAAAGAGTTTTTCTGGAGTGATACTTTAAGGAGATTATTTTTTAATTTTCTCAGGAGTTTTCCCAATAAATAGAAAAAAATGTACAAATGTATTAGTAAAATATTACTGCTTTTTTTCCTGTGAATAATTTTTCTGTCAGCAAGTTTACTCCTATTTACAATGATAGGACTTTTTCTGAAAGAAAATCTGATTGGGGTAATACAAGAAGGAGGTAATTTTTGATTTTCCACAGAGTTTTCATAATAAATTGAAAAAACCAGGAAAAAACGTAGGAAAAATGGGAAAATAGGTACAATATTAAACAAATATTATTAAAGAAAATACAGTGGAACCTCGATAACTCGAATCGGTTGGGGACGAAAAAAAAATTCGAGTTATCGAAAATTCGACTTATAGAGGTTCGAGTTATCGAGGTTCCACTGTATATATGATGTATATGTAATTAGTTTACCATATTATGGCATATGTAAATTTGACAAAGCAACACTATTAACCGAACTCCCTCTCAGAATCGTTTTTTTTTTCGTTAATAATGATTAATCGTTGCATTCATTAAATTTCCCGTCTACCGTCACAATTACTAACCTACAACAGTGGCTCACCCACGTGCAAAGTATTTCCGTCTTTTTTATTATAATACAGTGGTCGTTTGAATAATACAATTGACTTATTTGCCAATTAGACTTGAAAGGGATGGTTCCGATTTGGACGTATACTAATAACAGCAAAACATTTTTCTATCAACTCACTACATCGGTTAATGGGATTAATTTGATAATTGGATAAATTAATAAAATTGAGAACAAATAATGTAAAACCCGGTATTAACTGTTAGGCTGTAGGCATTCTGCTCTTATTGTGAATATTAAATTAAATTACTGTTTCACAATAAACTAAGCAATCGCCATTATTAATGCGATAGATTGTAATTGACTAGGCATTGTCGTGTTCAGCGTATGCCACGTGTTTGAATTTTCATTTGTTTAAATTTTTATTTTTTTTTTTCTATTTTTTCTATTAAATACAAAGATACATAGGTGAATTATTTTATTTGTATACATTTCATTACATAATAGTTGAAATCTCAAGCAATATTTTAAATTTTTGAAAAAAGAATATGAGGTTTTTTTTATATTTTTTCGATAATTCGCTTTATTAACTCATTTAGTTAACGGACTCAAATGATCCTAAAGTGATTCAAATAAGTGGCAACCACAGTATATGATTTGATGATCTTGATGATTTTGGTTAAAACCAAACGTGTTATTTTAATCCTTCTGCCTTGGTTAATTATTCAAAGTGTTGCTTTTCAGTATAGTATGTAATTAAAAAATTAAATGAATAAAAACATGTATAACCATTTTAACAAATTGTATACGATTGAAAAAAATAATAATCATACTGATTTATGTGTATGTTTATATTTAATAGCGTACGCAGCCAAGTACTTTGCATTTCTCCATATAAAAAGTTCTGAACGTATGTATTAATACACTGTGTAAATTACGTCTTAAAGTAACATTATTTATGTGAATAAAAAAACACTGGATAACCTTTTTACCCACTAATAAAACTAAATAATTTTTATATTTAAATAAATATGACATACCTACAACACCTGTATACAAATAAATATTTTAATTCAAATTATTTAAATGCAATGTATAATGCAAGTATGAAATGGTTTATCGTTGCTTACAGGTATACATTAAATTACCTAAAACAATGGCTGCACCCATTTCCATTATCCTAGGACAGCTTTTTTTAACTAGTCGGTCAACCATTACAAATTTAACCACTACCTAACATACTATAATAATTGAATCGTTTAGTATAAATACACAAAAAGATGTCATTTATACGGATTTAAAAATAAACGTTCGATCGAATTGATCAAAATGTATTGTTATTATAGTTAAAGATAAATGGTATATATAATTCCTTATTATCATGGTTTTCTTCATTCTTATCAAAAAGATTTTAGATTATGAAATATAGTAATTTTTTGTTCTTATCCCATACATAACTCAATTGGAGTTATATATCCACAAGGATATTTCTACTATACATTAACGACATATCTTCTACATTAAATCATTTTGACATTTTACTTTTTGCCGGTGATGCTAAAATATATAAAACTACACTCGGTTTCTAATGCTATAGAAGTGCAATTCGATTTAAATTTATTTTTCGATTGATGTACGAGAAACGACATGGAATGAAATACATATAAATAAGGTTCAATTATTTCTTTTTCTCAAAAAAAAAAAAAATTATTTATTTTTAATTACATGATCTCACATGCAAATTTAATAAGTGATATTAGTGTTTATATAAGTATATTTTTTAATACAAAAATTAATTTCAAGGAACATATCAATAAGATAAAAATAGAGCATCGTCAAAATTAGGACTCTTAAAACGGAATTATTCAAATTTTAATAATTATTTTGCTGTAAAATGAATCTATTATTCTTTTGTACGATCACAGTTAGAATTTACTGTACTTATTTGGTCTCCTAATTCCTTGTTGCTAAATCAAACTATTTGATTCAAAACTTTCTCTACATTTGTTTTATTTTTCAAATGCCATATCCTGAGGCACCTACATTCTGGTTATGAAAAAGTATCCAGATTTTTAGTATTCCTATGTTAAATGATTGTAGATAATGTTTAATTAAATAATACAATTAAATGCTTTAAACTACCTATTTAGTGTTTAGGTAGAAATATAATATTTTTAATACTTTGCAATTATGTTTTAAACTTTTACCAATAATTGTGTTATTAAGTTAGTTTTTTCAGTTTTTTTTTTATATATATTTTATTTTAATCATAAATGAATTTAATTATCCAATTAGTGTGAATTTTAAAAATTGTATTTGTTATTTTGTTAACCTATAATCATAAGTTATAATATCGTTATCTATCAACATATCAACATATTAAACTGTAATAATTTTCTTTTATGAATTGAATTAGTTCCGTAAATAAATAAATAAACATTTAATGAGTATCCTGTTGTAAAACATTAGTTTTTCAAATGAGGACCTACATATTTTGATGCAGATTGTCAGTTGCATGATTTTTCTAAAAATGTTGACGTATTGTAATCGAAAATTGAAATAAAAGTTTCTGAGTTATTATAATTTAAATACTAAAGGATAATATTTGCACGATTCAAAACAAGAAATAACCTAAACGCCACTTTTATGAAACAGTCGTTATCCAAAACTATAAAAGGCTATTATCCTTAGTATTTAAAGTAGAAAAATCTCAGAAACTGTTCACTTAAACTACCGATTACAATACCTCAACATTTTTAGAAAAATGGTTTGATTGACAATTTGCAACAAAACATATAGGTTCTCATTTGAAAAATAAATGTCGCTACAGAGTACTTCTTGAATATTGTAAAAATCTAAATATGTGAAAATATCATTTACTGAACTTAAAATTCCAAAAATCAGAATTTGAATGTATGCATAATTTAACAAAAATCATTTGACCGATACTGCTGAGTGAGATCTAAATTATTTTCTATACCCTGTTCAACTTAAGAGCATAAAACTATGTCCGTTTTCGCGCATGTGTTCTCATTCTTGGTTATCGGTACCGCTTCATCCACTCACCCGCCTATCAATCTCGCCACCGCTGATACACATGGTACAACATACGTAAAGAACAAAATATCTATAACATTTTGTTTTAACGGCCTTACCGCGTACACGTATATTCTCACACAAATGCTCCGTTTTAATTTTATAAACGTTACAATTATCTTTTAAGTAATGTAATTTGGTCTATGTTGCCCGTTAATTTGACTGAAACGGTATAAATATATTTGTATACATAAGCACACGCATATTTTCACTGATGGTGCAAACCATAAAACCACTACATATAAATATCTTATAAGTAATAAACCACAAAAATTCTTTAATATTATATTATATTTTATTTAGCTTATAAAAAAAAAAAATCGCAATTGTATGTATGTACATATCATATATATATATATACGTATGTCATATATCATGTGTCGTATATATCATATATCATATATATACGTTATCAGATATATCATTATTTTGATTAAAAAATTTTATAAACTACAATTCAAGTTGGCAATTATTTTCAAGACTTAAATCCAATGCTCGAATTGAGAGGGGACGCAGGGGGACTAATTTTTCAGAAATGTAAGCATACCGTTACTATTTGTTTGAAATGAAACGCATGGGACGCAGTGGAGAATACAAGGTACCATGTCTGGAAAGAGCTGTATATATAAGAGACTGTACCTATAAAAGTATTTAGTAGAATTTCTGATCTCTATGATTACGTTTCATTAAATAAACAAAATATAATAAAACAGAAGCAATAAATGTAATAGATACAAGTTTTCTTGACCTTTTTCCTAGGGGTTTCCCGATAATTAAGAAAACTATAAAGAAAATTAAAAAATAACCTCCTTAGTCCTTATTACACCAATGAGATGTTAATTTTTACTAGGAACCATCTCCTCTAAATTTGATAATTAGAGCAAGATTTCTGATAGAAAAGTTGTTCATATACAAAAGAAGAACAAACATATCATCGTAATAGAATTATGGTTATTATATTAGAATCTATCTATATCTAATATATCTATCTTATATTATATTAGAATCCAAAATAAATAATATCTATTGTAGTAGGTACTATACTACAATGTGAACAAAAGTTAGCCTGCAGTAGGAAGTGTTTGTTTTCAGAAATTATGAATTACTGAATTATGTTTAAAAATTGGTGTGGGAAGTATGAAGGGCTAAACCCCCCACGGGTTGAGTTGAGTTTAATAATTACAAAGGACGCACATTTGTTTTTTATGTCGTATATTCCCTATTCTTATATTTCATCAATTCGAGTAATGCTTAAACCATGCATATAATAGAAGACTTTAGTATTGGTAGCAAACCTCTTAAATGCTCTATAATGTTAAAAACAAATTATGACAACTCGTTGGGAGTGAAATTGCACACCCCACAACCCGCGTACGAACGCCTATACGTGTATATTACGATTTATTAGGCGATAGGTATTATAGATATTATAACTCACTGTATACACGACAGCCATAGCCACGACAACAGCACGTGGCCGCGGCGTATGATTGGTAACGATTGTTTCCGATTAATCAAGTAGGGAGTCCAGCAATGTTCAGCAGTCATTTACGTATGCGCAAACGGGTATACTCTTAAATTGAACAGGGTATAAACATATCACTAAGTTATTATTCTTAAATAATTATATCCAATGGAAAATTATATACACCTATACCAGTTATATAATACCACTATACTAATATATAGTTAGGAATTTTAATTTTGAAGATCTATTTTCTATTTTATCTCTATTTATTTATACACTAAAAATGTCCCTAGTTGGCTAGTTAAGACATGTATGACACATTTAATTAAGTTGTATAAACAAGTATTACAACATAGTATTTTATTTTAACAATTTAAAAAACCAATAATTTGAATAATTGTTTGTTTCAATTGATTTAGTTAAAATTTTGAAAACAACGCCATGGTGTTCTGGAGGTTAGCAATTGTTTACCTATTTTTTTTTCTATTTATAAACTTTATTTTTTTACATTGTTTATCATTTAGTTATTATTATTAACTAAATGATAAGTAGAAGAATGAAAGATTAGTAATAACTTATTACTATAGATTCAATGTTATTACCATTGATTTTATAATATACAGATAACTAGATTAACCATTCAAGTGTTAAAATTGTTAAATTTTTTCAACTGTCGGGTGATACAAAGGTAGATACAAAAAAGCGGGTACCAAGAGGTTTTTATTTCAAAATCAAGAGTGGGTAGTGGTTTTACCCCCTAAAATAAAGAGTGACAAAAAATAACAGTAATAGAGCTACGTATTCTGTAAATTGTAAAAACAAAAAAATCCGAAAAACTTAATACCATTATAGATTATATGTGTTTTACGACTTTTATGTTATATTGATCACCATGATCACCCTGAAAAAGAATAATTATAAATATTGGATCAACTTATTTTGAGTTTGCTGGCCTTAAGCAGATATAATACCTATCTTTAAAAACAGAAACAAGGCAAGAACATAAATGAATGACACAATATTATAATTACATGTAATACTGTTTTAGAGTCTGGGTACCAAGGTTTCACATGTATTGGTAAGCTTATTTGCGTACAATAATATTATACACCTATTATTATTTTATTATTATAACTATCGAATGAATTAATCGATAGTTTTCATTCAGTAGTAGCACCGACTGATTTTGTCTAACGATAGTTTAAAAAACAACCGAGTACTTTTTCCTTTTAAATATATATTATCAATAGAATAAACTAGGAATTCGATAGTCTGAAAGTTTTTTATCGGTAGTATCGGCACCGACTGGTTTACAAAACAATCGAGTGTTTTTGACTCGATAGTTTAAAAACAATCAAGTACTTTTTCAATTGAATAGATAGTGTCGATAATCGATAGTTTTTAAAAACAACCGAGTAAATAGATAGTTTGAAACTATCGAGTAGCTCGATAATTTTCACTCGGTAGTGCCCATCACTACTACGATATACATTACATATTATTCAGTGTTTAGTCGGTTCGTTTTAGTGCATTCAAATAGTTGTTATAAATATACTTATTTTATAAATATTTTCAATTAACCATGGATTCACAGTGGACGATTCAAAAAGAGAAATAAGGAATTCAAATATTAACAAACATTGATAATCCTACCATAAGAAAAGGTAGAGAGATATTAGCACGTCATTGATAGATTTGACTTAATTCAGATAGCTGGCGTTCAACGAGTATGACGGAAGCGCAATAAAGGAATTATAGCGATAATTAATAATTTCACTAATATTATTCATGGCATTTATGTGGCCAGTGGACGTGAATGGGAGACGAAAACGCACAAGAAAATAAAGGAACACTCCTCTAATATCCCAATATCTGCTGTGAAAATTTTTATCAGAAATCAACAAAAAGAAGTACAAGAGGCATTGTTGTTCAGACCATTTTAGATTCATCCCAGAACGAGTGAGAGCAAGTGGACCTTGTCGACTTTCGGAATTTAACTGATAGTGATTTTAAATACATTCTTTATTACAAGGACCACTTGATTAAGTTTTCATTAGATCGACCTCTGAAGTGCAAGAAGGCTTTAGAAGTTGCGAAAGAATTATTGCAGATATTTTTGGCTTTTGGTGCTCCTAACGTTCTTCAGACTGATAATGGTCATAAATATACTGCAGATTTAATAATGGAATTAGCTTCGTTATAGTTGTACTAGTGAATGGTCAATCACGTTACCCACAAAACCAGAGGGTCTGGAAAGAGAGGTAATTGTACGCTGAATGATTCACTAATAGCTTGGATGTGGGACAACAATACTATCGGATGGAGCTACAGACTCAAATTTGTAAAATGTAGTGTTAACACCACATACCATGAAGCTATCAAGATGACTAAGCATATATATGCCTAGATAGCTATTAAGACGTTGGCTTCCGCATACGTCTTAATAGCTATCTGTATTCCAAATTTCAGCCCGATCCGTTCAGTGATTTGGGCTGTACGATGATGAATTAGTCAGTCAGTCAGTCAGCCAAAATATGTTGTATTATATACATATTATATAGATTATGTATTATGATTACATTATATTTTGTATTAATAATAAAGAAAATCTACATTTATAGTTTTTTATTAGGTATTAATATTTGTATGTTTTATGTGTTAACTGTCAAGGGAAAAATGTAGGCATCAAGGATTTAGTTTGACTATAGACTATAGAGTCAATTATTGAGTTATAGAGCTTAAAGCCGGGTGCACACCAAACGCGCAAAACGTTTTGCAACGTTGCTATTGTGTTCGCTGGGTTTGGTATAGATCTAGTCTGCGCACAAACGAGCATGTTCATATATATTGTGTGGTTGTTCGGAATAACATGAGAAATGAGCGGTGTTCAGAGCGTTTTGCTTTTCTGGTTTGGACGAGAGAATTATCAGTATCGTAATATTGCTGTTGGTAGAACAGGTTTTGAAGCTATTGAATACGTCTTTCAATAAAATTTGTATTAGTTTATTATTTTTTTTAATAATTAAATAAAATAATAAGAAAGTATAAGCTACAGTTCTGAATATGCGTAGGGTTAAAATAGAGTTATTCAACTAATTGATTCCTATCGCTGAAAACTAGTTCTATGGAACTCAAAAGACAAATAAATATAATTTTTTGATTTTCCCGGCAGTTTTCACAATAAAAGAGAAAAAGTGTGAAAAAACGTAAGAAAAACGGGAGATTTACGAAAATAATGCTTTTATACATTGTGAATACTTTACGTGAAATACTATAATATTGATACATTGTGTATCATATAACCGTGTAAAATTTATCCTTATCTATAGTAATTTTTGCATATCTAATTGTATTCTTATTATAAATAGTAATATATACCTATAGTTTTATATAATATACCTATATATAAATATAAATATTTGTACCTTCAATTGTATGTCATATTGACAAAATAATTGAAAATGTTTTAAATTGTTTTTTACATTCTGAAAATTACGATACCTAATCGAATAATCATAAAATAATAGGTATGTAATCAATATAACTTATATTTTTAAATAATAGTATTAGTTAATACCTACTAAATATTTCAAATCGTATTATCAGATTTAATACTTCGTTAAAAAATTAGAGTTTTTTTTAGATACAACAAAATAAAACTTATTAAGTATATAAATATCAAACATCAAGCATTTTAGGTTAATTTAATTATTTAGGTGTATTAATACAATAACACCTGATACCTGTTGTATGATACGATTATCTATTATATCTTTGAAGTTTTTGATGTGTGCCATAATGATACTAGTAACTAGTACCTATGTGTTATATTAATAATCAGGTAGATTAATCGTTATAATACTTACATAATAATATGTTTAGTAAATATTGTTTGCCATACAATTGATATAATATTTGTTACAAAACGACTTTCCCAATTATAGTGTTTAGTTTTTGGTAAAAATTGCAATAGTTTCCTCCCGCCTCTCCTGTTGTCCTACAATTTATATTTGCGCATGTCTGTGATTATAATAATAATTATTATTGATTGAACCCGAACAGATAGATTGGATGTACATTTTAAACGTAAGTATAGTTTTATTTGTTATTTTATATATGAATTAATATTGAAAATATGGGCTTGGAACATGGACATTTGTGTTGAAAACCAATTTTTATTTTTATTCATTGATGACCAATAATTACGTCCTGCACTGGTTTTATTTATAGTTTTTGACAGAATCATTACTGTCGGGGGTGGATATTAAAAAAGATTAAATTTCTCCCGGACCCCCTAAATCAACCTGTTTTCCCTTGAATGCTGTACTATATATTCTTGAAAAATTGTAAACAACTATAAAGTGTTGTCGAACAATTTCTTTTCTAGGCCAATAAAATCCACACATTATCTCTCTATTCTATAATAAAAAGTTTTATTTTGTATATCTTTCATACAATAATATACGTAGTGGGATCAAAAAGTTCCCGGAATACTTGAATTGCGCACCAATACAGTGTCCAAGAGCAGTAGGATTGATATTAATGAATTCTGTAACTTCTTCGGAGTACATCTGTATTTGTAGATTATCTATAACTTTCTTTGTTTCGATGTAACCGATGTTTTCTTAAAATATTTTTTTCGCATTTGGCCCAAAAGTAAAGTTTTTTTGAGGGGGGGGGGTTGGAGGATTTTTCCTTCTATTTTGTTAACAGAATCTTGTTTGGTAGAGGAATACAACGTTTCACAGAACTTTTGCCAACAAATTGCAACTGAAAAACTGCAGATGTGTCGAATGAAAGTTGTATATAATAATTATTTTCATAATAATAATCACTACGTGTATAATATTATGTTATCATAAACATGAAAGAATAATTTTCTCTAACCAACAGCCTCCTCCCTCCTTCCTCAAAAGCTTTTCTTTTGGATTTATTACAAAATCGTCAAATTCGAAAAAAATATTTTAAGGGAACATCGGTTACATCGAAACAAAGAAAGTTATAGAGAATCTATAAATACAGATGTACTCCGAAGAAGTCACAGAATCCAGTGATATCAATCCTACGGCTCTTGGATGCTCCGTTGGAGCGCAATTCAAGTATTCCGGGAACTTTTTAATCCCATTACGTATTACATTATTACATTATACGAGTTACGAATATTGGCCTGTGAAGTGAGCCAGTTATATTATAATATAGCCAATATTATTTTCTACTAAAGCATATAAAAACAATCAATGTGTTTACTAATGCATAATAAATAATTTAACTATTTTTCATTAGAACTTGGTAGAACTTTTCTTGCTCCTATTTTATATGTCAGACATATAATAGAACATATGGGTAAGTTAATTTAATCTACAGTTTATAATAAAACCAATCAATAGTATTAAATTTGAAAACATTTTAAATGAAATTTAAAATTAAACAAAATCAATTTATAATAATTATAATAATCATAAAATATTAATAATACAAATGTTGTTAATTCTCATCAAAATATTTGTATTTATTTTCAAGTACCAAAGTTTATAAGTGATCGTAAGTTATTTTTATTACTGCTTAAAGTAAAATTTCTGTCAGTAGTTTGACATCAGAATTACAAACAATATGGGCATTAGTTTTTTATCACTGTTACAATTGTAACTCATAATTATATCGTCATTTTTAGGAAATAATAAATGTTTTATGCTACTATAAAATATAAAAATGAAAAATTTGTTTCTACCATTTTATTATATACCCTTTTGTTACAATTTATTATAATTTGCTTTGTTTTCTTTATGCTTAGAAGTTTAAATTTATAGTAATGAATGTAATGAATACACTTGTATATTTGTTTTAAGCTCAAGTACGCGAATTCATCGATTATTTATTTAATTCGATTAAAGACCAATTAGGTTTGTATTTTAGTAAAATTTATTTAATCTATTATCTAAATTATTATTATAATATTTTGAATAATAGGGAAACACGGGGCTAAACATTACAAGGGGCAAAGTATTATACAAAATTTCCAAACTATCTTTATCTTCCTCCAGTCTTCTAGGGAAGCCATAAAATCCCGAAAAGTAATCTCACAAATTATATTTATCTGGAAAAATTAGTATAGTTCTAGACTTCAATACGGAAAATATAAACACACAAACCGTATATTAGCGGAAGGATAATATACTCCTGGAATTTAAAATTAACCGGACTATATTTTTGTGGACTATGGAAATTCGGAGAGTGATTCGCCATATAGTTCCGGACCACATATTATTCCGGAAAGAAAAAAGAAGAATAAGCGTAATCTATGAGATATTTTATCTTTTTATGGTCAATATTCCTTAATGTATTTCAGATTTATCGCTCATAAATCTACTGATTTTAAAATTATGTGTTCTTTTAGATTCTAAGAGCAGCAAGAAATGTATTTACTTTTATAAAGTAGTACATTTTTTTTTCCTGTGCACAACTTTTCAACCAGAAATCTTGCTTCTATTTACAATGATACCCCTATATATTATCAGTAAACAATACACAAGTATCATCTACACATATAACAATAGAGTCATCAATTTCCATGTTACAAAAACTGTTAATATACCTACTAAACATATTTACATATTAAGATCGTAATATTTGTTTGCCTATTTAAAAATCGTTAGAAAGTGTAAACCATAATAAATATTATTTTATAACTGTATTTATATATTACAATACTTTATGCAAATAATATCACATAAAATTTGAGTTTCGGGAGTATAGGGTCGGCAACGATACGATTTGTGTAGTATTTATTTTTCCCGGATTTCTACAGTCCGTGAAAATACAATCAATATGTAATTCCGGAATTTTACGTTTCGTGAGATTACTTTCCAGAACTATACATAATGCGGCCATTTTTAATATCAAGAGTACTTTTTAGTTCTTACTTTTAAGCATTTTATGTTTAATTTTATCATAAAATTCATTAAAACCACGATTTTGTAGTTGAAAAATGATAATTTTTTCAATTTAAATTTACTAAAAACTATTTAACCAAACTCCTCTGAATTTGTTACGTTTGCAATGGTTTATCATTGCATATAGTGTATGAACTAAATCCTCTATGAGGCCAAATGACATGGGTATATACTATATTTATAGTACATTATATACATATATCTAACAATCCCAATTCACCATCTATAACGGTAGCACTATGAGCACTGAGTAGTACTCAAGTAGGATACTCAACATATTAATTATTTAATTTAGATAATTACTATTTAAGGTAATCATACATAGTAAACGCGGGTTACTCTATATTCCACTATCTCTAACCTACCCAGTACACAAGATATGAAATCATTTGCATATCATTATTACATAAATTATTCATATTAACATTAAAATTTATTTTAACAATAATTGTAGGCGTCTCAATGATACCACTGAAATATTGTGAGCTTTTTGATATTGGTAAGAATTTATGTGCGCGTATCATTTGTATATTATTGTTGTTCTTTTACACCTTTTTTGTAAGACATTTGAGGACCGTTAAATTTTTTGATAATACATAATTTACACATCATCTGTTTACCTTGTGCCAAATATCATACGTCGTTGAATTCCAATCACTTAACAAACGATGTATATATACGGTGATAATTCATGGACGCGTATTATGCAAATGTAGGTACACTCAGATCCGCTTATTCAATATCATCATATTTGCACTTTTTTTTATGAAAATATCCCTAGATTTGTCATGTAAAATCCTTCGGGTAGATAACAAGAGTAAACGTTTTATTTTTAATACAATAAAATCCATTGAATACAATTTATTTTATAAAATACATTATTTTTAAATAAAATAAAATATTTTGTATAAAAAAAAAGTGAAAAAAATACAGTGGCCTTTTCCGGGTTCAAACCCATTGACGTAAGTTTTCCACGAGCACTATGACCATTACGCCACCACATAATTTTAATTGGACTCTTGAGTATATCCAAATTTGCAAAATACGCTTTCCTGAAAGGTAATAATTTTTCATAATTTTCTGTATTTTCCTAATTATTTTTAAAACTACTAAAATACAACTCACCGCCTAAATTAAAAATACAACAAAAGAAATTGTCTGTTGTTTTTCTATTGGAGTAATAATTTTGTGCAGAAAACATCGTACGTAAATATGTAAAATAATGAAATCGTACAATGTAAATTTATTTGTTTTGTCCGGTTTTTCAAATTATTATGAAAACTTGGAATACCGATTTTATTGTTTTAAATTTTTCAAAACTTTATTTTCTACTAGAGATATTAATTTAATCAAAACACAATCTTTTTTTTTTTTAAATTTTGGACCTAGGTACTCACGATAAAGTAGTTTTTATAAAAATTTGAGAAATTGAGAAAAAAAAAGACGAAAAATGAAAACGAATAAATTACGTTGTATGATTTCATTATTTTAAACTTTTTAAGTGAAACTTCTTATCAGAGAGTACGAAAAAAAAAGATTATCACGCATCATAGTCGGCGTCATAGTCGATCGTCGGTCGTAGGCCCGGTCGCCGTGATCACATCATCAGCTGTTAATACACTCACACACACTATTGACACTACGAGTGAATGCAATCAGTGAACCATCCTGAGAAACTTTTAATATATAATGCAAGCCAAACCCCTCTTTCAGAATTTGTCTTTTATATCTATGAATATCCTCGATATATTCTGGTCATATAAAATTTTAACTTTTTATAGGTTATCAAGGTCACTCCCCTGATTTCGAAAATATATACATTACTTATGTGAATGCAGATAATAACGTATCATGAGTAAATTAAGTCTGTCGGGATTAAAATCCAAGAATTTGGATTTTCGAACTATCCGAAATATAGATTTTTCCCACCACTAACACACATACACATAATGTAAATAAAAATGTCACGACTATTTCAGTTATCACAAGCACATTATATCTTTCGTGGCAATGGAATAAGAAAATTAATAATAACAATAACAAATTAAATTAATTTCAATTGGATTTTATTTTATTCCAATACAAATCTAATTTTCATTCTATCAGCTGAATAACTCTGAAAGGAGTTTCACTTCATCGGCACGTACTCATTACACGTACAATTGTGTATGGTTTATATTTTTTACAAGAAATATTGCTCCAATAAAAAAACGAGAAAAGATATTTTTTGTTGAATTTTTAATCTAGTTGGTGAAAAAGAAAGTCGTTTTATGATTTTTATAATAAAACAATAAAACCAAAATGTTTTTACTTTACAAATATTCTCGTCATTTTATTGTAAATTTCATTATTTATAAATTAAACTATTTTGCATTCTGAGTGGAGTGAGATAAATAGATAATGTATTGATTTTATTGTAATATGTGTAAATTGAGTAGATATTTTGGTAGATACTACATATTAAAACCTCATGGTTTTAGTTTGTTTAAACAACTAAACTAACGTTTTACTAAAGGTTAGATAATACAATATATATTATTAATTAATTAATATAATTAAAATATGCATATTTGTTGTTATTAAATTTTTATTTTTGTATTATTATTATTACAGAGGTACAACAAAGTAAGTACCGTTTTTAAATTTATTTTAGATTCGGAATGTATGGGGGAATATTTGCATTTCATACTACAGTAAATAACCCATTTAGATCAATGGATTGTACTATTACTTTAATAAAAAAGTTGCATGCATTTATGGCATTTGTATAGTTTTTTTTTTTATATACTTTAAAAATGGTCCCATAGACATTTCATCAATATTGGTTTGGTAGTTTGGTTTTTATATCGAAAAATGTAATCAACTTCAAAAAAAAAAATAATAATAAAAATACAAAAGTCACTACACTAAAAAACAAAAAAAAAAACCTATTATTTATAATTTTAATAAAATTATATTATCATTGGTATACGCGATACCTTCTGATCGGTTTGAGGTCGGTGCCAAGTCCGAAACAAAATAAAACTTAAAGATAAAATATAATAATACAGCTTTAATCAATACCAATAATGAGTTACTGATATATTAGAGTTATATTCCGGTATGTTTCACCGACCTCAAATCGATCTGTAGGTAGCACATACTAATAATAATATAATTATAGGTTCTAGGTTTTAGTTCTTGATTTTTAGTGTAGTAACTTTTTGAGTTTTTGTTTATTTTTTTGGGGTCAGTTGAATTTTTTTTAAGTTTTATTACATATTATGTTAGTATACAAGATGTCCAACCGTGTTCACTGGATTTATGTAGACCTGTTAAATTGTATCTGTTCATTTTTTTAAATTTTCAAAATAGTCGAGTTGTAGTAATATCAAAATACACATTTTTGTTATTATTATTTATTACTATTATTTTTATTATCATTTTTTTTTTTTATGGAATACAATTTTATTAGAATTCCTTTTCGGTCATCGATTACTCAAAATATTGAAGACAACAGTTCACACGTAAAAAATACTTTTACTCTAATTTCAAGTGATATCGACTTAGCTTTAACAATGACTAGCCAATCTGATATTTCTAATAAAAAAGTGTTGGTTACGTCATCTCCTAACAGTGAAATGCCATCATCTTCCTCTTCGTTTATTAAAAATTCAGTTACTAGTTTATCACCGATCAAAATGATCAATAAAGAGCATAGTGGGAAGAAAAAAACGATTCTATGGAAATTAGTATAACTGGTAGAAGAATTGTTAATATATCTCATTTAACGAAATTTAACTAAAGACATAGACAAGCACGAAGTATTGGATTGTGTTTTCAAAGATATTATTTTAATTGAAAAAAAAAATTGGATTTAAGTATATGTTCCATTTTAAATGTTCGATGTGTTATATTGAAAAATATAGTTCAACATTTCCATGGAAATACCGACGGTTAATCAAAAACGTATAGTATTAAACATAACCTTGTTTATAAAGGTTATGCAATTAGAACAATGGAAAAAGCAGCCAAAGTTGAGGCAGAATTAGCGATAAAAGGAGATATTAACATCGATGGAACACCGTTGGTGACAGTAGTAGCAGATGGAACTTGGCGCAAATTTAAAATTAAAATTTTAGATTCTGAGTGAAGCAAAAAAGCTTATGGTTTTAAAAAAAATTTTATTTTTTTTTTTATCTGCGCAACTCTTCTACCAGAAATCTTGCTCCGATTTTTAAGTACACCTTTTCTAAAAAAAATTAGCGTAGGGAGGTTACCCTACTACTATTGAAACTTTTATTTTAAGGTTTTTTAACACGAAATTTATAGTAACGCACAAATAAATCATTCTAAAATCAATACGGTTTTCGTCACTCATGCGTGATTATTTATAATCCTACCATAAATTGCAGCTTACTTAATTTGTCTATGTTAAAAAATTTAGTAGTTATGCAAATGCATATTTTATTCAACTCAGTACGTCTATATATTACTATTATTCTTCATAAGGAGCAACTATAGGCAACCTAACAAAATATTATATTAATATACCAATAGGACGCTAGAGTACGTTTCTATTCAAAGTGGTTTTTAAAATTCCGTAATTTGACGGCCCGGTGTATTACTTTATATTATTTTACGTTCTGAAGTTTTATGGTATGGAGGTTTCCGTCTAATTACGATCCGTCAAATAACTGTTCAAGATTTTTTTAAATTCCGTTCCGTGAAGTCCCGTTTCGTATATTACGACCTGTCCTATTTTCATACTACGACAGCCAACAAAATTCTGTATGACAGTTGAGCATTTTCCAAATTTTGACGGCTGACGTAATTAGAAATTCAGTGAATTTGCTTTCCGTAAGATTACAATTTTGACGTTCCGGGACATTATGGTTTGGCCATTTACGTACTGTAATATTGTTTTCCGTTTGATTATTTTCCGCGATTTTACATACATCCCTCCCATAATACCTCTACCTGCCGTAGAGACAAAAAATGTCATTTCATCAGATATAGACAGCCGGTGTAATATCCTAGGAAAACTCAGAGGTCGATCCCAAGTCAATTAAAGTTGGCCACCCCTGGTGTACGTTATAGTTCGTACACTGATGAACCCCACACACTTTCGGTTTTAGCAACCTTATACGATGTACAGTATAGTCCGGATAGTTTTATCCATGTATCGAAATGTCCAGTAAATATAAATCCTCGTCGAGTTGTTATAATAGTATAATTAAAAAATATAATGTGTCATAAAATGTAGTGTTAAAATATATATTATATATATTTGAAACAAATTATTTTATTAATATTTAAATATAATTTACAAATAAAGCGTTAATTTATTGTCATATCACTAAAAACTAAAAATATCATATAATTTTATGCTTCGATCACGGAGTGGCCACATACCTTTCGTATCGCTATTAAAAATAGCATATACAGAAGCAAAATCAAACTGCTCAGACTTTTTCAGTCACCGTGTATAGTTGACGGGACAAGACGAGAAATGGCAATAAGCGGTGACGGAATAAATAAAGTTGAGAATTTTAAGTATCTTTAATCTTTTGTACAAAAGAAAATTGGCTTTTAAAAGCATGTGAGAAATAGGAATAAGTGCGTTTCGATTCAGTAAAGTAAAGCATCAGGTGTTTTGCGACAAGAAAATGTCAACAAAACTTGAAAAAGTGTAGTTATTTATAATATATTTAATTTATCAATTATCTGTAATAAACTATTAAACTAAGAAATGCAATTTTTTTTAAAATTAATCTAAATCGTAAGTTTATTAATCTTAACACAATAATTGTAATTGTTGTGTACCGCATATTAATTTTTTTTTTTAATTTTTTAAGACTAAATTAATTGCACCTGTATATATTTATTTATTTCTTCATCTTGTTATTTTTATTTGCCAGAATGTATCGGTAAGTGTAAATACAAGTCAATAATATGCGAAAAAAGAACCAATATATATGAGTATATTTCAAAAAATATTTATATGATTTATTATTTTGTTATTGCTTAATCCAATGGCCACGGCCACATGTTAACAAAATTTACATGTCGTTGGTCAATTAAGGTAGTCACTATTTTAAATAGATACCTATTTATAAAAAGGTATTTATTTAAAATAATTAATAATACATATAAATATCTTAAGGGTCAACAAGTTATCTGATAATGTTTCAATTGATTAAGGCGGTATAAAATAATTAATTTTAAATTTTTCAAATTTTCCAAATAATTAACATTGTCGAGTTCGAAACTGACAAGCATAGACCAAATATATATATATGTATAATATTCTTTTCTCCTGCTTTATCTAAACCCATCGTAATTTTTTTATCTACTGAGTTTTAGTTTTACACTTGGAATACTAATTTCTTTGAGACATTATTAAATTCAAACTAACAGATAGTTAATGTTTTCCCATTTTTCCTCTGCTGTCTCTAAACCCGTAATATCTATATATTGTCTTGGTAGATAGTAGTTGGTTTAGGTTTCACTTAAAATATTATTTTAGACTAAGTCTTATGTTAGTCACCCTAAGTTCATTTTTCAGTCCAATCATTTTAGTAACCGCGTAAATAATATTAATAGTGGTTTTCTTGCACAGAGTTTGTGAAGTGTTTATGTTGGAATACTTATAATATACTAATTATATTATTATGAGTATAATAATATTAATACACAAATAATAATAATATTAATAATAGCACAAATAAAAATACAAATAACATAAGTGATATCCCAAAAAAAATACAATATAAACTCTGTGTAAAAAACGGCTCAGCATACAAAAAACTAGGCTCTATAGGTTGTGATTTATTTTTAGATAATTTTTATGTTTATTTTTGGCTATTGTATGTAAATATCCAAAATAAAAAATGTTTAAACTGTTTTTAATAATTAATAATATTATAAAACCTATATATTTTTTGCGTTAATTTTTAATCAATAATTTACATAATATTATTCTTTGTCAAAATGATTTTTAATATACAGATAGTATGAATAAAAATGGATTGTCCTGTAAGTAGTTTTAAATTACTTAGGCATATATATTTTATATTAAAAGAATATATATAAATATAAAATAGTAATATGCCCTTTGAATATCATAGTTTGTCAAAAAATAGTGCGACTTGAATGACAATTGTAAATACTATGGTTTTATAACATGCATATTAGTTTTAATTGTAGAAATAACAATAATTTGTTATTTAAAAACTAATTTAGGTATTTTCAATTGTTTTATCTCAAATTTTTCTTTTTATTTAAATTGAAAACAACTTGCTCGATATCAATTTTATACAAATTTAAAACCCACTATGAGTCAATGGAATACGTAGAAACTCATTTTGGTGCAAATAACAAACACTGTTTTCAACTATCTACTGCTGTACAAATTACATACTCTTCTTTTAGTGCGAATTTGGACGAGATTGTTATTTTTTGAAGTTGATACCTGTATCTCGATTTTTTAACAATTTTCATTTTTTCTTTTTCTTTTTAATTTTCTACGGCAAATTAAGTTAACTTTGTGTCAGAATACTCAAGTTTTAATTACAGTCGATTATTTACAATTTGATTACCTTTTATACTTTATTCAAAATAAGAATACACCTCACGAATATATTCCCACTATTGGCAACTGGCATTCGGCCTTCACCACCCACCCATTATAATGGAAGTGGAGGTGTATGTGGATTCTTATTCTGAATAAAGTACAGTTTAATTGTGTTATTTTCCTAGTAGAAATAAAGTAGGAGAAGGAAGAATAGTGGAAATAACATTTTTTTTTTTTTTTTAGTACGTAGCATTTATGCAGCCTTTAACCGTATTTATTATAATTTGTGTAAGTAAATTAAATCTTATAATCTTTTAGTTTCTATCATTGCTTTTTTAAATTATTATTTCTCCACTAGTATTTAAATATAAAATAAAAATAATGATTAATAATAACTATTACAAATTATAACCAATAATCAGTGATTATACATAATATGTTATTTACTCTTTTAGCACTTGATACAGTAAAAGAAAGTGAGTATTTTATTTCTGTATGAGGAATATATTTTCCTAAGTTCTTATATTTCCCTTAAACAGAATATTTAAGTAGGATAAGGATGGATAAAAAAGGGGCCTAGGGCCCCAGTTATATTTTTTTTTAAATATATCCCTATATTACTATAGTTCAATCACAGATATGTACGAGGTTTGGCTATTAAATAACGAGACTACGCGCGCAGAGAGTGTCTCAAAAAGGTTAGGAGAAAACCGAATACAGCGCTGGTTAGCTGGAAGTGTCTATTATGCCAGTACAAAATCGGGTTTTTGTTGGTGCATCAGTATTTTTTCTGTAGCGTTTAGAAACGAACGTGTTTTTTTCTCTTGCCAAAAACGATGTGTGACGAAAAACATGAGCAATGGATAAACGTAAAATTTTCTCGTTTAACTAAAAAATACTCCAACTGAGTGCTATAAGTTGTTAAAAGAGGCCTATAGTGAGGATTACCTATCTCAGGCGCGTGTTTTTGAGTGGCATAAATTATTTTCTGAAGGTCGAAAGTGCACCGGAATCCAATTCAGTCGTAATCCAAATTCAAAACCATGCTGATCGTTTTCTTCGATATCAACGGCATCATGATGACTGAATGGGTTCCAGAGGGTCAAANTGTGGAAAAACAAGTCGTGGATCTTGCACCAGGATAACGCACCTGTCCATAACGCGCTGTCTGTGAAGCGTTATTTGGCCGCTTAAGACACTCCAGTACTCGAAAACCGACTTACTCACCCGACTTGGCACCCTGCGACTTTTACTTGTTTCCAAAGATAAAGTCTGCCTTAAAAGGAATCCGGTTTGAGTCGATAGAAGAGGTGAAACAAAAATCGGCGGAACTCCTGAATGGTCTTACGAAAACAGACTTCCAGCATTGCCTCGAGAAATGGAAGAAACGAATGAAATGGTGTGTGGCGAGGGGAGGGGAGTATATTGAAGGGGAGCATTTGAATGTAGAATAACTTTTATAATAAAACACTTTTTCGTAACCAGTCTCGTTATTTAATAGCCAGAACTCGTATGATAATATAATGTATCATATTATATTGTAATTGTATTTGTATTGTAAAAACCTTGTTGGGGCATCCCAGATCTTTGCTCTGAGATAAGATTTACAATTGTTAGAAGGTGACCTAAAACTAAATTTTCTCTCATATTTATTTATATCACATTATTCAGTTCACACTTGTGCATTATTCGTAGCAATTTTAATTTTAAAAAAAGAACTGATATTGGGAATGTGAGCGGCCACTGTTGTAGATGAAAAGTTGAGAAGGTAGAATACATAAAATTATTTTATTTACATCTGTAAGCAATGATAAACCATAGCTTGACAAAAGACGATTCCGAGTTCAAAAATATAAAATTTTAAATGCTGTAATTTTTTTGTCAATTTTGTTTAAATTTGATTTCAAAACGCTTATTAAAAAAAAAAGTTACCCAATGATTTTGGAAATTTTACCACGTCTAGGGTAGTCCAAAGTACGTATTATTACCAAGTTTCAAATCTCTACGTGTATTTATAACTGAATTACAACAAAAAAACTCTCAAAAATTTAAATTCCTTAAATGCTCAAAAGTTTCTGCGATGATATAGTAAGAAAGTAAACCAATGAGGTAACCAAAAAAGTGTCTTGTGATTTTGCGATTAAATCATTTTTTCTGGTAGAAAACGTCGTCCATGTTTTTATAAAATAATGAAATTGTACGTTTTCCTACATTTTTTTCCCCTTAAGTGCTTTTATTTAAAAAATGGCATGAAAAATCAAAATATGACCTTTATAAAGTACTATCTAGACAACTTGAGCTTTCATAAAAGTTACTATGCATAAAAATCGAAGCAAGTTTACTAAAAAACATGTCTACAGACTAGAAAAAAAAAATAAACGTTTTAGTAAAACAATAGCTCCCTCGCTACACTCTAGAATCTAAAACATAAAAGTGCAGGAAACTTATATTTTGTAAACAATTTTAAATTTTAAAATTTAAAACCAGAAATTCCCGAATTTGTCACAATACGACCAAATTGGAATTTTTTTTTCTAAATTTTGAGATATTCATATTAAAAATTTCCATCACAGTGACATATACTTTTAATTCCAATTCATTATACACACACGTAAATGATAAAAACTAAATTAATAAATATCAACAAATAATTTGTTAAAATATATTGTAATATGTATACGTTTATATAATATAATGTAAATCGTTTTTTTTTTTTAAAAAACAATTTATTAATTAGAATACAATTTTATAAACACCTAATACTCTAATTATAATTGACAAAACAAAATAAAAGTACAGCAATAATAATGGTAACTCAAAGTTTGAAAAACTCTTATATATATCACTTTTGGTATAAATTATAAAATTAAATGCTGATTTAATTTATTTAATTTATTTTTCAGTTTACATCCAACACTATATTAAATATGTGGTGATGAATGTTTTAGTAGATGGTAATTATAAAGTTAAGATATTATGAAAAAAGAATACATCATATTCGAGGAGCGATGCTAATCTAAACTAACCAAATTTAAATATATTATTATTATTATTATTTTTTTTTTTTTTTATTAAATTAAATACTAAAAAAGCCGTCATATTTTTTCATCATAACTGTTGAAGGTTGAGATTTGGATAGGTAGGATATATACGCTGTGAGCTCATAGGCTATAGCCTCTAAATACGACCCTACCTAGAACACTTATTTAGATTCTGAGCATTTAAATAACAGTTAAGTAACAGTTTGGTGAAATATTTAAAATATATTCTATTAATGTATTGGTTTTTATTTATGTAAATAATTAATAATTAGACTTCAACATAGAACTTGTATTGTTCATTTTTTGCGCTGATCTTCTCATTTCTACTAACTTATTAATTTCGGTTAACTAATAGTTCTAAAATACTCTTTTTATTAATTATTTGTAATTTAAAATTTGAGCAACTTGTTTCTTAAATTGTTAAAAAAAAAAAAAACAAAAAATTTAATACTTTTAGAGTTATTGAATTGAGTGTACTGAGTGGGTACCTACTTAAATAGATCAACCCGTAAGCTAAAACCTACAAAATGATTTCATAAATATCCCAAAATGAATAAAGAAATACAAAAAAAATGTCTTTAAAAAAAAATTACTAAAATTAATGAACTAATAATTATTGATTTTTATCGTATGTAGACAAAAAACTGATTAAAGGTACGGACGCTGTATCATGGTGTACCTTCAAGAACAATCCTTCCATGTTTGATAATATTTCTCAGAATCAAACTAAAAATGCTACAGAAACATCTGAGAAATCAAAAGAAATATTAAAAGACGTATCAAAAGAAATATTAAAAGACGTATCAAAAGAAATATTAAAAGACGCATCAAAAGAAACACCAGTAAAAAAATCATCCGTAGAAATACCATTAAATTTATCAACAGAAAAAAATACAGTAAAAGATTCACAAGAAGAAACACCATTAAGACCATCAGTATCAGAACCAGTTATTTCACAAATTAAAAATCTATCTGCAGATGAAAGAAAAAAGATGTATTTTGGTTCAATTCAGAAAAATACGCCTATCGAACCCAATGAAGATCAAAGTAAATCAAGGTTCCAATTTTTAAAAAATCCCCTAGAAATTGTAAAAGAAGTGGAACGTAAATTACAACAACCTAGTAAATATTATTCTGATTTTATGGCTAATCCTATTGAAACCGCAAAAAATACTTTCTTAAGATTTACAACATTTCAAGATGACTTTGTTAATGATGATAAATTTTAATGTAATAATGAAAGATAACAATGTAATATTTTACTTATATTTTGTTCCTCGTTCTTACTCAATGCATGCCCATTAATTTTGAATATTATATAAATAATAAAATATAATATTATAGGTAAAATATTACTTACTTTTATCAAGTATTAAACCATTAGTTTACAATTATTAGTAATTATTTAAAATATTTAATTTGTGACTTAAAGTAATACAGAAAATATTTTTAAAATATTTACTGACTTTGATTCTATTTAAATTGAACTGAAATTTATAAAAAAAAAAAAGAAAATTTATTCATTCTATTCCTAGTTTATTCAAGGATGGTCAAATAACTACCACTGGTGGGTGTTTTTTTTTTTTTTTGCTTTCTGGTATGAATGCTAAAAGCGCTTCCCAAAGGTTAAGTAATATTTTTTCTATCTCAGCTGAAACATTTTTTTTTTAAATACGTCAAATCTATTAATTTTATCTTCATAGAATTAAGGGGCTTCAATGCAAAACGTACTTTTTCTTTTTTTCTTATTTTTCAAAGGAGCAGGTTTATTGTTTAAGGTATTTTTAATTGGTGTAGACCATTTATTCAAAAAAATGACCAGGGTATTAAAAAAAACTAAAAAATATTCTTGTATTGTTTATAATATCATTATTTTCTATTTTATGATTTTTATTGCTTTTTTTTTTTGAGATTTAAAAAAATTGTTTTCAACAAAACCAACTTTTTCGAATAAAAATGTTTTGCATTAAATTTGGAAAAATTACATAAAATATAAGATATAATAGCATAATTCTAGTTTAGCTTTCACAAGATATTTTAGGTTTGTTTTTGTTTTCAAAATTTTTGTTTTTGTGTACATTAAGAACGAAAAAAAAAAGAAAATGTCGGACAAACTTCGTTTGAAAGTTATAATGGAAAATTTCATAAAGTTCAGATTTTCCGTTTCACGTATTTCTTAGTTATAATTTAATATTTTCCAAATTTTCTTTTTCTAAAATATGTATTTTTAATGCTTAATCTATCGGTATAATCAAAACTTACCTATCATACTTACTTTTATAGTTTTTATACATTAACCTTGAAAAATAGTGTTTTTGGAATTAATTCGAAATGTGCTTAAAAATAGACATTTTTACTATTATTATTTTTAGTTGTTGATATTTTGATAACAAAGTTTTTTTATTGAGTCAGAATAAGTCTATCGCGCTTAATTTTAAAGTTACAAACATTCAAACTGCACTCACTTGGACAATTTTAATCGAAAATAATCCTAAAGAGTAACCACATTAGGTCTTTAAATTCACCTATAATGCTTTTCACTTTTCCTTGTTACTTACCCCACGTGGTTTTGCACAACAAAACGGAAAACCCGAACATCATGAATATTTCCCACATAACTTCCAAACGAAGTTCTTTTTTTTTTTACATTCTTAATGAATACACAAAAACACAAATTTTGAAAAAAAAAAAACACAAAAAATCACGCGGGAGCTAAACTAAAATCGTTCCAAATAAATTATACATGAACATGAATGATGTGATTTTGGAGGGATGTGGTATCATAGAATCTATATTATACAATATCTCACATTGTAATGAAGTTAGGAACGAGATTAGAACATTTTATGAAAATTTTAAATACGTAGATTTTAAATAAACACGTGGCATAAATATAATTAAAAATCAAATAATATAAACTTTAATTTAAAATTAAATTCTTAAAATATTATAATAAAAAGACAAATTTCTGTTTTGGAAAAAACATTTAATGACTCAATTCAAATGTATAGAAAAAAGAGCGTTTTGTTTAGTTATTAAAATAGACCTTTTTAACAAATAATGAAGGAAATAGTCCGTTTTGCAGTGAATTTCTATGTAAAGTACACTTTTAACATTGGAAATAGAAATGGTATGTTTTGAATTAAAATGGAAAAAGTTCGTTTCGCATTAAAGGATACCTTGGAAATGGAACGTTTTGCAAAAGAAGCAGGTTTTTAATCATCATTTTCTTAAGGAAAAATACCATTTAGAGTTATAATAGTGACACCATTCGATTGTCCAAGAAGTTTACCGAAAGAATCAATGCATTATTCATTTATCTTAAAAATGGAAAAAGTACGTTTTACATTGAAGCCCTTCAATTTTGGAGGCGACGAAGACAGAATGTTAATTATTATTTAATCTTATAGATGTCGGTACAAACATTAAGGTTTAATACAAATGTCTACAGTTTTATTTTCTTCTATCTTTTACAAATGTCGTTTAATCTCTGTTTTCAGTTTCTTTAAGACCCATATTTTCAAATTTCCTCCCCCCCCCAAAAAAAAAAAAAACGTATCTATTAGACAGTCACCCAGCGTACTGCGTACATTCATGTTATTACTTTGTGGTTTTCTTATTCTGTTTTTAGCTTGTCTTGTAGGTTGACCAATACCTACCTGATTATTTAAATACAATTTAGTCATTTGAATTGAATAAATGTGAAATAGTTGCCTATTTTTATTTAGGAAGCATGAAAATTTAGATAAAGGTCTGAGAAATATTTAATTACCAAATAACAGACTAAAATTTAAATTAACAAGCATATATCTGTGGTCTGGTTAAGACCAATGTTAAAAAAAAAAATGTATTAAAATAACTATGGAATTTACGTTAGATTTTTGGGAGATAAATTTAATTTTTTGGATTTTCAATTTTTTTTTTTTATATATTCTTGTACCAAGCAGTATATACATTATATACTGTTATTATTATATTATTCGACAAAGTTATTTCTAATAAAATAATTTTTATAATACACATTCATAATATCAGTGGCACAATCAGATTTTTTTTAAGGTCTACCCCATACTTGTTATATTTTTTATATTGTTAGGCAATAACACATTAGAAATACTTGGGAATAGCTAGATATACAAAACAAAACAAATAAAATAATATCTTTATAAAAATAGGTACGTTATTACTTATTAGTTATTTCTTCATTGCTTTGAGAGTTGGAATCTCTGCTATTCGTATTATCATAGATCGTTTGACTAGTACACAGCCATATCTATACCGTTGTGGTTTGCTTCTGTAAGGCCCTTTTCATTGCAGGTGATTGGACACTTGCAGTTTATTGTTTGCTCCTCACCATATTTACATAGCTCCGATGAGTCTTCTAAGTAACCCACATTTTCAGATTTGCTTTTCATCATCGTCTACATTAAAGTTGGTATCATTGTCAATAGGAGTAAAAAGTTTCTGGTAAAAAAGTTGCACACAGATAAAAAAAAAATAAACATCTTTGGAAACCTAAGCTTCTTTGCTTCACTCAGAATCTAAAATACATTTGTTTTTATTAGTAAAATTGTATTAAAAATTAAAATAAATAATAGTTATTAATTATATCATAAATCATTTAGAAAAATGTCATTATCAATTGATAACCATAGATAATCTATATTACCATAAACCACTACTATAACCACAAGTAATCAGTGTGATAACATATATTATCTTCGGAAACATACCGTGTGTATTAGGTATAGGGACACGGTCTTAGATTATTAGGTCTGGCAAGTACGCGTCGAAAGTGATGCTCTTAATATCCCCTTCGACGGGTCTCGCTTAGATAGTGCTATCTAGTGTTGAAATTTTAATAGTACAAATTATACTGAAAATAGTGCAAATAAGATCATAGTGTAAGCCCTAGCTGTTATTTACGCTATAGTGGAGCGCTCTAGTTGCAATTCGTGATTATATGTTTAACACATTAGATCATCATGATTAATGCATAAAAGTATACAAGTATATATAAGTAAATAAATTATTAACAGCATATTCCATATTTAAACCTCCAAAATATCAAAACTGTACAGTAGAAAGAAATAATCTTGAAGAAAATCTTATTAAAATATATTATATAAAAAGTACAAATGCTGATAATCATTCATTAGTTTTTGAAAAACTTAAAAGAAGAAAACAACTTAAATCAATGTTATAAATTTTGGTGAATGGCAGTTTACTGGCATATTTAAACATGATTACAACAATCATTAATCAATTATCTCCTACTGTTGATTGTTTAAAATATTATTTTGTAGGGTATTTAAGTCATCGAATCATAAAAAGAACAAATTGACTAAAATGTAAATCCTGTATCGAATTTAACCAAAATAACAGAGTAGAAGCCCACTAACAAACATTAAATGTAAAGGATGGCTTAAACATCCAAAGACTTACTTATATAATTTGATGAGTGCTGTAGAAGACGAATTTTAAAAGCATAGTGAAAATTAAACTATGTTTAATGATATTGTAGAAGGTATCATCACTAAATTTAAATCATTAATTTTTCCATGTCTAGATTAAAGATTAAATCATTTTTTATTCAATTAAATATTATATAAGTAGACAAATGTGACAGACAGTACGCAAAACAAACAAATCAAGAAGAAATTAATTAAAACTGTAAAAAAAACTATCCAAATTTTTTAAATCTTAATTTTAAAATACTAACTGAATAAATTTATAGTATAACAAAAAATTAATTTAAAAAAAATTAATTTTAGATTCTGAATGGAGCGAAGAAGCTTATGGTTTTACAATGATGTTTATTTTTTTTTTTTTTATCTGTATGCAACTTTTCTACCAGAAAACATACTCGGATTTCTATGTGTAGCACCTTTTCTGAAAGTAAATTGGTGTGAAGAGGTAATTTAGGGAGATAATTTTTCGATTTTCTCAGGAGTTTTCCCCGAAAATGTGAAAAACCAGGAAAACCGTAGAAAAATTAGGAATACTGGTACAACATTAAACAAATATTATTTATGAAAATATGTAAACACTATTTAATTATTTACTATAAAATGACAAATATATTGTTGACAAAGCATCACTATCAACATCAATTATGTAAACAATGGTTTATCATTACTTACAAATATACGTTAAATTCCCATCTATATTCTACCTTTCCAACTTCCCACCTACATCAGTGGCTGTACCCGTCCCCATTATCTTAGGTTTTTCTTATTTTTGTAATCCTAATCCAGAAATACAATATGTAAATATAGTGTTGACATGTAGTATACTTTACACCACGGACTTATTTGCACTTCAAATTTCACCACTAGAGCGAGTGCCATGACTGAGAACATTAACAGCACACATTTTACCACGGTCTAGGATAGGAAGTTGCATAGGCTTGTATAGGGATGTTCTATCCATGTATATATTATCTATGGTGACTCGTCGCGTTGAACACTCAATAGTATAGGTACTTACGAGTTAGAGATTTTGTACAGCTAGTCATGAAAGTATATATTAAATGTTCTGCAGCAACAAAATCTTAAAGAATACACACTAATGTTGATAGACACAGAGGCGATTCTAAGGAGGTAGAGGGTTGGGGGATTTGACACCCCTCTAAAGTCGTAAACTGTAATTCTCAGTCGGCATATTATAGCTATTCTCAAAACCAATATTACATAAAATTATAATATTTTAGATTCTGAGTGGAGCAATGTTTCTAAAAATAAATCCGACTGGGAGGGAAAGTGGGTACTTTGGTTAGATCATTTTTTGATTTTCTAAAGACTTTTTCCATCAAATGTAAAAAACCAGGAAAAAATATGGGGATAACTTAGGAAAACTTAGAAAATCGGTACATTACACAAATATTATCAAAGAAAATATAATAAAGCCTCTTTAATTATTTTACTATAATATGGTATATATCTTGTCGACAAAGCATCACTATCAACTAAACTCCACTCAGAATCATTTTTTCGTAAACAATGGTTTATCGTTGCTTACAGGTTAAACATACATTAAATTATCAATAACAGCGGCTGCACTCATCTTCATTATCATAGGACGTAATTTTTTTACCACTAAGAACAACTTATGATGAATTTCGTGTCAAATTGTAAAACATTTCGTTTTAGTCTAAAAATTTTATCAACAAAGTACTGACCAAATAAAAATGACTACAAAAAAATTCCCAAAATTAAAATATCTATAAAAAACTCAAAAGTGGTTTATATGATTTAAAACAAAATATGACTTTCAATAAAACTATCTAATTAATTTTATAACAAACTTATTTGTTCAATCCTCTAATATAAATATTTTCAAATAATATTTAAAAAAAAAAGATAGACATACTTCGGACATGGGTGCAGCCATTTTTGTAGGTGAGAAGTTGGAAAGGTAGGATACAGAAGGGAATTTAATGTATATCTGTAAGTAACGGTGAACTATTGCTAACGAAAAAACGATTCTGAGCTGAATCCAGTTGATAGTGTTTTTTTGTCAACAATACAATATATGGTATATGTCATATTATGAAAAAATGTTTTCAACAATGTGCGTTTCCATAACAGCAATGATTATTTAAAAAAGATTAAAATAATAAAAACTTAATAATAACAAAAGATCAATAAAAACGTTTGCCAATTTCAACCTTATTTTTAATCTTTCAATCTTTTTTAACCTTAAGACCGAGGTTTTCCTCGTGATCTCGATTATTATTGAGAATTTCAAAAAATGACCTCTTTAAAGTACCATCCAGAGAAAATTTCTTTTCAGAAAAGGTGCTATACTTGATAACCAAAGAATGATTTCTGATAGTAAAAGTGTTCACATAAAAAAATAATATACATCATTAAAAAATCAATGCATTCCTCGCTCCACTCAGAATCTAAAATTAAACAGAAAATAACATAACAAACAAAAAAAATTTTGACTTATATTAGTTATGGTTGGTAAATTTTACAAAATATAAAATAGGTATAAAATGGTTCATGATCAAATAAACGTCTCCGTAAGGAACTTATCCGATGGAAATAGAATACAAATATTATGTAATAATTTTACAGTCACTCAATAACTGAAAAGCGCCTTCAATCTTACCACGCCTGGCATATAATAATTTCTTGTTTATTAGTAGGAGTATAAGATTAGGTTAGGCTACAACACACATTAAAATATGCCACCATATATATATATATATATAATACAACTAGATAGCCGACTTGTCTTTAGTGTTGAAGTCAGATAAAATGACCGACTCTTCTTATCAAAGAGGACATGGTTTACAATTTCTTCGTTAATAAGATCTAAAGTTTGATTTGACAAAAACCAAATTAATTTGTTATTACTTAATACTTATTAATTAGAATCACAGAGTCTTAAAGAATTTTAAATAGTGCTTATTAACTTACTTATAATTTTCGTTTTTTTTTTTAGTATTAAATAAAATAATATACAGATGCTGTGTTTGGAAATGTCCAAATTAAAGGTGTTACTGGAAGAGGTATTGTCAGGCCTATTGATGTACAGATTTTCTTGAAAGATAAAATTACACCAAAACGTAGGTTAGTTATTGACAATATATCAATACCTAGTGATGTGCCTAGCACTTAGTGCAATTAAACTGTTACAACACCCAAACGATTCCAGATAAATGCAACCTTTAGTCCAGACCCATATAATTCTACTAACAATAGTCCTCGTCAGCTATCATATATTATTCCAAAACAGGAAAGACCTAATAACAAAACTCTACACCTGTTATACCTATAAAAATAAAATTGAAAAGTTATGTTAAAGTCCTTCAATAAAAATTGAAAAGATTGAATACAAAAAAAATAAATTTGCAAGATTTGCTAGCAGAAATAAAACAAAAGAAACTGATTGAAGATGATGCTCATAGGTTACTAGAACATGAATTTGATAGGGTTCAGCTGGAACTTTTTAAAAATGAGTTATTGAACATAAAAAAGGAAGCCTACTTCACTGTACATACTAGTTGTATGTACAGTGAAGAATTGAAGAAATTTGCTCTTAAACTTAATTATTATTTGCCCAAAGCATATCAATTTTGTCAGTCAGTTCTATATAATTCTTCATCACAATAAGGTAATAAATGTATAATTATGTTTAAAGAATCTTCATAAAGATATCATTATTGTATATTTATTTACTATAAATAAATAGGAAAATATTTGAAAATTCCTCTATAAAAAATGAGTAACTAAATAAAATAATATATTTTTCTACTTACTTAAATTAAAAATATATTTTATTACTTTATACTTTATTTATTATTATTTTTATTTTTAATTTTAGTTATTTTATTTAAGGTTTTGTTTACATCATAATTATTATAAATAATTGATTGACTAATGTATAATAAATTTAATTTAATAATAATTTATAGATCTATATTCCAACTTTCTCATCCTACTGTGATATGAAAATGGACAGCTTCTGTGAATGCTGAACTAGGATTTTTAGTGAGGTTTTTGAGGTTTTCAAATACTTTCAGCTAGAAGAAATAGACTGTAATTTGGTTATGGGTGCTATGTGCATAAAAAAAGCAGGTCATATAAGATAAAAAACCACACAAGTTTACTGATTATTGTAATTTTGGCGGTGAATTACAGATTGAAGGTTCTGAAACAGCTGCTACAGAGGTTTAAGTATTTATTTGGTGAGTCTTACTGGAAAATATAAAATACCAATAGCTTATATTTTTCAAAATAAAATAAATACAGTGTCTCAAGCAGAATTAATCAAGTCAAGCCTTGTAGCTCATCAACCTGGTTTATGTGTATGGGAAGTAACATGTGATGAAGCATTCACTAATTTTTCTACTTTAAAAGTATTAGGATGTGATCTGAGTAACAATTTTATTGACTTTAAACCAGAGGTTCTCAAAATTTTAATTTCACGTATCACTTATATGTATTATATTGTCCCTCAGGTACCACATAAAACTAAAAATTAAACAATATATAATGTTTTTACATTAATTCCAAAACAATAAGAAAGTATAAGACAGTAAAAATACTTCAATATTATATTACATAAAATATAGTATTAGATCCATTAAAAAACAGTTGTACGAATATTGATTAATTTATTTTCCGTACTGTTTGGCCACGTGGCTTCTGCATACCACCATGTTGCCTACTGTGTACCACAATTTAAGAACCGCTGCTCTAAACCATGATTTAAGCATCCAGCAAACAGCTCACAGGTGTTTTTTATTCCTAATGCATGCCACATGCTTAAACTGGCTCATAATTTATGAGCCAGTTATGAGTCATAACACTTTGGGAAATGCATTCATCATAAATTCACCAAATGGATTAGTTAAATGGTATCAATTTGATTATTTACATCAGCCACAAATAGAATTGAGTTTGAAATTTGGCAACAAATTAACCGGTTTCCATATTAGGTGGAAGAATTATAAAATGAAGGTAAAACTGCCCAGCTGTTAAGCTCATCAACAGCTAATGCACTTCAATATTTAAATGACAACAATTTTCAACGATTTGGTGACTGTGAGGCTACAATTGAATATTGTAAATCCATTGATCAAATTTTTGAACTTTTAAACCCAAGTTGTCCCTTTTCAAAAGAATATAAAATTCCCATTTTAGGTCAAACATGCATTTTTTACAAGATAAAATTATTCCCCTTATGAATTATTTGTCTACTTTTAAATTTAAAATTCAATTTTACTTTATAAAACAAATGAAAAAAACTTTAATTTTAGGTTTTACGCCAGCTGTTAGGTCTATTTTTGAGATTTCAAAAACTATATTTATAGAAAATTTAAATTTAAAATATATTCTAACATAATTACTCACAAAATCATATTGAAATTCTTTTTGGTCGTATAAGGCAAAGATACGGTACAAACAACAATCCAACTGTATTATAATTATAAACTGCTATGAAGCAAATATTAATAAAAAATTCTATTAAGTGTTCAGATAATAGTAATTATAATGCCTTTAATAACGATATAACAGCGTCAATTTTTTCTTTTACGTATATTTCAAAAAATTAAAATATTTTAACCGATGATAATTTTGATTCATATTATATAAAATCTGAAGAAGATATTTTAAACTAATTAATATTGCTTAACAATAAAAATTCCGGTTATAAAGATTGCAAAAATAAAATAATGTATTAAATGTGTGGTTATGCTGTGAAAAAAATTATAAATATGTTAAATTGTACATTATGCAATCAATCTCTTATAGAACCATATTCTGTATATAATAATTATAGCTATATTGACCAAAATAAAATATTTGTTAGTTTTATAAATAAATGGAGGTTTAATTTCTGATTCTCAAAATGCTTTTAAAATAATATATGAATATATGAAACTGATAAATATCTTTTATTATTGACTGGCAACTAAAAGAAAAATAAAAAAATTCAAAATTTAGATTTAAAAATTATATATTTTTGTAACAAAACATTTTCCCTTGACAAAAATGTATTTAAATATATATCGTGTAATGTTCCGCTAATTGATAGACCCCACAAAATGCTGTTAATTTCTCTACTGATTAAAAAATATCTATGTATTTAACGCCATTCATTCACAAAAATATATTTAACCCAAAATTTTAAATCCACTGAATAACAAAAATAAACTTACGAAGCATATACTTTTTATGAATCAATAAAATAATTATAATAATTCATAAATTTATGAATTTAATAAAAAATATTGTTTAAGTTTAATTATTAAAGTTTTATATGTTTAATGTAAGAAATTGTTATTTTATTAAGTACAGGTTTTGTTAATACCTATGTTTGAAAACTGCTAAGTATCTACTTAAATGTTTACACTATACACTATACAAGCTATTAACTTCAAAGTTAAACTGCATATTATTATTTATCACAAAATAGTTACAATGGTATAATTTTATATTGATTTGCATAATATTTATTTTTTCATTTTCATTTACCATAGTTTATACTTTTATTATAATGCTTTTTGTTCAGTTTTTAAAAATGATGATAAATAAATTGATGACAAAAACCTCTTTAATAAAAAAAAGTCACCCATTTTACCTGACTTCAATATTTTATACATGCTGGTAAGGAAGTCGACTATTTAGTTGTATTATATATCTGTGTGTCACGTTCCTAACGTGGCCTACGTAAATTTGTTTATTGTTATGTCATGTGCACCAACCGCCAGTCTACCAGCTGCGAAATTTCGAATTGTGTCACGATTTCTTTTTTTCCATCCACTCACTCCAATCTACATTTATATGATCAGGTTCTTAAGGTTCTTACAACATCATGCAAGTCAACATGTTTCTTATACATTGTTATAATAGATTAACGTAGCATTTTCCAACAAGAAGTTATCGAATAAGAAACTAGACATTTATAAAAGTAAATTTTTGGTATTTTTTTTCTTTTTTCCTCTTTTACCTACCTGATGTGGTTTTATATAACAAATCGGTGTTTATTTTTAATTAAATAGTGACATAAGCTCGTGAAACAGTAAATAGGGATAATCGAAAGCTCAGTCTCGCATAGTGAGGTTTAGTTTTACATTTGTTACTTTATCCTAAATTATTATTCTTGCTGCAGTAGTATCAGATTGAATATGTAGGTTAGGTAAGCTAGTCACCGCTCTCCCCCCCCCCCCCCTCTCCTGTAGCAAAACATGTTCTTTATAATCTATAACTATTATCATCAGCGTCATATCAAATCAGATCAAATAAGGCGAAATGCCCAAATTAATACAAAAATTCAATATTTCAAACTTCAAACACTTAATATATAATAATAATAATATGTGTATTGTTGTATAAAAAAAAAAATATAAGTTAGCAAAATGTCTGAAATTCGAATCCCGTGTAAATACTATTGACACAAGTGCGAATCTTACCAATATTATACATAGATACCTCCTATGCTTAAACAATAAATTGTATTATAAAGCAACCGTGCTAGAAATTTTTATTAAAAATCGTTTATTGTATTCGCATATTATTTCATGAACCAGCTAATGATAATTTAATGTTTTTATTATAACTTTTTATTTTTATAGTTTTAAAAAATTGAACAATATGAGGAAATTATTTAAAAAAATATTGAACATACTTTTAATGATGCTTTTTATGAATTTCAACAACTCCTATGGTGGTGCTTTCAATGGTGATTATTGCTTAAAATTGATTCATATTCGATGAGAATCAACGTGTTCAATAATTAATAATTTATATTTTTTTCTATAGTTGAAGTCGATTGTAAGTTATGACCGTATATTTTACATAATATCTACCTGTGTTGTCTGAATTATATTATTTTCACTTTAGACGCGTTGTTTAATGTCAAGGTATTAAATATTATGCTGTGTATAATAAGCTTTAGGTATGGTTTGGTCGTAAAAGTATTATTGAACAACAATTAATAAAAAGTACTCATTTATCACGACCTACACCTATCAGCTGTATGCCTTTTTTATTTTTTATGCACCGCTGCCTTGCTGAGAAATAACTACTATGTTAAGTACCTACAGCAAATAATCCCATCTTAGTATACCTATTAATTTCTCCTGTCACTACCTTATTATTAAAATATTGAATTTCAAAACGCAATATTTTTTTTTTATTGATTGATCCAAATAATATAACCATTATTATATTTATAAAAAATGAATTACTTATTAAATGTAATGTTTTTTTTTTTTTTTGTAATTTATAGTATGCGTTGGTAAGAATCGCCTTCATATTTTTATATTCAATCATATACTATTTTAATTGCATAGTTAATTTTCCACATACAGCCATTGGTTTAACATTCTAATATGCCGGGTTACATGAACTAATAGTGATGTAATGAATCAATGATTATAATTTTAACGATCTCTCAAAGTTATTGAACCCTTAAAATATTAATTACCAACTTATTTTTACTTGTTCACATTTAAATTATGCAACGATTGTTTAATCATTATCCGTATAAAACATCACTATTGCATTGTCTTTGAGATAATGGTGAGTGGCAGCATGAGCTAAGATAATATCGACTAATAACGATTAGGTCGGGAGAAGTATATTCCACCATCGAACAGATATCACTGAGAAGAGGAAATTTGCGGACCACAATGAACAGTGGTTAAATTAGCCTATGCAAATGTAGCACTTGTACTTTTTGCACATTTAAAATATGGCAGTGCAAACTTATCTTTATGTACCACTAGAAAATTATTAAAATGTTAAGTCTCATGATTATTTTTAACCGACTTATTACAAAAAACCAAAATCGAAAATATGAAATCGTCAATGCCGTAAACTTTACTATTTTCCATACGTTTCTTCTGAGTTTCCTCAATTATTAAGAAAGCGACATCAAAATGTTCCAACTTGATCCAAAATGTTACAAAAAAATCTATTTTGTCGTTTCTAAAATAGAACAAGATTTCTAGTAGAAAAATTATTTATACATGGAGAAAAAATACAAACTCGCTCACATTTTAGTATACAAATACATTGCTCACTGCTCTCAAAATCTAAAAAATGTTAAAAATTAATCAATTAATTCTCGAGATTTTATCGCAATCAAAATTTGATCGAATTTATTATTGATGATGATTTGTATTAAAAATCTCTCGTGGGGCCTAAGAACATATTAACATTGTATATACAATCATCAAAAACGATATTCAGTCGGGGACCATATTGCCGTTTTATAGAATATCAACGCGATATTTGCACACCTGTATATATGTATATCTGTACATTCCTATCTTCTTTCATTACATGAATGCCTACCACCTCAGTCCCTCCTACATAAACAAAATTACTTTTAACATAATTTGCACTGTATTGTAAATGCGAATTTGGGTAAGATATAAAGTAATTGTATTCTCCGATGAGATAGAAAGTTAAAACTCGCTGAACAGGTTTAAATTTTATTGAAATATATTTTTAATATGCTTCACACCATATTAGGTTAATGCAATGGGTAAGAATTTAGGTAAGTTCCTGTGCGATAAGATAAGGAGCAAAAACTTGCACAAGTCGTGTAAATCATATAGAAATGTATTTCAACAAACTTCGTACTATGTGTAGGCCACTGTTGTAAGTGGAAAGTTGGTAAAATTATAAATTAAAGTACTTCCTGATGAAATTAAGAATTACAAATTCCAGAACATGATATATGTGGAAAATAATTGTTGAATTAATTTGAAAACAGTTATCAAAATAAAATACTTACAGCGTACAAAATAATTATCAAATATGATCTACACTATTTCATTTTTATCCATTAGTGTAAAATGTGGCAGTTATCGTATGGTCTAACTGTTGATTCATCAACAGATGCAAAATAAAATTTGGTAGGTAACATAATTTGGTAGTACTCAATTGTTAATAACATACGATGGGGATAATATGTACAAGTTTTTATGTTATTTAATTTTCTACTATAAATATTACTTTTATTAAGTATATTTTGCGAAGGTACCCACCTACCTGAGAGGTTCCTCAAAAACACATATTTTTGTGAGAATAGCCATCACTGAATGTACATAAGATTACACTTCACCGACATATTATAAAATATACGTTGTTATCTACTGCATTGATAGTAATAGGTGATAACAGGCAAATAGTACACACTCATGTACACGGGATGAGCGTCTAGGGACAGCTCAAGGAGCAAATTATCAGGAGCTAATATAGACGATTTCTTATCAAAAAATAGTGATATTCTTATTCATTGACCTAATGACTATTATTTATTAACCTAGCCTAATAACTATAAGTTAAAAAACTTAAAAATTTAAAAAAAACTACTTTATATCTGATTTAGGTGGTACATAATTTAAAAGGGGCTCCGTCGGCATTTGTCGACTAAACGACCGTTAAATCTGCAACTATTTATACGTAATTTGTATTCGGTAGTTACTCTGTAAATAAAATTGTTAGACTAAACAGAATTGCTTGAAAATTTAAGAGGAGGCTCCTTATATTTCGTACTTTGTGATAACAAAAAATTGAGCTTTATAAAGTAATTTTTTTTAAAATGGAATTTTAACGAAAATCATTTGTGTAAAAAATTATGTGAAACAAATCTAGTTACTAGTTCTTCTTTGTTATTCAATTTTTTTGTATTGGACATAAATATACCTATTGCCGACTTAAGAACGATGGTGAAATCAAAATTGAGCTGACTAACTTAGTTAAGAAATCATAGCTTTTTGAAGTGCTAATATTATGTGAAAGTTATAATATGTGTTATGTTAAAAAACTCAACAATGTCATTTTTATACGTTTTTATATGTTTGTTGTAGTCTATTGGTAGAAATTCAAACCTCAAACTCAAGTACGCAATTTTTTTTTTTGTAAAACCACGTCGGGTAGGTAGCACGAAAAAGACAAATGTAATATTGTTTTGAAAAATAAAATTGAATGTAATGTAGTTTTTTATTTTTTTCTGTAAAAGTTTAAACTCAAATTTTGACGAAAATCGTAATTATTACGACCTTTCAATACTTGTGTAACCAAACTTCGCTCCGAATCGTTTATCGTTATCGATGGTTTATTGTTGGTTACAGGTATAAATTAAATATGTATCCCACCTTCCTAACTTTTTAATATTGTATCCACACATTTATAATATTTGTTTCTCGATGTTTTCGGTCTATACGGTGTATATAATTTTTGCCTACTAATAATTCCTGATTTATTTTTCGACTTTATTTTGAATCATTCCATAACGGCGGAAAAAATTAAATAAAAAATATTTATGCATGTTGAATATTATAGGTACCTATCATACTGAACTCAAGTTCATGCAGTGAATTATTACTACAGACTATAATCATAATTTTTATCTAATAACCGCAGTGGTCTGTGGACTTTTAAGTTATTTATATTCTGTGTTTGGCAATATAGATATAATAATATATTACCTATATTGATTGATATCAATAATCGTGGAATAGTTAAACGATAATATAACTGGTTTGTCAGATAGTAGATAGTGTTTAACCCCGAGTTTAATTTTATAGTTTTTTGACGGGTTACGCCAAGACACGAGGTTTAATGATAAAGTAAAAAGAAACGTTTATTTACGACATAACAACATTAAACAAGTGCTCCCCAGCTGACTGCTTGTGGCGCGAGAACGGCGCCGGTGCGAAGAGAGCGAGCGGAGCAGTCGAGACGTCGAGTCGAGCGGAGCTATGGCCGATGACTATTGAACGCCGACGGCGAGGGGAAAGGCCGACGTCCGCCGCGAGTTACGCCAGCGGGAAGAAAGAAATGTGGCGCGAAACCCGCCACAGTTTTATAAATTGGTGTATCAATATTATTATCGTTGTTGGTGATTGAGGATTTGGGGGGTCTGCGAACAGAGAACAAACCTTTGTTAAACCCAAAGACTTACTATAATGTTATAGGTTTATCTATAACAATATAGTAAGTCTTTGGGTTTAACAGCATCATTAGGTTTAAAAATAACCCGGCATAATTTTACTACCATTAAAACCTAATATTAATTATTACTTGAATTCATTATGACTTTTCTCAACAGCAATAAGTGTATAGAAATTAAATATTGAATGCTTCATATTTGTTTAATAGATAATTTGTTACTATTTGGGTTCAGTCCGGGTAAGTAGTGGTTGATTAATGATAATATAATTATTAAGGTGTTAAAATCTTGTTAAAATTTTGTCATTATCCAGTAAATACATAATTATAATATAATAGATTATTCAAAAATCAATATGCATTGTATGAAGGGCAACCTTGACACGGTGGTTCCTTGTCAAGGCAGCGAGCCACAGGTATTCTATTAACGGACGGTCGCCGGTGTGCGGGGGCTTGGCGGTCAAAAACTAGTAGACTGTATAATATACATTAAATGTATTTAAAAATGTCAACACTGAGATATAGATATATGAATAATACTGAATTGATAACGCAATGAATTTCAATTTAAATACGCTTGATAATAAATGGCAACATAAATAAATCACATAGATAATGATATTATAAGGTATGCTTAACGCCATGGTTTGTAAACTTATAAACTATAGAAACAATTTTATTAATATATTGATTACGTACCGCGTTGATACGGTTGTGATAACACCGTGCGTGTTTGTACATAATTCAATCTGACTCCCAGCAGTCACATTCGGTTGACGTCAGATATGCCTAGCCACCGGCAACCACAACGGGTTTGAGGACAACCACGCGACGAGACGCGCACAACTCGTGGACGTTTCGGTAAAAATGCCGACGGGGACGCGACACGTATCGGAAAAACGAGACGCCTAACAACTACGGGATGGAAAACAACGTACAACCACGCGGCGAATCGCGCACAACCAGCATACATTTGAATGACGACAGAACGACTGACGCGGACGAGAGATCTGACATGAATGCACGTAAGAGACGGTCGCGCGGGGGGGGGGGAACCGGTCGACACCGTGTCGACGCGAGTCAGGAACAGAACACGGCACCGACCCATCGATTTTTGTGATAGAACACGGAACAGTACCGTATATACATTATACATACCATTAAATATTAATTGAGTTTTAATATTCGAATAGATTAAACTAAATGACAAAAGCATGCAACATTTATTTCAAAAAATTATTAATAGCCTCAATTAATTCTGACCTGCTCAATCTAATTAAAATTCGATTTGACATCAAATTATGTTCATATATATAAAATATGGATGCAATTAACATTTAATTGTCTTAATACAGCATTTTTTTTATTATCTATTTTAGTCACATCCGGAATAAACAATTACATTTATGCATGGAATTTATATAGTATGTACTTACATTTGATTTCAATATTTAACATACCTAATCCAGACATATCTACACGAATCAAATAATATAAATTGTTCTAAATTGTCTAAATAGCAAAATTAATATTACATTACTTTTTACTTAATTTTCATTATAAACTTGTAACTATATAACTTGTAGCTCAACTTGCAGCACTATCTCTATAATAATAACAATTAGAACCGCATAATGTAATAAAATAAAAAATTAAAGAAAAAGAAGGAAAGAGAATAAAGAAAAAAGTGGGGTTAGCATAAAGGGGTTAATGAAAGAATTGTATGTATGGTAACCAGACGTACTCTTTTTCATAGGACAGTACTCTTTTTTAATGCATTGTTCTATGTCCTTAACAATAAAGTTAAGTACATGAAATTGTACTCTTTTTTTTTTTTTTTTTAATATTATGAGCTAATACATGTTTATGATTTTGTATAATTTGATTATTCATTTATATTTTAATATTTTATGGTTTAACCTAATGCATTCCAAACGTCTACAAGTGACTGACAATAGTAGCGATAGCTAGTGAACTACTGTTTGATGAAAAAAAACTCATTATTAACACCACAAGTACCAGAAACATATTAATAAAGTTTTGTATTTATTTATTTAAATGTTTACCTTTTAAAATTAATTTCAATATATATAATTTAAATTTACTTAGAATTACTTAAATTTCAAAGTATTTTCATCATAAAAACACAAACCAAATGAGTTGATTTTATGATTTCAAATAAGTAGTTTTTATAGCTGATAATAGAAAAAAAAATAGAGTAATCAGATAAGGAAAAATGCATATATATGGAGATGAACTATGGGCAAAATGGGTAGAATAGTATACACATTGGCCAATTCTTTTAAGGGAAGGTTTTTTTGTAATGGAGGACCTAAATTTTAAAATGTACTTTTTTTCAAATTTTATATCTGGTCACCAAAATTATAGGTATATTATGATATATTGTGTTGTAATATAATAATATTTATATGTAAGATGTATAATGTAAGCACGCAGTGGTCAATCCTAACCAGTCGATAGGATGGTCGAAGACAGTGTTGCCATAATACGCAATCGAGCGGAAGTTATTTGTAATGGAACTGATAATTTTACTACGTTACATTTGATCGTTTATTACAAATATTTGAAATATTAAATATTTAATGTATTACAAATTTTAATTAAGTTTTTCAATGACTACATCCCCGTCAACAAACTGGATGGACCACTGATATAGATGAGAAGTTGGGAGGATAGGATATAGAGGGGAATTTAATGTATTTATTTTAGCAAAAGTTAATCATTGATAACGAAAAATGATTCTGAGTGGAGCTCAGTTAATAGTATTGCTTTTTCAGCAATATAATATATAGATATGTCATATTATAGTATAATGTATATAGAGCGACTCACTAAGTGTGCTCACCTCATTTTTTTGGTTAAATTTTACATATATTCAAATTCTGATTTTTGGAATTTTTAAGTGTAGTTAAAGACGATGTTTTCAAATATTTAGATTTTTCACAACATGTAATGAGTATTTTGTGTCAATATCAACTTTAATTTTTCAAACGAAAACCTATTTTAAAAATTTCATAAACAGACTGAGTATTACTTTAAATAAATTTAGGTGTCAACATTTTTGATTTTTGTCAACCCGTTAACGAGATATTGAATTTTTAAGTTTAGGTAGGGGGAGAATAGTGGAGAGAAGTATACAGTTTTCAGAAAAAATTATAAGAAACCGTAGCCATATCGGTTTGCACGAACACCAACATTAAGAAAAAAAAGTTGAATTAAAAATATAGTTATACCAACAACGCAAAAAAAAAATATTGTTTCATATTATGTATTCATGATAACCGGACTTGTGCAAAACCACGTCGGGTATGTAACTAGAAAAAGTGAAAAGCATTATAGGTAGAAGTATCTTTAATTAGTATAACACCATAACTTATTTATGTATAGCCATATTGGAATTAGGTACTTATTCCTTATCCCGAAAATACGATTATGGAAAAATACGAAATACTAAAATATAGTACTATGATACTTTAGGAGAGATCGAAATAGAGGATTCAAAATAGAGGATAATTCAATATATATCTGTACGCATTGATTAATCATTGCTAACGAAAAACGATTCTAAATGGAGTTTGGTTACATATGTTTTTAAAGGCTTTAATATTTATAATTTGAAAATAATATATTTCGTAAATTTTTCCATTTTTCCTACGTGTTTTGCCATTATGAAAACCCCTAGAAGGATCAAAACATTTGCTGCTTAAAGTACCATCTCAGTCAAATTTCATTTCAGAAAAGATCCTACATTTAAAAATTGGAAAACATTTCTAATAGAATAGTTTTTCACATAAATAAATAAAAATAAAATAAACATCATTGTAAAACCAATACATTCCTCGTTCCGCTCAAAATCTAAAAATATTAACGGAAAATAAAGTTTTAACTAATATTATGTTTTATATTAAATTAAATTATCTATAGGTAGTGGTCTTAATACGAAATTGGAAGGTAAGATATTTTTTATGTTGTATGCAATCAATAAATATAGTCATGTTGGGAAATCAAGTATTTAATTTAAACAGACATGTTATGAAATATTAGTTTTGGTTTAAATACTAATATGTATTTCAGAAAATGGATTAATATAAATATTAAGTTTTTTGTAATAATCGTTGTTATTAAATTAATGCAAGAACGTCATCAGAAAATACCTCGGTTATTTTTAGCGATGTTTTGTCTATAGTTTTTTCGTGTATGATGTTCACGAATATTTTTATAATCTTTATTCCTAGTCTCTTGTTCTTATATCTGTGCAAGTACGTCTGTACTAAAATTATTATATTTTTGTTCACACATATATTGGTCATTGCAGCTATCGCATTTCCATTTGTATAATATTAAAAAGCTTTCTATACCATTTTCTTTTATATTTTATTCAGGGATTAAAAATAATCTTTTGGTCATATTATGATTTAAAAGTTCTAGCATTTTGACTTCACAACGTGTTTCTGTAATAATGCAATTACCCGGATTACATTTCTCTTAGTCCACTATAATAATATCATATGGAGGATAAATATCGGCATTTTTTTTCTTCACAAATAGCCGAATATTGATATTTTGTTTTTTTGTTAAGCTGTTGTCAACAAAAAAGCTAAAGCTTTATCCACACTATAAGGAATAGGTTTTATGTCATTATGTCATCTACCACGTCTAGCATTTGTAAATAACAATTTTACGTATTGTGTTATTAAATTGTATACAAATAATTAATTTTCTATACAAATTTTGAAATTTAAAAAATTCACCATTTATTATGACAATATGATGTTGTGCATTGCAGATGCAAGAATTTCTTCTACAAAACGCATATATTCGGTGTAGGATAAAATTGAGTAAATTTTTAGTTAAATCTTTGAAAAAAAAAACAACACAAAAACGTTCGATTTATATGAATCATAACAGTTGTTAGGGACATACATTTAAAAAAGAAAAATTGTATTTTTTTTATTACCAATTCTAATACGTGAGTAAATAATCAAGCATTTTATTGTTTTTATTTTATGTATTTTAATAGCCAAAAAAAATTAATGAGCTATAGTCATTTTTATTTTCAAAATAAAATTTGTCTAGTTCACTTAGCTCCAATTTAAAAAATATTATTAAACTGAAATGTTACATTTACACCTAGTAATCATATACTAATAAGATCCTATAAAAAATAATTAATTTTTTGAAAATGTTTAATGTCCTATTTTTGCTACCCAAATTTCATTCTTAAACCACTGTGCGTCGGTCTACGTGACGAATCGTCGTTCTGACATCAAGAAGTTTAGAGACACTGTCAGAGTCCATCTGCATCACGTTGAAAATTTGTTTTAGGCTGTTCCACGTTATTACGTCACGTCGCGATTGCCCAACTGAACGCTATGCTTAACATTGTTATTCAATTTGTACGAAATTTGTCGTGATCATTAATTATTTAATCATACCGTGTTTGTTACTTAAATAAATCAAAATAAAAATATTAATATTGAATTAATAAAAATAATAATAATAAAAATACTACATGTGTTTTTAGGAGATGCATACCTGTATTATACATATCTTACAGCTGAAATTGAAACTGGTAAATATGCGTAACAATAAAATAAATTCTAAAAAATATGAATGGTTGGATATATAGCCAGATATTAAAAGGTTGATTACACTAGAAATCATATGAATGAACATTATAATATTATAGTATTGTTTACATTTAATATGCAATAACAAAAACATTATCTTTTATTTCAGCTAAAATATTTGATTCGGATCAATGGTGTGGAACTATGAGATTAGGTTTGTAATATTATGTACTATTAGCTAGATAGATAATTATTATAAATGTGAATAATAATAGATTAGATTAGATTTATTTTTGAATGCAAAAAAGAACTATAAGTTAATTTAAAACATGAATTACTTTTATTAATCAGGAATTTTATTTATTTTACTTTTAAACTCGACTTTAAAATGATTATAGTAGACCTGTGGAAAATTTGTATTATCATTATAAAAATGATATTTAAAAAATAAATTTTACCACAAAAATGCCCAAAAAAACCATATATTTTTTTTTATAAAATTTGGTAAAATAATTAGTATAATTATTATTTTATTAAAAAAAACTGGAATTTAAAAAATTGATACGACGCGGAAATGATATTGACACGCATGTCTTTTGGGACAAAATTATTTATTCTAAACATAGCAAAATAATATAACGGGGTTGACGTTTCACTGCAATAATAAAAATAAGATAAAAATTGAATCAAAATAAATCGAATCATTGACAATGTGTATGGAAAAACCCGATAAACCTATTAAATAAAAACAACTTGAATATCCAGAAAACAATTTATCTTTAGATAATATTTTCAAATTTATTAATATTTCAATATTTTTAAATTTGTAATGTTTCATCAGCGTTTAAAAAATGCTCTTAAAATGAAAAAACATCCAAATATGCAAAAAAATGCAAAATAAAAGTTACAGCTTTGAAGCACCCATTACATGAAACGAATTATGTACATTGAAAACATTATCTAAGATCAACTGAAAAAAGATACACTTTGCATTGAAATCTGGGTCTTAGTAACGACTTACCAGTTGAGCCAGTTTGAATATGGGATGTCATCTAGCTGGTCAGTGTCGATACCTACTGCAATTGAAGTTTAGGATTAAGTTGATAGAATAATGACGGTACAAGATGCACAATTTAAAAATAGTAATAAGAAAGGAAGTTCAGTGTGAACTCCATGCTAATGTTAATGAAATTAACCTAAAATTCTTGTATATGAAGAAAACATAATAAATTACATGGAAAATTAAATATTAATCAATCTGGTTTTATTGACATACGACATAGTGTTTTACGTGACCGGGACGCTGATTTGAAAAGCGTGTATCAGAAAATCATCCAAATATAATTTGTTATGATTTGTTATCAACTTTATAAAATGTATACCCTTACTAAACCAAGGTTATTATCATTCCAAAGTAAGGGGCTAGACTTCTTCCAATCAACTGAAATAATTTCAAATACGTGTAATTATTCAGCTTAATTTGTAACTATTTGTGACCAAGTTTTTAGTATTTGTAAAATTATCGTTCATCCCCTAGAATCGTGACCATACGGTTTTTATCATTAATCAATTTTTTGGAGTTTTAAGAGTTCAGACTGCAAAACTTTGAATATAAAAGAAAAATTTAAGCATACATTTTTATCTTTGCTTCGTTATATATTCGGTCATATAGTGTTCATAATATACACATGACACATAGACATTTTAACTGATAAACTTTTAGTACCTGATATCATCTACCCTAAAAAGTTACATTTTAGATGTTCAAAGAAGCTATTCTTTGCACTAACATGTAAGTGCCGGTCGGTTGATTTGGTAGGTTAACATATCTTTCCAAATTATTAAACTAGCAATGCAAATTCAAATAATTAAATAGGACTTTAGCAGTAGATGTAGATGATATTTTAATAATGAATACTAAATATATTGATATCACGTTATTTATTTATTAATTATCCGATGTTATTTCTTCATGGCATGTATACAAGTATTCGTGTTATAATAAATTGACTATGTTTACACATTTGAAAAGACAAGAGAGGGAACAAAAAAAAAATTGAAAAATTGTGTAAAATATTTGATTACAAGCTACAAAAAAAAAAAACACCTAACATTGAGAAATGATATCAGTAGTAGGAAATAGGAGGTTCTAGGCTAGAAGCCCGAGCCTGAGTCTAAGCCAGAGCTATACCTAAAACATGATCGCCCGAATTTTTCACCACGGATCGACTTACCACCCTCTATCACCCTATTGTCACTCTTATCACAGGTTATATTTACTGTTATCATTGTTTGATACCACGGTTATACTTACCGTTATCACGTTTTAATACCACGATTACATCTACTGTAATCAATGCTATATACTGAATCAAAGAACAAACAAAAATAATGTTTTTCTGTTTGCCGAAGCTACAACATTTTCGATTATGGTTTATAGTTCTCGTAATCGAATCGAAAAATCAAGACGGATGCAGAGTTTTTAAAAACTGTGTAAACCTTCTAGATCTTAAAAATTTGATTTTGCAGAACATCACACGTTTAGAGGAAGCGAGTAAAGTAAGTCCAACAGACTTTATTTAAATATGTATATCAATTAACATAATAATTTATTTTAGATTTTTGAACCTTGAGCTATTCGCCGATAATACCACCACTACAGCTATCACTCGTAAAGAAAGAGAGAGAAGGATATGACGTATGCGAGCCGTACTAACCAGGAAAAAAAATACAATTGTTAAATAACTAGTATGTAAAAAAAAAAATAAAAACACAATTATTTACTTATATAAAAAAAAAACAGTTTTATTTATTTATCCCTAATTATATATACATATAATAAGTTTTACAAAATAAGATTATAATTTTCGTATATTTACNGGTTCGTTTAACGCATAACCTACCCTATACCGTGCTAAATTACCATGTGACAAAGATTGAAATACATAAAGAATCTAATTACAACCGTAAATATCTTTTAATTTCAACCCAATTTTAGAGGACAAAAAAGGTAAGAATACACAAATCCTATAAACAAATATTATACACGTAAAAATTACAATTTTTCATTTTGCTTGATTTTAAGCTTCATAAGACAATAGTATTAAGTCATACTTGTCTACGTTAGCGTATAACTGAGATCATTTTTGAATTCTTTCGTGATCGAAAAAACCCTTTGGGAGACGAAAACCAATTACGTAAATTTCTCTACGATATGAACAATTTAATTCACTTAGACTATGCGTATTTACATGACGATTAATTTAAAAACTATATCATTTATACCGCACACAACTGCATAGGTCATTCAAGAAATGAGTGTCACTGGTAACCATAAGTATGCGATAACTTTGGAATCAATGACCAGAGTGAATTAGTGGACGTACCGTAGGGTCATTACGTTTTTACATATGCAAAAACGATATAATTCCCATAGTATTGCTCATGACAATAGTTCTTTCACTTGACTGCAATATAGAAATACGAAATGCCGAAGGGGCGTTGCGTAGTCTTCTTAATTAGATTTATTATGAGACACTAATAATATAATTGTTTGTTTTCATCTCGTAAAACAATATTTTTCCGGAGAAGATAAAGGCAAAGGTAAGAGTACACATGGCACACGCATAACTTCTTATCCTACGAGATAATTATGATTAACAATGATCGTATGTTTGATCAAGATTCCGAAGCAGAAGGTAAGAAAACACGTTAAAAATTCAAAAAAGAACGAAAATAAGTTAATGCATTATTAAACAATTGATTGGCGAGTGACATTTTTTGAAACGACATGGAATTTGCCTATTGACAATTGCCAATACAAATGTCTCTAAAAATATTATAGGTTTAATTTTTCCGCTCCGCCATTCTTAACACGAAATAATCCGTATTTTGTACTTTCCACAATTGATAAATCAAACGTTCCTACCTCATTTACCATAGAAAAACCGTTAAGAAAAAAAAAAAAAAATGCATATCCTGTAAAATAATTAAATAATCAATTCACACGTTATTTTTTTTTTTTTTTATCAGATGCTGAAAAAGATGGTAAGATAAATATAACAACGTTCCGTGGTTACAGTGCGTTTTGGAATTACTCAAATACTATATTGGGGCTTTGCAGTGGCTTAAAACACCAATAGCTCTGATTTTTTTTTTTTCACAAAATTCTTCGCGTTGTCGTATTATGTCTATCACAAATCCAGAAATGTGTTTTTTATGTCGAATATAAATGCGTACGTCTTGCGATTGACAAATTGAGAGATGAAAGAAAACATTCTTAAACATGAAAGCATTGCATTCGTCCGTTGACGTACGCAATTACAATAACGCCTGCGCACATGTCGTCGCTTCGTAAGGCCAGTATCCGTTTGCAAATTATTAACCTTACAACGCAATTTAAAATTACAATACAGTAATTTAATAACCGATTTTGATCGTGTTTAATAATTAGTACTACATTTATTGTGATCGCGTTACTCAATTTATTGGTTATTCGGTCTTGTTTCCCAAGGATGTTTCAAAAATACTGATATGTCCGATACGTATATTCGTTATATAATAAATTATCTTCAAATGTTTACACATTTTAGACGACAAGAAAAAGGACAAGAAAAAGGATAAAAGTATGTAAAACATTTGATTAAAATCTAGAAATATACAAGAAAAACGACATCGAACAATGATAAATGTTAACTTTTTAAAATCAAACACAATATACAAAGTCTATTAAACATTTTTAAGAATAATTTAACTCAATTATCGTTAAACAGCAACGCGTTTTATTTCATTTGAAATATCACGGTTCGTTTAACGCATAACCTACCCTATACCGTGCTAAATTACCATGTGACAAAGATTGAAATACATAAAGAATCTAATTACAACCGTAAATATCTTTTAATTTCAACCCAATTTTAGAGGACAAAAAAGGTAAGAATACACAAATCCTATAAACAAATATTATACACGTAAAAATTACAATTTTTCATTTTGCTTGATTTTAAGCTTCATAAGACAATAGTATTAAGTCATACTTGTCTACGTTAGCGTATAACTGAGATCATTTTTGAATTCTTTCGTGATCGAAAAAACCCTTTGGGAGACGAAAACCAATTACGTAAATTTCTCTACGATATGAACAATTTAATTCACTTAGACTATGCGTATTTACATGACGATTAATTTAAAAACTATATCATTTATACCGCACACAACTGCATAGGTCATTCAAGAAATGAGTGTCACTGGTAACCATAAGTATGCGATAACTTTGGAATCAATGACCAGAGTGAATTAGTGGACGTACCGTAGGGTCATTACGTTTTTACATATGCAAAAACGATATAATTCCCATAGTATTGCTCATGACAATAGTTCTTTCACTTGACTGCAATATAGAAATACGAAATGCCGAAGGGGCGTTGCGTAGTCTTCTTAATTAGATTTATTATGAGACACTAATAATATAATTGTTTGTTTTCATCTCGTAAAAAAATATTTTTCCGGAGAAGATAAAGGCAAAGGTAAGAGTACACATGGCACACGCATAACTTCTTATCCTACGAGATAATTATGATTAACAATGATCGTATGTTTGATCAAGATTCCGAAGCAGAAGGTAAGAAAACACGTTAAAAATTCAAAAAAGAACGAAAATAAGTTAATGCATTATTAAACAATTGATTGGCGAGTGACATTTTTTGAAACGACATGGAATTTGCCTATTGACAATTGCCAATACAAATGTCTCTAAAAATATTATAGGTTTAATTTTTCCGCTCCGCCATTCTTAACACGAAATAATCCGTATTTTGTACTTTCCACAATTGATAAATCAAACGTTCCTACCTCATTTACCATAGAAAAACCGTTAAGAAAAAAAAAAAAAAAATGCATATCTTGTAAAATAATTAAATAATCAATTCACACGTTATTTTTTTTTTTTTTTATCAGATGCTGAAAAAGATGGTAAGATAAATATAACAACGTTCCGTGGTTACAGTGCGTTTTGGAATTACTCAAATACTATATTGGGGCTTTGCAGTGGCTTAAAACACCAATAGCTCTGATTTTTTTTTTTTCACAAAATTCTTCGCGTTGTCGTATTATGTCTATCACAAATCCAGAAATGTGTTTTTTATGTCGAATATAAATGCGTACGTCTTGCGATTGACAAATTGAGAGATGAAAGAAAACATTCTTAAACATGAAAGCATTGCATTCGTCCGTTGACGTACGCAATTACAATAACGCCTGCGCACATGTCGTCGCTTCGTAAGGCCAGTATCCGTTTGCAAATTATTAACCTTACAACGCAATTTAAAATTACAATACAGTAATTTAATAACCGATTTTGATCGTGTTTAATAATTAGTACTACATTTATTGTGATCGCGTTACTCAATTTATTGGTTATTCGGTCTTGTTTCCCAAGGATGTTTCAAAAATACTGATATGTCCGATACGTATATTCGTTATATAATAAATTATCTTCAAATGTTTACACATTTTAGACGACAAGAAAAAGGACAAGAAAAAGGATAAAAGTATGTAAAACATTTGATTAAAATCTAGAAATATACAAGAAAAACGACATCGAACAATGATAAATGTTAACTTTTTAAAATCAAACACAATATACAAAGTCTATTAAACATTTTTAAGAATAATTTAACTCAATTATCGTTAAACAGCNATGAAAACGGTTTACTACTTTACCGTATATTATTCTGGTATATTTTAATATTATAGTCAGTTGGTCATACTCAGAAAATAGTATTTTGCAGCCTGGATTTTTTTTATAATATAATTAAGTTTTGCTGCGGTTCTTTTTATTTTCTCTCTAAAAATCAATGTTTGATCTAAAGTGATTAAGTGATAAAGTAATCCCAAGTATTTAAGATTTCCTTGATGTTGTTAGAAAGTATCATTATTTGATAAATAATTTACGTTTGTTGAAGCAATTGAATTTATTGACAAAGTACTAGGATATTATATTTTAATTTATAAATAATATACTTATACCTATATAATTACTTTGTGACAAAGGAAGAAATACATCACGATACATTTGATTATATTTGAAATTATCATACATTTTACCCTAATTTCAGAGAACAAAAAAAATAAGAAAACAAAAGATAATAATTTATAATAATTTAAAAATTAGTTAATTATTGCAATTAATACAATCATGATATAGGAACACCTAATATAATAAACACCTAAAAGTATGATTAAAATAAAATATTATTCTGTTATGAACAATTTATTTCACTTGAAATATATGCATTTACTTGGTGCTTAAATAAAATTATAATATAATATACAATTATAATATTATAAAATGCATAGGTTTTTAAATGAAAAAAAAATATGAGTAATATTTCACTATTTCGAGTGTGTATCGGATAAATTTGGGTTCAATGATGCAAGTAAATTTATTAACATAGATTATTATTGTAATATTTCAAACCAAGAAAATACAGTATAATTTAATATAATGTTCCCACAAAAACTAGTTTATATTTTACTTGACTACTATTAACACGACATGCAGTCAGTGTTGAATCCAGATATATGACAGGGAGGCTACAAACCCCCCAGAATGTTGTTTACCCTCCGGTTAAATGTAGATAAATTAATGAATTAACAAATAAACTAATAATAATAAACAAATCTAACTGAAATGCACCGCCCCCCCCCCCACAAATAACTGTCAGGATTCAACACTGCATGCAGTAGAGGTGGTATGAAGTTTTTTAATCAAATTAATATAACACTCTTATAATATATTGTTTTGTTTTAATCTTATCAAATACATATTTTTCAGAAAATAAAAAAAATAAAGGTAATATGAATATCATTTAAAACACATACATTCTAAGTATATAGTGTTATTAATTTTAATTATACTCGTATGTTTTATTAAGATTCAAAAACAGGTGGTAAAAAAAATTATGTTAATTAATTCCAAGATAAAATAAAGTTAGGTTAGGTATATAATATACATATAATAGGTCTGTATATAAAACAGTAAATTAATGAGTGTTATTTTACATAACAACGAAATATCGTACGCAATACCAAATATAATTGTTTCTATTTGTTTTAGATTCTGAGGGGAGCAAAGAAGCTTATGATTTTACAAAGATGTTTAATTTTTTTTTATCTGCGCAATTCTTCTACCAGAAATCTTGCTCCGATTTTTAAGTGCACCTTTTCTAAAAAAAAATTATTATTAAAAAAATATTTATTTTAGATTTATAAACACATAGTAAGAATAAAAACTAGTAGTGTTTTTTTGAAAACTTACAATTAGGGGGGGGGTCACCAGTAGTCACTAACTCCTACAGTAAAATTTGAGATTTTTTCACAGATTCTTCATAATACCTATCGATAATTTGTATTAGAATTTAAAAACTGGCTTGTAATTTCGAGTTCGTCTTGTGCTTCACAAGTTAAAGGATATCTATTATCTTTCTCCACCTTAAAATTCTTAGATTGATTTTCAAACAGGAACCCTCATTTTTGAACACAGATTTGAATAGAGATAATAAAAGGAGAAGGGTAATAAATTGCTTATCTATAACCCTACCCTACTTCTCCGGTTTAAATTTTAAACTTTTATAACTTATAAACGGTGAATCTGATATTAGTAGTGTTATGCATACCAAAATTTTTAGAAAAATATTCTCTATTCAAACCTGTGTTCAATAGGAGGAAGTTCCTATTTGAAAATCAAAAATATGTGCTTATTACTTATTTATGAAATAGTTGTAAAGAATTAAAAATGATTTTAAAACAAAGCTTAAACGATTCTATAATGATTAGAAAAAAATCAAATTAACTTAAAAAAACTCCGATATAATTGCTGCTTCATAATAAAAAATGTACCCTGTATATTACAAGTTCACATATTTTCTTGTGATTTCGAGTATTCGTCTTGTACTTTAATAATATTATATTCATGTCCAGATTACGCCATTTAGAGACCCCGGGACCAAACTGTTAAACGAGACTATTGTTGAAAGACAAATCATTTTTTGTAAAATTTTTACTAATCAATTTGTTTTAACGAAAAAAAAACAAATAGTATAGACATTATATAGATCTCAATTCAAAATCAATAAAATTACTAATAGTTTCTACTATTACAAAATGTCATTATCAATGCACAATATAAATAATCTTTTTAAAAATATAATATTTTCTTTTTTACTTCACCTTACAAATTTTAGATAGAATCGACAATATTCTATGGTTTACAACTTACTAATTAAAAAAATGTAGTTTTATTAAAATTTGAAAACCATTAAACTTTTAAATGTTCTATAATAATGATGCAATAATTTCCTAAATTGTATTTATTTTTACTAGATTCAGAAATAGATGGTAAGAATACATGTAAAATGTTAATGTTAATGTTTTTTTTTTTTTTTTGGAAATTCCTAGGATCAGGGGTGAAAATCAAATAAGATGGACAAAATTATAGACAATGGATCTATAATCACCAAGAGGTCTAGAAACGTATAGTTTTTACTACAGGAATCAATACACAATTATATTAAAGACATGAACTTCGAATATACTTGTATTTTAAATACACGTCTAAAATCGTTACCTCTAAATATGTACAATACATATTTTTAAATTAATATCAATAATTATTATTTTAATTTTTTTAACGAAAACCACCAAGGAATTTAAATATCAACCAATTCCTATAACTTTTTTATGTCGATCATTCCACTCCACATTGTTTTTAAATAAATGTAAAATTAAAGGGCAGGGCTACTTTATCAGAAAAATTACGCAGTAAAAAGTTAAGTTTTTACATTTTTGTTTAGGACATTTTTTTCTTGTTTTAAAATTGTTTCAATCTTTAAAACATCTTCGTTTCTCACTCTAAAAATGTTGGGATGACGGAGAAACGTTGTTGAATACTGCACTATCCGTAAGAGCAATACCAAATGTAAAAATAAATACACAATAATTTTGATCTTAATTTTTTCCTCTCAAATACACTTATTAATATTTTGTTGTTTTTATTAATTTTTTAGAATGTATAAGTAAGACACCATTAAAATTATTATTTTTAATCTAATGATCGTCTATATTTTCATTACTGCTCACTAAAACGCACTTATTAGAGTACTTATTTATACCGGTATCCCGTCAATATATAGTGGCCAATTAATAATGCAACAATAGATCGTGGAATAGTTTATAGTATATAACAACTGACAGTGTACGGCAATTTATAATATTCGACGTTTTCAACGATATTTTTAAATTTTAAAGCAGGAAAGCCAACAAATTTATTTTTATACAATTAATAGATAAACTACAATTACCTTAAATTGTTATCTTAATCTACTATTATTTTCTTTATTTTGTTGTCAGTTTATCAAACAGTTTTTATATTGGCAATTTTAGTAGCCAGTTGACTGTTAAACTATTACGAGTATTATGGCTTTACGATTTATATAAACTTAACCGACATTTTAGTCGATAATTTATATATTAATCAGCGTGAATGTAATAGATCAGAAAAAAAATATTTGGCAGTGTGTGCAATAAAAAAAAAATTATAAAGGAAGATCTCATGTATCTTTTGGTGATAAAGTAAAATACATGCATTATAATCATGTTCTAGATATTTCCAAAATTGAAGCCATAATGAAATGAAATAAAAGAAAATGCCATAAACACATGTGAATCGACACACTCAGTTCTTGAGACAATAGCTCAGGTATTCATATTTATAAGTTTTTCAAATTAGTTTCGATTTTTATCAAATTATTATCGTTATTAATTTTTAAATAACGCACAAATTAACCAGAATATCCTATTAGCCGCAATCGACTTGTTTTTGCATTTTTCCAACGTTTAATTTAATTTTAGGTAAAAATGTCGGTAGCTGGCCAACAAGAACTATACAATACCTTCATCAAACTGAGATATTAGCTCCTTCAAATCCAGTTGACTGATTTTAATATTCCAGAAAAATTTAAAATATCAACTTATGGCAAACTTTTTTTTCAGTACGATAGTAATTCCAATGATGCTATACGTATTTTAATATTTGCAACAAACAGAATTTTGAACTAATGGAAAATAATGAAAACTGGTTTTGTGACGGAACTTTTTCTAGTGCTTCATCAATATTTTCTCAAATACAATCACGATTCATGGAATACATTATTCAAATTTAATCCCTTCTGTTTATGTTTTACTGCCTGACAAACATGAGGAAACCTACAAATGGTTTTTTTGAACAGTTAATCGATTAATCCAAATATCAACCCAAGTAATATAATGATGGATTACAAAAAAGCAACAATGAATGCGGAAAACTATGAATTTCCAAATACAGTTATAAATGGTTGTTTTTTCCACATATCTCAGTGTGTATGGTAACACGTCGAAGAAATTGGCTAATCAAAAAAATATATAAAGAACTCGGAGTTTGCTCTGCATGCCCGCATGTTACCAGCTTTGACCTTCGTACCTCAAGAAGACTTCATTGAATCGTTTGAAACTCTTATTAAAATCAACTTCTTTTCAACTATCTAGGAATTTTTAACACCACTTATTGATGACTTTGAAAGTAATTAGATTTGACAATTACAACGTAGGCATCACAGAGAACCAAAATTCAGTATTACAGTTAGGAACTACTTTTCTCTTGTGAAAGCAAATTTGCCTCAAACAAATAATTCAGTGGTAGGGTAGTATAACTGCGTTTCGCCAATGTTAAATTCATCAATTCATTTATCTGTATGGAAATTTATTACTGCATTATAAAAAGAAGAACGAGTCAATCGGTTGAAATTTGAACAAATAGTTACAAGAAATTAACCACCATAAAAAAAATGTATAATCATCTAGCAAAAAAACTTAAAAAAATATTTGGTGATTATAATAATACAAATAAAGAAGATTATTTACGAGGCGTCGTACATGATTTTATTTTTTTTATTACTATGATTTAAATTATTGACTACTTTTTTAAAGTTTTTTTCTGAAAAACCTATTGTTATTATTTTAATAATTGCTATTTTGTTAAAGCCTATTTGTGAGGAACTATTATTATTTTTTTAATCATATACAAAGTGTATCTTATGACACTACCAATCTATCTCCCCATAAAAAAAAAAATATAATATTGTGTCAAATGTCAATTGTCCAAGATACACTATCTATTATAGTCACACGATCTATTGTCCACTATCTATTGTCGCACTATCAATTGAACATTATCTATTGGCATGGATCCAGTTATGCCATAAGTGTATTCACTAAAATTCTTGTTTTAATTTCGAAATGCTTTTATATACAGATATCAATAAAGAATTTAATTTTAAAGGTAAGTCGTAAGTACTTTCTCAGATTTTAATAATTCAAAAAGAGCAAAACATCTTTATACATTTTAATTAACATTGAAATAAAAATATAGATATAATTTCGAATATATAATTGTATTATAATCTTATTTTGTGTACTTATAGGCCATAAAGGAATTTACAATTATTATACATCGTATGTGCAATATAGTAAGTAAACTTGATTGGACTTTATAATCTTAAAACCACTAAATATATTTGTTTATAAAAGTATTCAAACAGATAGATTTAAATGCGAGATTTATATTTAAGTATAATTTTATCATAAATGTATAGTACAAATAAATCAAGTTACCTCATAAAACCGCTCACTATACATAATATTAATATATTTATCAACTCTGGGAGTTAGGTGGAAGTCGTACAATCATTAGCGGAAATCAGGGGGAGGCTTTAGGGGTCTAGGCCTGCTCAAAATGTACAAACAGAGATATTAGCCTTTCGAAATAATCAGTAATCAGTATGATCATAAATTAGTAATTTGAAAGGGACTAATTTTTTTGTTTATACATGAATGGGCTTAGATCCTTCAAACCCCCCTATTTCCGCCAATGCGTATAGTTTTTAACAATAATATACTATTAAAGTATTACACATATTCGAAAATCATGAAATATATTTAAAACCATAGGCAGAAGATTTTGAACATATCATAAAAGGCTCGCTATTTTAGATAATTGTATAGTTTTACCTGACTTTTGCTATATTCTCCATTTTCATTTTCGTTAAATTTTGTTCGTTATACAAATTACTTAACTTATCCTTATATATTGTTATTTTTTTGTTTTGTAAGTTATAACATTTTAATAATACAAGTATTAGTATCATAAAACCCCAAAAGACAAAAACAAACGAAATTATAAATATGCTATTTATATAGTTTATATAGCAAATATATTTTTCCACATTTAAGAATTATTAACGAATCGGTTACAAAATTTCACAAATTTTACCAATTTCTAAATTAATTTTTTTATCGTGGTGAACATGAAGAATGGAAACATCATTCAACCGTTTTTGACTGATTGCAGATCTTATGTATGTCTTTAGTCTACAGAAAAAGATAGTTAAAATGTTCATGATAACATTGGTATTAATAACATTATACATGATATTTTATTTAACTCTGGTAAAATTTGATGAAGTGCATCAGCGTTCCTAATTAGTTTCAAGACATATTCAATATTACTTCCCTTGATTTTGCTGCACCCGAAAGCATATCTCTATGTAATTTCAATTTATCAACATCAAAATCTGGTCTATTATATTTAACTATGCCTTTAAATGAAATTTATTTTCTAATGATGAATCTTTTGAATAGGTATAGAAAAATTGTCTATAACATTTTTTTAAAATAATTTATCTAATAAAATATTCTTATAGAATATATTGAATATAAAATATAATATCATACAATTTATTTTATTCAATAAAAGATAATAAACCATAATATTTCGTGACATGTACTCCATCCTAGATCTGCGTCTTTTAATATAATGGGCTTTACATTACTATCTGTATCGCGTTTCTTCTAACGCAGTAGATGTCCTATCATTTTATCTTTTTTGACTTTAATAAATTAACCAAAGTTTTCGTTTTTTCCCATAAATAATATATTTTATTGTAAATTTCTCAGTGGTATTGAATATAAAGTCATTGACGAGTAAGTATTTTATGTAAACGTTTTATGATAGAATCCTGTGTACCAATATTTCTAATTCTTACAGGAGTTAAAAACAAATATTATAAAATGATATGAGAATTCTAATATGTGTGCTTTCCCAAAATGTTTCATTGTTAACTAGGTTACATACAAATTTAAAGTTCTTTGATTAATATTCAATTTAAAAAAGACGGACATACTTCGCAAGACGAGTGGACTACTATTGTAAGTGAGAAGTTGAAAAGGTGGGATATGGAGAGAAATTTAATTTATATTTGTACTCAACGATAAATCATTGTTTACGAAAAAAGATTCAGAGCGAAGTTCGGATTTATATGTTTTAAAAGGCCGTTGTAGTAAAATACAAATATTGTAAAAAGTGAAAATAGGTTAAAGGCGAAAGTCAAGGGAAAATATAATGCGTGCGGAGTATTATTGGTATTGGTGTTAATATTGTTTTATCATACGTGGATTCTCTACTTTACAAACAACGATAAAAGTGAAATAATCTTATGAATACAAGAGTGAACGGTGAGGGGTGTATGTGTGAAGATCGACGATTTTACGACCTAATGCGAACAACCAAATATGGTGCTATGGTGTGACATGGTATACTATAAATATACATTATACTATGTAACGAAATCAAACTGTATATATTGATTATTATTGTGTATCGTCCGAAGGCCGTCCTAATCAGTATGAGTGTGTGTTTAAATATATGTGTAAATGACTATTTCCTATATTACGCGACTATTTGCTCTGACTTACGAAAAATCTAAATACTATTCTATTACGGGAGTGAAGTAACTTTCACTTACCTCGTTAATCTGCAAGAATTTTAATAGTCCACAAGAAAATTTTGGTGGCTGTAGAAATATTTGAAAACTTAATAAATTATGTTATAAATAAATAAAATCCTTTATATTATTTTATAAATGCATTTTTTTTTTTTATTAGTGAAATATTATTTATGAAAAAGAAGGTGTTAGTTCAAAACATTGAATAAGGACCTGAAATTTGTTGTATAAACACTATAAACTTTATAATAGTCCATAGAATTTGCAGTTATGAATTTAGTGGTCCGTGAGGTCAAAAAGGTTGGCGACCGCTGGATTAGAGAGTAGTATACTCTGGTGGTCAATGTGTGATATTAACAGATGTTAATTGTTATGGAGACTGGTAGTTTTATAATATCACGCTTGAGCGTTTACTTCCAACACTAAATATTTAATGCATTACACCGTAATATGTACAATTTTCGTCAAAATTGTATATTAAAATTCTCATTAAAAACAAAAATACTATCTACATTAAACTCATTTTTTTTTTTTTACTACAAAGTACGACTTATAATGAACCAGGAGGTTAAATTTCCAAGAATTACTGTTCAGTCTAACAATTTTATCCACAGAGTAGGTATACATGTCAAATAAAACTGTAGGAAAATTCGTAAAATAAAAATGTCCATAAATAGCTCAAATGTATTTAAAATTGTATCACGTCTAAAAAAGGTTAATATAAGTTTTGTTCCAATCTCAAGTCTTTACGAATATTTTTAATTACAACAAAAAAACAAAAATTCAAAATAACACATTTCGTAAATTTTCACATTTTTCCTATGTTATTTCCTGGTTTTCTTATTATTATAAAATGGACTCCTTAAAGTACCAAGTAGATAAAATTTCCTTTCAGAAGAGGTTCTACACTTGATACATTAAGAGGAAGATGTCTTGTAGAAAATTTGTCCATAAAAAAAGAAAAAAAACATCATTGTAAAATGATGTTATCAACTGTATATTTACCAACTTTTCTAGTCATTTTTAGTCAGGGTTAATTCCAACTGCTTTTTAAAATTATACAAATCATACCATATTAAAAAAAAAAAAATCACAATTTGAGTCTAATCATTTTTACTGTTAGTGTGCTCAGTACCTAACTAATGGTAGGTGCATAAAATAAAAGATATAACCTATAATGACTCAATAAAAAAAGTGTATCTTTTAATCAGATATTCCCAACAAACAATTAAAGGTTTAAAAAACACCAGTTCGAAAAGTTTTAGCAATTGCGGCAAATTGTAGTTTTATTACAACACTCTAACCGGGACATGTTATATAATTCTTTTCAGCATTTGCGGCATCGTACTATGAATATCTCCAAACCGAGGCTTCTAAATGTATGTACCTACCTAAAATATTAATTTGGAAATTATTTTAACTAAAATATCGGTTTTTCATAACACAATAATATTGTTGATATACGATATAATATTTCGAATGTTACATTAGTACATACACTGCAATCAAAAACAATATAACTACGAATATTATTATGAAACATTAGCAAGCTCTACATTCAATTATACATTCTATTACTCTAGAACCGTTAATGTTCAATAAATAGTGTATAAACCTTAAATCAGTAAAAAAATTAAAATTGTATTAAATACATACTTTTAAAATGTTATATGTTACCATCTTAAGTAAGAATTAGAGTAGTTTTATAAATTTGTTTTAATATTCTACAAATAAATATATTAGGTACCTTAACTTAAAAAGTTATGATTATGGTTAAATTACTCACTACCTAATTCCTAGTTACTATTAGGAACTATTTTCGTTTTTTATTCAATTTATTAATTTCAATATCATTTGTGTAAGTAAATGATTGGGCTGTTGAAGTATGTTAAACTATATAGTGTAGGTATTTTATTATAATATTGTAATTTTTTAAATAATAACAACTAAATAAATAATACCTCATATCTATCTCTATAAAATATAACAATATTAATTTTAAACTGTAGACAGAGTTTTAACAACACAGGAATGGTGTGCGGCAGGTTGGTAACATCAGTATAATTTTATTTTTTTTATATTTTAAAACTATTATAATAATGTTTTCATAGTAATCTTAGTTATCTTTATTATGGTTCTATACATAATATTATGCAATTTCATAAGTTCGTGCTTATCAATTGTAAAGATGACAAGAACTTTTTTTTAACCTACTTTTGAAAAAGTTGTATGGGTATTTATGTAGGTACTTTTATTATAAAAAAATCAATTGCCAATCTACTTTAATAAAAATATTTACCTACCTCTCGTATTTCAGGAAAACCAAGTAAGCAGTACAATCAAAGAGAAATATATTTTGTTAATACGTAAATTTGGTAGCTAGTAGTAAAAAAGTAGTTAAAAATAAAAATAATCTTAATTAATTTTAATAAGAAAAAATAATAATTAATAAGAAAAGAAAAAAAGACTATAATTTTCATTCGTTCGTATTTTTTACCTACAGATTTTTAAATCCGTTATTGCTGTTAAACACTCCATTCATTTTTGTAACTAATCATAAATAATAAATCAAAAAAAATCTTTGAAAATTTAAGACTTAAATTATATTTAGTGGATAAAAATGGCAAAAACCCCATGCTACAGCAGTCATAATTAATAAGTCATATTTTTGTCATGTTTTTTTAGGTGCAATGAATGCTATAGCATTCGTTTTTTTAAACGATTGTTTATACCATATTAATTTGATTATTACTGATAATTACTATGTCTTTGTGAATATACCTAGGTATACTGTTATCATGTGCACATATGGGGCATAATAACTGAAGGATAATAAGACTTTTCAATACTATGGTATTGTGATAAAACGTATATCGTTTACTCTGATGCGTATTACCAGTGGCGTATTTATGAGAGGAGGGGATCAAGCGGATCAATGCCCCCATGAGTTGTATTTAATATTCAAATAATTAAAATTTAAAATATTTAATTTTTTTTTTTTACTATGGGTTAATTTTTAATTACATTAATTGCAAAAATTAAAATATTACATGTACATTCGAGTTGGTAACTGATCAGTGATCACACCAATACCGCGGTGATTACGAATTGAGGGTTCTCCCAGAGTGATAATACGAGGGTATACGGGTCTATGCATCATATTTTCGACATTAATCGGGAATTAATGACAGATATATTATCACAAGCGCCTTATCATTATATAGTTATTGATCTATTGTAAAAAAGTATTATTATTTAGTATTTTTACTTATAAAATCATAAAACTTTCAAAAATAACTAAATATTTCCACACATCAGTTCCTACTGAATTTAACGACAATATATCACTGCTTAAACATTAAGATAAAATTCTAAACAAAATACTGTAATTGATCATGACATTGATGTGGTATTATTATTGCTTCTTATTGCTTCTTTATGTTATTTTATCTTCATATCATAGATGGAAAATTATTGCGTTGTTCAGGCTTATGCTAGTAATGATGACAATATTAAAAACAATATTTCTGAAATTAATACAAATTTAGGCATTTCTTTTTATTTAAACCATCCATTAACATACAAAAAAACCGTATAAGTAAGATTTTTGATTTATGATTATAGTATATATTCTCCCAAAGTTGATAAAACCAATATTAATAATGAACTCAAAATGTGGAAATTGAAATTGGCCACCAGTGATTTACTAACTAAAAATAGCTTAGAAGCTATTAACAATTGCGATGATGCAATATATCCCAATATTAATTTTTTTTATTTAAATATTTGTGACTGGTTGTTTCAACTGCAACTCCAGAGGGAAGTATCTCCAGTTTAAAACAGCTTAAAACGTACCGGTGCAATACAATGAAAGAGGTTTAACGAACATATTTTTTTAGTTTTAATTTGTATATATAATAAATCATATTTTTTGTTTTAAACATGTTTGAACGGATTAACACAATTATCAATTCATCGAGACATAAATGTATCAATTGAAGAAGTTATTAATGAATTAGCAACAAAATCAAGAAAATTAGATTTTGTATTGTAGTATTTTATTTTGATTTTTAATTTTTTTTAGCCTATTACAATTATTGATTTATATATATTATATTCCTAGTAGTAATAACTAATAGGTAATCAATTTAGTTTTAATAAAACTTTTAATCTCAAGTAATGCTTAAATATTATAATTTTAGTATCATAGATTCTATATATAATGTTAATAAGTCATTATATTTCATGGAAAATCTAGGGGTGAGAGGGTCAAAGCCCCCCTCGAGTCTGTGACCACTTGATAAATTCATATCCCCCACCCCAAGACAAAAACCTAAATATGCCACTGCGTATCACATATGAAAACCAAGCGATTCTAAATTAACAAAAATCGCTGTAATGCTATAGCAGTCATGGCCGTAAATGTGATTATAATTAATAATTGTTGTTATTATTGTTACTTTTATAACGTAGTTATACTAATAGAATTTATTAATCTCACCTTATTTCAGTAACAAAATGTAAGAATATTTAACAGTTAATACAATATAAATACGTATTTACTAAGCTTTATCCTACTATAATGCTAATAGTGTTATAATAATTAATAATTTCATAATTTAAATCTAATTTTAAATAATATAGGTATCTAATTTGTATTTGAAACTTTATTTGAGATTGACTATATTCAAAGGAACAAAATTAGTCTCTTGTGATTTTTCAATTGGAGTAATATTTCTGATAGAAAACAAAGTTTTCTAAAATTAAAAACAATGAAATTGGTAACGTTATGGCGCGTTATAAATATTTTCTGTTTTACCTATAATTTTCATGCAAGTTTCTCCCAATTATTTTTAAAACCCATTCGAAAATCAAAAAATGACATTCTCAATGCACCAACAGGATAAAATTTACTTCCAGAAAAGATACTTAACTTAATACTTCAGAGTAAGATTTCTAATAGAAAAATTGTTCATAGGCAGAAAAATAATCACACGCACATATCAAAATAAAATCAATTGAACCCCCGCTACTTTCCAGATTTAAAAAATATATAATAAATACATTTTATTAAACAAATGAATTGACTTTACGGTAACATATTCTATTGCAGCACTATAAGCATTTTAGTTTTCTTTTTTTTTTTATTAATCAAATTAATTAATAGTATTTATTAATAATTAATAATATTTATATTTTGAATTAAATGATATCAGTTAATGTGGGTAAGAATATAAAAGTACACATAATTTATAAAGTATATTATCACAGTCTATAGTTAAATTTAAATCTAATCTTAGTAGTTTTACAAATGAAAAATACTGAAATTTAATATACAAATATGTCCAGTGGCGCCAAACCTATATATTAGGTGTGGCGATTGCCACACCTAATTTAAGGGGTGTGTATACCCCCTAACATTGATAATTTAGTATAAAACATTGCATATTTTACAATTAATATAAAGAGCAGATTACACAATATTACAAATAATACGAACTAGTTTATTCCTAGACTGCCGTGGTGTGATTCTGGGTGATTGCAGCGATGTGCACTAATAGAGCGGTGTCGTTTTGATTTTGTACCCGGACGCAAAGTTAAAAATTTCGACCCCCTATTTATTCAATTATTGACATGATAGTTTAGATTTTAGGCATTAATAAATAGTGTGATTATTATTATAAAAATAATAATGCAACTAAATATTCATTATTATCAAAAATATTTATTTAATGAATTAAGTATTTATTTATTAGGTTATTATTAAGTATTTATATGTCTTAAAATTTATTTTTTCTGGATTTTATAGAAGCAAAATCTTCTATGAGATCTTAAAGGTCGATTTTTTAGGTTATTTTCTTCTCAATTGATAATATTTTCGAGTTTCTCTATCTTAATTTATTAAGGGATCGTTCTCCAAATTCTTCAGTAACTGACACGATATTTTGACAGAGCTGATCTTTACGCGAAACGTCTGGAATAAAATCAAAAATTATAGAAAAATATTTTTGGTTTAGTATACTTTATGAAAATAATATTTAATAGTTTAAAAAATTGATAATTAGTGTTAGGGTATTAAGTTTAATACCATGCAGAGGTAGGTGGGTATAAATTAATACTTATCGCTACACACACAAAAAATTACTTCGGCGCCACTGAATATGTCATTTGTTTCTTTTACATGTCGTCAATATTAATACTTATAATATTATGTTATAATATGCGTATAATCACAGTCTGTTCCACGAAGATAAACCCCTTGTTAATAAAAAGAGATAATAAAAATAATCAAATGTGAATGTTATCTAGGGAATAACCTAACTGTGTTACGTGATAACATCGGTTTTCACATGGATTAGTAGAATTTAAAACGGTTGTTACTTAAAAACTATTCATCGGATGTAAATGTGTGATGCATTAAAATTTTCAGAAAAAAAACTACAGCATGGCTATCTTAACATTTTCCAAAAATAATAAAATAGAAGATCATTTTTTACATTTTTTTTACTAAAAAAAAAAATTTAATGCATGTATAAATATTTGTAGTTCTCGTCCCTGTGAGTAATATACAAAAAACATAATTTGATTATCTTTTTATCTCCGGAAATATTCAAGAGGTATATCTTTGTATATCTTTGTGGGACAGCCTGTGTATAGTAAATAATTTTATAAATACAAAAAGGATAGGTTACATAATAATATAAAATTAATTAATTAATGAATGCGTCGCCTGGAGTACTATGATAAGTGGTTTCGAATTGAAAATTCATCATCGGGTATACCACAGTCAAAATGTAAAACATATATACATTTATATTCAGTCACGTTTTACATTTTGACTGAGATATACCTGATGATGAATTTTGAATTCGAAACCGGTAGTAAAATACACTTATCATAATACTCGAAACAACTCATTTAATAATTTATTTATTTTTTATTCATATATTTATTTACGAGTATTAACTATCTTAATTTTTTTTCTTTTTACTTTATTATTTTATTATTTAATATGCTAATATTAATAGATTATTTAGAAATCTAAATTAACATATCTAAAAGTGCAATAAATTTACTTGAATCACATTTAGTTAGCATTTTCAACATTATTTTTCTACCATGGTTAGTCATTGTAAATACTTATAAATAACATTTATATCATAAAGTAGGCTATATTTTTTTTATTTTTTTTTTTTTTTTTTAAACCTTGATTTTGTCTTTTTCCGATTTGTGTATCTCACTTAAAAATTGTAAAAACTAAAACTTAAACTTAGAAAATTAAAATCAATCATACATACTTATTATAATCCTAACTCTACTATGACCCTATACTGTAATTAGTATAACTTACACATTATAAAAATATACAATCATAGGTAAGGTAACTAATAATATAAAATATATTTCAATCATTAAATGTTGACATTTCTAATGAATTATTGCAGATCCACATGGTAAACAAATTATTAAATACTTATTTATTATTTTTGTTTTAAAAAATTCTACAATTATTAGTGAGTATACATTATGATTATAATAACATTTTAAAAAGTCATGTCCTGTATGAAGAAATGTTTTAATTGTAAAATTAATATATATATATATATATACATTAATAACATTATATACATATATATATATATACGTATGTATAAATAGCGAAAATATATCGTGTAAAATACGAAAAGTTATATTTCCTCTCAGTTCAAATTGGACCGCTCGATAAAAATACTTTATTGCTCATTAGTACAACCTAACCTTTCCCTTATTATAAGCACTCTCCCTTTTCTTTGTCATCAATACTTTTTAACTTGCATTTACCATATAAATATACAACTATGTAACTCATGTAACTTCACTTTAGTTGCTTACAAACGTACATTTTTTAATAAATAAATAATTAATTTATCATGTTTACTGTATATGTCTAAATTTCAATTACTATCAAATTTCAGATGTTACGGGTAATAATATTATAAAATACATTTAAGTAATGAAAATTGAAATTTTATTATTGAAAAAATATACCTAGCTATTTTTTGAACAGTTTATATCTAACATATAATATAGAAAAACATGTTGTATAAAAACATAACAAAATACTCCACGTATTTCCGGTTTTTTCAAGTTATAAGAAAACTATAAAATATAATGACTTCCTCAATACATTAACTGGACAAAACTTCCTTTCAAAAAAGATGCTACACTCGAAATTAGAGGCAAGATTATTGATAGAAAAACGAAATCGAAGACATTAAAAATAATGAAATCTTTATTGCATAAATTTGCCCTACACATTTTTTACGGTTTTTCCACATTATGAAAACTTCTTAGAAAATCATAAAATGATCTATTTAATTTATCAACTAAGTAAAATTTGTTTTCAGAAAAGATATTTATTTTTGGTAGTAAAGTTTTTTCAGATAGAAAAATAACACACAGTAAAAAATAAAAGATCAGAATATGTAACGAATTAATAAATACTGTAGTTATTCGTTTTAAAATTAATACATGTGGTTTATTTTTAATTTCTAGAATGCATGGGTAAGACTCCATATTATATTTTGAATCATTCTTTATTTGTATATTTTACTATTCAAATTATTTTATTATAATTAATGTATATCTACCTAGTAACAAATCTAAGGAGGGGGGAAAGGCAATTACTCCTCAAATATATTGCCTCATATATGTATTGTACATTTTCAAAATATCTCCTTCCTTCAGTTATGTTAGTCTGGATTCACCCCTGTATCCACGTATCATTTCATTGAGTTTTATGTAATCATTTGTCAACAGGATTAATAATTAGAGCCGGGTTCAATCCAGGTAAGTGATTTATTTGTACATAATAATCATTGATTTTTTATTATGAAACTGTAACTATAATATAGGTTGTTGATTGTGTATATGTTAAGAATGGGTGCGTTACGATTGCCTACGATACGATTGCGTCCGGATCTTTTTCACTATGACGATTGCATATATTCTACCTACACAAACTTAATGTAACGTTGACGTTGCGTGTTCACAAACGTGAAGTTTACGAAAAATGTGAAAAAAAAATTTTAGAGAAAAACTTTGATTAACTAACCTTTAAAGTATCTAGAATTTGATGAACAGAATTATAACCATTATTTCCATGACTGTACTATAACAACACAAGAGTTATCCAAAAAAATAACCGCATATAATTATATTGTGTACACACGTACGCAATCGGGCCACCAAAAGAAACAAACGTATACAATCGTATATCACCATTAGGAATTTAAGAATTTGAGCAAACCGTTTATTCATATCCGTTTATTCGAAATACGAATTGTTCGGATAATCCGAATGATTTCATAATAATTCAATAATTGCCTTATTAGTTTTAAACAATGTAGGTATCTTTAAATGATTAATTCATTGTATATTATTAACACAAGTCATTTTTAGGAGGAGGCTAAATCCCTCCCATATTTGCACCACTGCAGATGTTTAAAGACATTCGAACTATCCGGATAATCCGAATAAAATTCATCATCCAATATCAGGTTTCGGATAACTGGATAATCTGGATTATATTGGAATCCGGATATATCTGACATCACTAGTTTGTATATTGGGTCTATAAATGGGGAAATGAGAAAGAATATGATTAGAAGAGAGATGGAGAAGGGATTGATGGGGGAATAAAATACGGTTAGATGTTTTTAAATTTAAAAATAAAATTCTGATACAGGAAACGGGTGCAGCCGCTGTTGTAGGTGAAAAGTTGAGAAAGTTGTTTAATTTATAATACTGAATCTAAAATAACATAAAAACTAAATATAAAGTTAAAAATAGAGACTTCAGGGGAACAGGGGCATTTCCGCCATTGTTTTACGACATTTCCCTGAACAATTTTAACTAAGACATTTATTTTTCGTTATAGATGACAGACTAATTAGAACTTTTTTATTCACGCATTACAAGATTTAAGACTGGTCATAGGAGAAATTAAAAAGACATTTTTTATCTACATTTTTCCCAATTGGACTGGTTTAAAAAGTTTTATCCTAGCCACGATATTTAAAAATGTATTTATTAAAAAGACCCTTGTTATTTAATTTATTTATTTGTTTTTATTTTATTAGCTTTATTATCTTAACACTTTACTAATTTAATATTGGTGTCACTGGTGTCATACATTTTAATGGACATTAGTTAAGCAAGCGAATGCGATCTTTGGGAAGTGGTTCTTTTTCGATTTTATTTAAGATTTTGGATTAGGTGCTCAATATGAAAAAATTAAATATTATTCTATTTATTTATATTTACAACTTATTTATTAAAAATATATGAAAATATTGTGATATATTGGGAGTATTAGGAAATATTGGGGTACATTGCTACAGGGTCACGAATGCAGCCGAGGCCCTGAAGTTTTTTTTATTTTTACTATGTTTAGTACCTTATAAACACGGCTCTACAAAACGGGGTTAGGAAAACCCATGGTTCTAGGGCCCCAGGAGTAAGTTTAAGGAGTAAGCCTCTGTGAAAATAATTACCTATTATAATAAATACATTTTATAAACAAATATCTTGTTAACTATACATAATATTATAATAATATCTAAATTTGATTTTCTATTCAATATTCACACGAAAATATAGAACTAGAATTATGACTACGAAAATTATAATAATAAATAATACAGTAAATGCAAACGCTGCTTATAAAATTCATGATAAAATCAGCAAAAAATGAGTCTTATAAGTTATTATTTATAACTTATAACTTATAAGCAAATAAACCTTATAGGAGAAATGGGAAAAGGATAAAATTAATTTGGATATATCTGGAACATTTCAAGTGATTTTAAGTCTTATAAGTTAATGAATCTAAAACGTGTAAGTCTTATAGGCGACGTCCACTGTATTTAATTAATTAAATAATGGTCTTTCTGTATGGGGATCAAAATTTCAATATGGGGGCCTATTTATAAGAACATAAATAAACAATAATAACAATTTATGTTATTAAAAATACGGACATGCTTCACAAATGGATGCAGACACTGTTGAAAGTTGAGAAGTTAAGATGAAAAGGGAAATTTGATGTATATCTGAAAACAACGATAAACCATTGCCAACGAAAAAAAATTCTGAACGAAATTCAGTTGATAGTGATGTTTTTTTAACTGGTATATATGTTATATTATGGTAAAATAACTAAATAGGTATTATTTATTTTCTTTAAAAATAGTTGTTTAATTTTTTACTGATTTTCACGTTTTTCTAAATTTTCTCGGTTTTTCATGTTTTTTCGCGGTTTTCACATTTTCTGGTAACACTCTTGAGAAAATTGAAAAATGACCTACTTAAAGTACTTTTCCAATCAGGTTTCCTTTTAGAAAAAGTGCTAAAATTGTAAATTGGAGCAAAATTTCCGGTAGAAAAGTTGTCCACAGAAAACAAAATCGTAATATTTTACTAATATATTTCGTACATTTTCCAGTTTTTTTCAGTCTTTCTCTTTTATTGGAGAAAACTTGCGAGAAAATCATAAAATTACCTCCCTAAAGTACCGCTCTAAGAAAATTTCTTTTCAGAAGAAAGTCTACATCGTATACATCAGAATAAACTTTCTAGTAGAAAATGTGTTCACATAAAACAAACAAAAAAAAATGATATAAAAATCTTTATAAAACCAATACATTTTTCACAACACTCAAAATCTAAAATTTGAGGCTTAAGTAGAAATAGTGACCAAGAACTTTTATGCCAGGCCGACATTGATAACTACAGGATTATTTTACGATCGTTTTACCCAGATGACTGGTGAATTTTAATATCAATGTTTTAATGTTTTTAATATCATTCAAATCCTCAGTTATTATAGTAAACCAACCTAAGTGTTGGCATATAACAAATTATAACAATCTATAGCAAAATTTTAAATACAATTTCTTGTTATATTTGGGTACCAAAATTTTTATATCCGGCACTGCTTGCCAATTTATTTATTGGGAGATCCACAACAAACATTGGTCTTCCTTTGACTTGTGCACGAAACATGATTTACAGATGGAAAAAAGCTACTGATCAACACCTATCATAGTTTGCTCTCTAATTAGTGAAGAAAATTGTCCAAATACATCAGTCGTATGTAGCTGAATGCAGAATAAAAGTAACTTTATTGTTTTTGGTTTTCAGCTGGACAAGGAATGGAAAACTACGTTATTGCACGGTATAGAAAAAGTAAGTAATTTAACTAGGTGCATTAAACAGCATATTTCGAGACTAAAGAATTGTTTCAGTACAGTTTGTCATATTTTACACAATTATACAATATATCTTTTTACGCAAAATAATAATGCATAAAATCAAAAAATCCCAAGTTTAAATTATAAAAGGTTGAAAAAGTAGGATACATAATGTTATTTATTTTTTTATCTGTGCACAACAATAAGTCAATTACAGACCAAATAAATAAACTTTCTAAGTGTTACATTTGAATTGCTCGTAAAAAAAATGAATCATAATGCAACTTTTACTATCGTAAATGTTTTCACTTTTTTTTCCCGATTTTTTCAAATAATTATGAAAATTATATGGATAATCAAAATATAATACCAGTAGTGTATTTAGAAATTGTTTAAGGGAGGGAATAAGACATTAAATCATATACATGAAAGTCGGGATCTTTGCCCCTCACACCTTCCTTTGAGATTTCTAATACATTCCTATTATAATGGTGTATAGTATACATGACGTTCTACATCGAATACCAACTAACACAATTATTATTAATCATTATTTTTAGTAAATCTAAAATTATAAAAAATCAAGTTTTCTTCCTTTGTTAGCCATTTCATTTATAATTTTATCAATATTTATAATTATATATTATATGTAGAAATGCATTCATTAAACGGCTGCAGTATGTTTTTTATCATGTTTATGTGGAAAAGCTCCGTTTAGGTGTTGCTGTAGAAACAGGCAATTCTACTAAATACCTTAGTCTTGTTCTTAAGATTTAAGGTGCCCATCACTACTTACTCCGTTCAGAATTTAAATATGTAACTTAATTTACAATTAAAATGTAGGTACGTATTAAAACGTATTTGTAATGGTTAATGTAATTTTATTCAAAATTAATATTAAAATATATATTATAATCCCTAAATTATTATATTAATTATATTAAAGAACAATGGAACTGGAAGCGGGAGCTAGTGTCAACCAATACTTCCCTTTGGCCTCCGTTTATTATATTTAAAAAAATCATTTTAACTATATATTAAGTTACTTATGTAATTTTTTTCTACCATTTATTTTCATATGGTATAAAACATTATGTATCTTATATTTTTAGGTAATATTAAATCATTGTTTGTTTTTAGCAACGTAAAATAATCATAATATAATATTTCACGGTTTTTAGAGAATATCATAATTGCGACTTCTAATAATAATAATGATGGTGAATTTTTAGCTATAATGTTAATCTACACGTTCTTTTAATTTTTTTCAAAGAACTTATTGATCGTAGAACGCTTGCAGTACTAATTGGTAATATATAATATGAAATATCCCATATATATCATTAATAATATATATATATATATATAAGATTTATATACGTATATTTTTTATCTTAGTGTACACAAATATCACTTTAAAACAATCGTAAACATTATATAATAATTTAAACACCTAACGTTATTTATTTATTTATAAGTAAATATATTTAATGATTTATTTTATATATACAGGGTGATTCATTAAGCGTGCTCACTTTATTTTTTTGGTTAAATTTTAAATATATTCAAATTCTGATTTTTGGAATTTTTATGCGTAGTTAAAGCCGATATTTTCGAATATTTAGATTTTTCAAAACACTTAAACACCAGCTTTAGTTTTTTCAATCGAGAAGCTATATTAAACATTTCATAAATAGACGTAGTATTACTCTAAATAAATTTTGATCTCAGAAATTTGATTTCTGTTTACCCGTTAACGAGATATTCCACTTCTAAATTTAAGTAGGCGGAGAGTAGTGAAGCACTAATAAAATACCACGCGCCGTGCCACCACAAAAATGATACTCCACCACTCTCTTCCTAACTACACTTAAAAGTGGAAACAGTAAATTGTTACTGAAGTAATACAGTTCTGAGAGAACGTCGATTAAATATGTTTTCAAATTCTGAATTTCTTCAGAACTTTAATTTACAATGCTACTATATTATATTCAACTTTTTTTCAACCACTAAATACAACTTAAAATAAAATCTGTTTTCACTGTTCAAGAATTTCTGTCCGATCAAACAATTTTTTCCAAATAATATTTACTAAATAAAAACTAAAATCTCGAGAATATCAAATACCTATAAATAGTTCAACATTTCTAGAATCTTCGCCAGAATATTTTAAAGATTTTACTAAATCTAATAAAGAATAATATAAGTATTATGTGAAAATGGCAGGTTAAATTTTCTCCAACTTTGAAAATTTTAATAATTATTTTTAACATTTTTTTAAAAATTTTCCCAATAATTCAAAAAACTGCTTGAAAAATCGAAAAAATACATTCTCAATGCACCAACTATGTTCGAAATACAACAAAAAAGCTCTCTCATCATTTTTTATTAGAGCAAGATTTCTGATAGAAAAGTTGTAAATAGATTATGTATATTTTTGAATTGTATATAAATTTGGTAAAACTAAAAATGTCTTTTTTTTTTTTATACTATAGCCTTTGATAATTATAATCAAAGTCCATACAATATTATACTACACTTTAAGTCGCACAATAATAATGTATAATTCGAAAACCTGCACAGTTCATAAAAAGGATTAGACCATGCTAAATGCTTCTTATATATAAGATAAAAGTGTTGAGAAGGATCTATGTATCAAGAAACAATAAAGAAGTGAAAGAATAGAGAAGAAAAAAATATTCGTTTTGTATCCCGTAAAAAAAATGAAATAACCCTCTTGATATATTCCCTACTAATGCAGTATAATCAGGAAAGTACTATCCATCACGGAAAGAGGGTCTTTAATATTAAGATTGGATCATAAAATTAAAAAACTGTGAAACACTGAAACCTGGAGCTAATTAGAAAACAGTTGCAACGAGCAGAAAGAAGTGTTGAGGATTGTTTGTCCGAATGACCTCAATTGGCCTCACGAAACAAAAAAAAATATGTATACAACTTTTTTTCGTTATCTTTGATAAAAGACCTAAAAAAATATCAAATTTATGTTAATTGTTTTAGACATAATATAAAATACAAAATAAACTTAAAAATGCTACGATGTTCCTATTTTTATTATTGTGATACAGTAATAATAATATAATAACATATTATAAACAATTAAGAGGTAAAAACTAAGCAGATATTTAATTTAATAATTATAGACAGCGAAGAAACTTATTATGAAGCTACCCGGATGTACGGTAAGTGTTTTTTGTAAAACGGATAGATCAATGAAATATTCTCAAATACAAGTTAGTTATATATTAATCATGATGTTTGATAGAAAAAAATTAATATTTTTTGTTTTTTATTACCTTATCTATAGTCTTTAATAATTTTTCAAGTAACTTTATTTTTGTAAGCTGTCAAAATAAAAAAGATGGACATTCTTCGAACGATGAGTGAGCCACTGTTGTAAGTGAGAAATTGGACAGGTAGAGAGAAAATTCAATGTACATCTGAACAGAAAGATTAACGAAAAACGATTATGAGTGGAATTCGGTTAATAGTGTTGCTTTATAATATTTAAAATTATAATTATATTTAATTATTTACAAATTAGGCCATAATATTTACTAATATCATCAAAATTTGATATTAAAAAAAATATATATATATATATACTTACCTACTACAGTAAACTCAATATTTTGACGATGAAAAACGACTTATGATGAACCTCCTGTTAAATTTTCTAGCATTTCTATTTGGTCTAATAATTTTAGCCACAGAGTACCTACAAAACAAAAATTATGTAAAAAAACCACGTGTAATTAAAATGTCTATAAAAAGCTCAAAACTGACTACAATGTTTTTAAAATTTGACCAAGTCTCGAAAACAAAAATATATTTTTTTTGTGTAAATTTCGAGTTTGAACAAATATTTTTAACTGAGTCAAAACAAAAAATTGAAAACATAATACATTTCATAAATTCTCCCATTTTTCTTACGTTTTTTTCCGGTTTTCCCATTTATTATGAAAACAGCTAGAGAAATCAAAAAAAGACCCCCCTAAAGTATTACCCCATTTCGATTTCCTTTCAGAAAAAGTGCTTTTACTTGAAATTCGGAGCAAAATTGTTAGTAAAAAAGTTGTCGACAGAAAAAAAATAAACATCATTGTAATATCATAAGCTTCTTCGATCGACTTCTAATTTAACATAAGTGATTGTAAATAAAATAAAGTAATATTAATAATTTAAATATTTTGTTTAGGAGCTGCAGGACACTACCTTATGTATCTCTTGGACAAGAGTAAATCTTGTAAGCATATTTTATTGTACACAAATTTATAAATATGTTTTTCAATGACACTGAAATTAATATAACATATAGGTACATATAGAAATTAGCTAAAGTAGTGGGCAATGTTTTAAAAATACCAAAATGTGTTTCTATTTAACATTTGGTTAGTAAATTAGGAAAATATATTAAAAAAATGATAAATATTTCTATTGACACCATCCTTTGGGGGAATAAAAACAGAACACTTAAAAAAATATATAAAATAAATTGTTTAAAGCAAAAATATTTTGACTGTACATACTTAAAGTACACCAAAAGATCTATATTTGATTATCAATGTAACCCAAATAGAACAGTTTTTATGATTCTTCAAATTTGAAAAGTGTTTCTATTCACCCCATTTTACGATACAATAAAATAATTTTAACACTACTTGGTTGTTATTGTATGATTATAGATGATTAATTTGTGTGCTATGGATAAATTAAATTGATTATATATTTATTTTTTTTAATTTTACAAGCCATTTAGGCTTTTAGCTGTTAAAACTAAATGTTTTCATCTGTCTCTGTTTTGTTATATGTCCCAGTCTACCTCTCGTAATTAATATTAGTATTATTATTTCATTATATTAATAATGAAATAATAATACTTAAGGAATCTTTTTTTTTTTTATTATTATTATATATTTTTTTTACGAAAATTGTATTTATTTAATTATCAAACAATTAATATAAAAATCACAATAATACACATACATGTTAGCCTAGATATCTGACACTTAAGAATATATATATTGTGACAAATTGTATCATATTATTATATTGTTAATAAATAATTCATTATTATATTTTACATAATATACCTATATTATGTTGAGTTGCTAATCACATTTAAAAAATTAATATGAAATTAATAAACAGTAATACGAGTATTTACAGGTATAAAATTATAAACTAATGAAATGAGATTTAATGACTACATGTAAGAACAATTTACAATTGACATATATAGAAAAGAAAATCTATTCGTCTATTTAAAAATAGAATCCATTGTATTTCAACAAAATTATATTCAAACCAATTTATTATTATTTAAGACCACATTCAGAATTAAAAATCTAATCTACGATTAGTTTAAAGTTTGAACGACATTTATTCTTACAATTTAGAGTTGAACAGAATTTCGAATTACATAAAACCCCTGCAGATTTAAAGTAGAACTTTTTTGTGTGTAACATTTGGTTTTACAAAACAATGTTTAAGAATTAAAAATTAAGAATTGCCTGAACTAGTGTAGATAGCGATAACAGATAGCACCGCACTAAATTTTAAAATTTTATCATTTAAGCACGCATATTATTATCGAAAGTAATTATCTACACTCAATAATCAACTTAAGGAGAATGTAAGCGACACGTTTCTGTCTTTGTTCGCACTTTGTTGCACGTGTGTGAGATATAGGGATTTAGACGTGTTTTATTTCCAACATACCTATTGATCTAGAGAAGCGATACGAATTCTGAAAGTAGATTTTAATTTGTCGTAAAATCTACTTGAGATCGACTTTCCTACTTTTTTGATTTTTGATTTTAATCCTGTGAGTTCGGAAATGTGGACAAATTCGTTGATTAATTAATTGTATTGTTGATAACATGTTATCCGTGGAAACTGAATAAGGCGTTATAAATTTCACTAGAAAAACTTCATTAGATCCAGACTCGTTTTTAATATGTTGTTTTATTGCTGTAATGTGTAATTGGGTTGTATGGGTTTGGAAAGATGAAGATGGTGAGAATGAAGATTAGCAAATAATGTGTGCTTCTACTGGGCGAACCCAGAGAACTGATGACTCGATCGAAAAGATTGACGCGTCTTGTGTCTTATGGCAGCCACGATCCTCACTCTAGCTGCTCCCATACGATATCACCACAGTGGCTACGTAGGGCGCCAGTATGTGAAAAACGTGCGTAATTAATTGTGAAATAATTTATGGCATACTTATGTGGCAACACTGATCGAACTGATAATTTCACCTACTACATCACTTTGCAGTTTGCTCATTTATTTAATAAATATTGAATATTTAATGTATTATAAAATACAACCCAGTTTTTGGATGATCACTTTCTCGTGGTCAACATATAAGTTTAAACAAATTACAAGAATTTATTACATGAACTTTAGCAAGTTCGAATTTCCCCCACAACTACTGTTACTCCATATACTTCCGTATACTCGGAAACGGCGTTCGGTGAGAAACGATTGATTCAGACCAATATAAATCAAGAGGTACGGTAACTCAGCAACAGTAATCAGTCGCGTATGATTGAACCGGAGTACTCTTAAGTCTTGAGTTGAATCAAGTATACAATTATTACTTTATCAAAATATTTATTTACTTCATCCACATACATAGGTATTATTTATTAAATTACCCGGATAATATAAATTATATTTATCCGTCTATCATAATTCGTATTGGTATTCCAATATTTAATTAATTTGTAATTAATAGATATATCTATATCTATTCGATAGTAGTAATAAGTATCCAATATTATAAACTTGAAAATTGATATTCTACTGCACAATTTAAATAATATTTAATAATAATTGAAATAAACGTTTGTTTTCAGGGCATCTTTTGGGATCGAAAGAATGGTGTGCCAGTGAGTACCCTTCATAAAAATGTTTTAAGTCAAAATATAAAATCTTCTTCTTCTCCTTCTTCTTTCAACCATTTGGGGTCAGCCAACCTAGTCTTTAACTTCCACTTAACCCAACCACCTCTATATCGGTTTTTCTCTTCCCCTCTTTTACCTACATTTTAGAGTCCGAGTGGAGCGAAAAATGTATTGGTTTTACAATGATGTTTATTTATTTATTTTTCTATGAACAACTTTTCTGCTCCAAATTTTGCTCCGATTTTCAAGTGTAGTAGTTTTTCTGACAATAAACTGAGTTGGTCCAAATGGCTTTCATAATAAATGGGAAAAACCGAGAAAAATCGTAAAAAAAAAGGGAAAATTTATGAAATATATTATTTTCAAATTTTAAATATTACGGCTTTTCAAAAAATACATAATCGAATTCCAATCAGAATTATTTTTCGTTTCACACAGATTTACATTAAATTCCCCCTCTACCTTCCAAACTTCTCACCTTCAACAGTGGCCCATCCATCATACAAAGTATGTCCGTTTGATTTACTACTATAAATTCTTACTGTTTCCAATTTCTCTCTTCTTATATGACCTGCCCAAACTATCTCGGTCTTTTTTGTTTAATTTTATCTCTTATAAACCACGCCTATGTTAGTATATCATCTTTTATACTCGTTCCTATTCCTATCTTCTCGCGTTACTTATCCACCTAGACCCAAGGCCGTATTTATGCAGTGGTTTGAGGGGAGAATTGACCATGAGTGCAGGTGGTTTTAAAAGATGGCAATTTTTTTTTTACATTTAAGTGTAAGTTGCTGTACTTACTTGTTTTTATAGAAATAAATAATTTAATACAATTTATTTTCAATAAATCTACTAACAATTCTACAAGACCATTGTCAGAAATGAGTAGATGTTTAAAAGGCGAAAAAAATGGTAACATTTTTTCCATACATTGATGTGGCTCTAAGGATATTCATATATAATTCCGCATCAATCTGATCAATTTAAAAGTGTTTTTACACACTTCTTTTAGATTGTACAGATATAATTCAAGCTTTTGTATCCAAGTAATCAAAAAAATAAAATTGTGATACTCAGAAATTGTTTAAATTAAGTTAATAGTATTATATTTTATTTTTATTTTGTTTTATTATTAATTTTATTTTATGTTTTTCAACATAATAGGAGTATATAATATGTAATATTTATTAAGACGTTTCTTATTTGAGATTTTTTTAGAGTTCAAAGTTCCAAAATTCGCTGCAATATAATATATAGTTACTAATATTTTAGGACTGTTATACTTATACTTGGAAATGGTCTTCGTTATTGATCAATATGTAATCTCCTAAAGTGAAATTTATCCTCTAAGATTCCGAAATTCTGATAGCACTTATTATTATTATTATTATTATTAGAAAGTTAATACGTTTTAATTAGGTATCAACCTTTTGTGATATAAATAAATATTACAATGTTTCTCTTTGATTTAATTTTATAATTACACTAATAAAACGTGCGTGTAATTGAACTATTTCACCAGTTTAGATATTATGTGAACAAATGACATATCTATTTTACATCATAGTGATTTTACGAAAAATGTTCGTGATATTGCAGACTGATTTTCGAATTTTGTGGACCATTAGTTTTTTAATTATCCATAAGCTGTCAAAACCAAGTTGGTAAAATGTTAAAAGTTCGATTTCCATCTATCCGCAAAACCACTATGATGTTAAATAGGTACGTAATTTATTCACATGTCCAAGCTGGTAAAATGGTACTAATGTAACAAATAATTAATATATTTCATTTAAAGTTTATCAAATTTATTTTGTTTTAGTTGTCCATAGGGATTTTGATTATTATGATGATAATTATGATAATGATGATGATTATGATAATGATGATGATGATGATGATGATGGTGATGATGATGATACTAATGATAGTGAAGACTCGAGTGAATTTGGTTAGTACACTCTATAAAGTAATCTTGTCCAAAATTTTTTTTTTGAGGAAATAAATTATTTTAGATTCTGAGTGGAGCGAAGAAGCTTATGGTTTTACAAAGATGTTTATTTTTTTTTATCTATTAACAAATTTTCTACCAGAAAGATTGATCGAGTTTCTGAACGTAACACCTTTTCTGAAAGAAAATCGGTGTACTCTAGGAAGATCATTTTACGATTTTCTCAAAAATTTGAAAAATCGAAAAAAAAAACAGGAAAATATAAAAAATGTAGGTATTAGTTAAAATATATTACGGCCTTCTTTATTTTTGTGCACAACTTTTCTACCAGCAATTTTGCTCCAACTTTTAATGATAGCAATGTTTCTAAAACGAAATTTCACTAAATAGGTACTTTAAACAGATCATTTTTTGATTTTCTCAGGAGATTTCACAGCAAATATGAAAAACCGGGAAAAAACATGGGAAAATTGGGAAAATCGGTTCAACAAATATTATTAAAAAAAATATATAATGCCTATTTAATATTTTACGAGAATATAACATATATATTGTTGATAAAACATCACTATTAACTGAACTCCACTCAGAATCGTTTTTTCGTAAGCAATGGTTTATTGTCTTTTTTATTTTTGATAGTTTAATATTAAAATATCCTAATAGATAAATAAAAGATACCAATTTTTTCAAAAATATACAATGAATTATTAAGAATGATTAACATAAAGTAAGATACTCTCATATAATTTTGGAAAGTGTTAACTTTTTTCAACCAGTAGACAAGATCTTCTATATTCTTCTTATTTTCAGTTAGTACTATTTAAACGCTGAGCGCCACACCGTCACACAAATTATTATTAATAGTTATTAATAGTACATTATTATGCCCTTAAATACATGAATAGAACTTTAAAAGCACTAAAAATGATAAAAATTCACTAAAAATGATAAAATAAAAAAAAATAATAATAATGATGGCAGCATATCTAAATACTATAAATTAAAATACCAGTGCACGTAATACAAATAAAGGGGTTTCTTTATTTAAATGATTAACGTCTTACTAAGTTGCAGCGGACGCTAGTTAAAACAAATGACCATGTGGATATTCAAGACTGTTTCAATTATTCTTGTTATTAAGTATATTTAGAAGTCTATGGTATTGTAAATTGCAATAGCACTAAGCATATAAAAAACAAATTGATAAAAATTAAGTGCACTAATAGCAAATTTTTTAAACGCATAAAATAAACTATATAAATACGTAAATACGTTGTTATAGCCAATATGGGGGGACATGGTCCACTGCCACACCCCTACACTTATGGCTAAGCAACTGCTAGTCAAGTCATATATTTTGTTTTACGTATTTTCTGTTTTTGGGACTAGGTCTATATTGTTATACATAAAATAAAATATCAAATTAAAAATATTTATCTTTTCATTAATTTCAAGATAATTCAATCAATTGCTATTTTTTCATTTCAATTGTTTCTAAAACCGTTAAATTGTAATTTAACAGATGGTAGAAATAATAAAATACCATCATACTTTGTAAATATTATTAAAATATGTTTTATAATTTATTAAATCAAGTTATAAGAATATTTAGGCGTTTACACAATTATTTAAAAATTCATCAATTAAGAAATGCAAAACAAAACAAATCACTTGTTTGCTTGTCATACCGATACGTATTTATATTATACATTTATTGACTATAAATGCCAAATTAAATGAACAAGTTCATTAAATTGTTGAACTGGTAAATAGTTAAGTTTGGTATAAATTAAAGACGTTATACTTATTTATGATAAAAGTTTTGGAGCTTTCCCAAAATTATATACACATGACTTTAGATAATTATATAAAATAAATATCAGCAAATTTTAATGTATTTTACATTAAAATGTATCTTCAACATTTAATACCACCTAATTATTCCTTAACAATATTAAATAATGTTTGTTATAAAAATCAATTCATTAACTTATTGATAATATTATTTTAGAATGTATGGGTAAGTTAACAATCTAAATTTTAATGTTATACAAAATTAGCCAATTAATTCGAATTTACCCACGGTTTATCAAAATCAGTCTTTCCCAAAAATTGTGCCGAGAAATTTTAATAATGTGTTGTAAAAACTTGAACTTTGTTATTGTAGAAAACCATTAATATATAAAATATAACAATAATTATAATAAAAATATAAATAAAAATAATTCAAATATAAACCAATAAGTAGCAAAAGTATATACTTTCCAACATTTAATTTAAATGTATACTTTGTTTTTATATACAGCATCCCTAGAAGAATTTGGTCTTGCAGGCAAGTTATTGTTAATTTATAATAAATATAATTTCTACACGTAAGCCTCCTCTATGTGTAAACGATTTTTAAGATAATACACTATCATAATACTCCAGACGACACATTTATTCCTTTTTTTGTTTTAGGTTCCAAGCGTAGAGAGGGAGCTATTGGTTTTACAATGCTGTATATTTTTTCTTTATTCTAGACTGTGGACATGTTTTTTCCTAGCAAACTTGATCTGATTTTTACGTATAACAACTTTTCTGAAAGCTCAAGTGTTCTAAATTGTACTAGAGGTCATTTTTTGATTTTTAACGCCATTTTTAAAGAACAGCACTTAAGTAGGAAAAAATGTAGGAAAACGTACAATTTCACGATTTCATTATTTTATAAAAACACGGACGAAGTTTTCTACTAAATAAAATTATTTAATCAAAAAATCACATGATACCTTTTTTGTTACCTTTTTGATTTAATTTCTTACGGTAACATTGCCAAAACTTTTTAACCACTTTTGAACTTTTAAGGAATTTTAATTTTTGAGAAATTGTTTGCCATTATTCGGTTATACATATACGTAAAGACTTGAAACTGGGTAATAATATTTATATTGGTCTTACCTAGACGTGATAAAATTTCCAAAATCATCGGACGACTTTTTTTTTATAAGCGTTTTGAAATCAAATTTAAACGAAAATCGCAAAAAACTACAGCTTTTCAAATTATGTATTACCGAACTGCGCTCGGAATCGTCTTTCGTCAAGCAATGGTTTACTGTTGCTTATAAATATAAATGAAATAACCTTATGTATCCTACCTTCCCAACTTCTCACTTACAGCAATGATTGCTCCTATCCCCAGTATCAGCTCTTTTTATATTTATTTACTATATTTATTTACGAGTATTAACCATTTTAATAATTTTGTTTTTACTTCATTATTTTATTATTGATTTTTAAAGGATACAATAAAATAGTAAAAATACATTAGTTTGAGGTTATTAGATTATTTAATCGTTTGTATTCCTTTTATGAACACATTTTTTGGTACCTAAATTAAACTGTATATGTATGCTATATTAGCTGTTATAATTACAAAATATCCATCACATACAATTTTGAAAGCACTCTCTTAACTATTCCTTAAAATAAAACCTACATCTGCAATATTTATATTCTTTTTTTTTTAAATGCAAATTGTTTTATAAAAACTGTTATTTTTCAGACGAATCGGGTTTAACAAATTTTTATAATGCTTACTTAAAGTTCCATATAATGAGTAAGTCATATAAGCATCATAATAGTATAATAAATTAGAAATTAATGATGTAAATTATAATAATTTTTTGATACACTCCTAATATACGAACAATTTGAACTTGCTATACCTATTGGCTACCGCCATAGGCGTGCACACGGGTAAAGCACATACAGCCTTGATTGCATCTGCTTTTTCTGCCATCACATTTAATTTGTTCTATATTAGAGTTTCGGGGATATCCTGCAGTTGTCTTTCCTTTTGACATACCCTCTAATATTATATTATTCAACTCTTCTGGGTGTCTCAAGGCATGCCAAACTATTTTCCAGCGTCTTGCTCTTATCGCATCTATTAGTGTACGTTTTTCTCCCACAGTTCTAAGTACTTCTTCATTTGTTTTCCGCTCTATCCAACTTATCATTTCAATACGCCTCCACATCACTTATTATTCAAGTTTCTCATCCATATGTTGCAAAATTCTGTATATATATTTATAGTCTCTTCTTGATATTGAGATGTAACTTTTTTGAAGTGAGCAACTTCTGTTTTTTACTAAAGGCAGTTTTTGCTAATGCTATGCGTTATTTTAGCTCTCCGACACTCTTACCATGAGATGTGATATTGCTCCCTCACTTGCTCCAATTTTTGACTACCTATGTATACATCAGCTTTTACATTCAGGTCTCTGGCGCAGACTAAGATCTTCGTTTTTGCGCTATTTATTTTCATTTCTGAGGTTCTGAGCATTTCATCCATTTCTTCAACTACACGCTGTATGTCACCTTCACTATCTGCTATTACCAAAGTGTCATCGGCAAATCGTATCATTGAAACAATTTCTCCATCAATTTTTATTCCTATGTTTAGTCTTGTTAGCTTTTCTTTCACTATATTTATAAATTTTTCGATGTAGCAGTTAAAAAGTAGTGGTTATGACGTACACCCTTGTCAGACTTCCTTTTTTTCATTTGAGCGTTAGTAGTGAATTCTCCTTTTTTTAATGCAAGCTGTCTGGTTCTTGTAAAGACTGTGCCTGATTCTTAGGTCTTGTTATTCAACACCTATTTCTCGTAATGTGAACAGCATTTTATCCCAATTAACTTTGTCAAAGACCTTTTCCAGGTCCATAAAGGCCAAATATGTAACTTTATTTCTATCCATCTGTTTTTCAATTAGGATTAAAATCTAAAGTCTTAAAATTGCTTCTCGTTTCCTTTGTTGTCTTCTTAATCCATATTGGCCATTTTGTAAGTACTGATCCACTGTAATTACTTTTCTTTCTATTCTTCGGCTTATTATTTTTATTAGGATTTTTGAGACGTGTGTCAGTAGGCTCAGTGTTCTAAACTGTTCACAGAAAATATATATTGTTGGCAAAATAACATTATTAATTAAACTCCGTTCAAAATCGTTTTTCGTTAGAAATGGTTAATCATTGCGTACAGATATAGGTATATTAACTTTCCCTTCTATTACTTTCCCAACTTCTCACCTACAACAGCGGCCCACCTACGAGCGAAGTATGTCCGTCTTTTTTTTATAATGAACAAAAAGACATTAATGGCAAATTTCAAATGTGGTTTATTGTAAGTTTAGTTGTATGTATGAGACAATGTATAATGTTTGGTAAACAATTATTTAAAATATAGGTTACTTTATTAGAGTTGAGAAAAATTTAAATTAATACTTTTGATTTTATAGTGAGCGAAATACCGTCAAAACTGAAGTGTAAGTGGCTTAATTTGTTTATAATTTGTATGAAGGTTGTGTGATAAGTTCTCCAAAGCTTAGGAGCTTACAAGAACTTATCTTCCTATAAAGATAAGTTTAAATTAATTAATTACTGTACAGTCAAAATTTAATTATTTTTAAACTCTAAACATTATTTGTATCTTCATATCAAAGTGTTTTTTAAGAAATTTACATTTTTAAATTTCTGTACTAATCGAATAATTAATATTTGTTAGCGTTTGCAGCTAGTTACTACAAATATCTCCAGAAAGGAGCCAGTAAATGTATGTACATTATACCTATTATAATGTCTAATTAAAATTAAGGACACCGTATCAAAAAATAACTATTTTGAAACCAGAATCTATATTTTAAAGAAAAGAATTTTAACTGTTTAATTTCAATTCCAATTTATCGCTCCCTTGAAGCTTTTAACTACGTCTCTTTAAATATACAACTGTTATTATTTTAAGATTCGGAACGTAGGGAGGTATCTATTGGTTTTACTATAAGTATTTTTTTTTTGTATCTGTAAACAACTGTTCTACCAGAAATCTTATTCTGATTTATAGAATGTAGCTCCTTTTTTGAAAGGAAATTTTGATGCATTTTTAATTGACATTAAGTGGAGTTTTTCAAAATAATTGGGAAAAACCGGAAATATAATTATAAGTAAAACGACAAATATTTATGGAGCGGCACGGCGCGACGTTGCTGTTTTCATGTTTTTGAATTTTTGTTCACGTTTTCTACCAGAAATATGACTTTAATCAAAAAATATAAAAAGCCAAAAGCCATTTTTTATTGGATAATGGATCTAGTTACGCATGAAAAAAGTCGTTTTTGATGTAGTTTTAATAATTAGGAAAACAAAAGAAATCATTTTGTAATTCAGTTAAAAATATTCGTAGAAACTTGAAATTTGAACGGAAACTTAAATTTGCTATTTCTAGCCGTGGTAAATTTTTCTTAAAATTTGAGCTATTTATGAATTATATGTTGACATTTTAATTTTACGAGTTTTTGCGCAATTTTTATTTAGTATGTACTCTGTGGATACAATTGTTAGACTAAAAAGAAATGTTTGAACATTTAACATCAGGCTCATTATATTATATCGTTATGTAGTATTATTGATTTTTTTTTTTAAAGTTTTAATGACAAATTTTGACGAAAATCGTAAATATTATAGCCTTTCAAAATATGTTGACCGAACTTCGCTCAGAATCGTTTTTCTTTAGCTATAATTTATCGTTGCTTAAAGATATAAATTGAATTACTTTATGAATTCTACTTCCCAATGTTTACACCCACAACAGTAGCACACCCATCTTTAGTTTCAGCTCATTTTTGATTTTTACGTTATCAATACATATTTAATTTGTAATATCAATGCTATAATATAACTAATAATAACAACAATAACCAAGCCCATTGTAACTCGTAAAATATTTTCCACCCTAAAACGAAAATTTTATTTTCGTCTTTTGTGCAATTATTAATTTCAGTTTGCTGTTTCAATTTCTTTAAAATTGTAGCAACCCTATAACAACGCATGGTTTACTTATACTCTAGCGTAGGGCTTGACAATAGCCTATACGTACATGTATAATTATGGATTGTTTTTCCAGTTGAAAATTACGTTTTAAGACCGATGGATTGGTGTTCTTCTTATGGTTAGTAAATAATACAATTTTATTTGGTAAGCTTTTTGAGTAAAATAAAAGAAAAATTAATTTGCAGTGATTAATTGATCAGAACAATATTCATGTTTTTCTTTTCATTATTATTAAATACAATAGTATTGCTATGTAACACAAAAAATAAAAATAAATAAATCATTTGATTTCTATAAACAGAACCCTATTTAAGAATATTATATTGCGAAGTATGTTCGTCTTATTTATTTTACAAACATTTGTATTATTTTCAACTGTATCATATTTTTTCTTACTCGTTTTCCCTTATCATCAGTGTAAGATAAAAATATGTTTGTTGATAATCCATTTGTTTTTTTTCAAAATTCACGATTTCCCAACTTTATCTTAATAGATAATTGTATCGATTACTGATTAAATACAAATTTATAATTCTATCACTAGTGATACTTTAAGTAAATGTTTTGTACTTTAACGAATTTAAACAAAAATAATTTTAAAACTAAATTAATATATCGGGGCCCCTTATGTCAGAAACCAGAGCTGCAGCCTCTATGGCCCCTTCTAAGTAGAGCTCTACCTATGCATAATTCAGTATAAATTTAAGAGTTTTCTTTTGAGATAGATGTATACATTAAATGGGCAAGAATTCCTAAAATAATATTTTAAGAAAGAACGTAAAGCTTCCAAAAGCCGCCCCTAATTTACAACTGACTGACTATGTTTGGTGACTCCTACACAATTTTTCTTGATCGAATCTACAAACAAATCCGAAATATGTCTACATTACGATCATCATTACAGTAGTTGTATCGTATTAGAAACTGAAGATAAGATAATATATAAGTACTCACAAAATAAATCGTCATAGATTTATAACGTTTTAATTAATTTTAGAGTCTATAATAAATGGCGTCGCAGGTAAGTAAAATTAAATTATTATAACTCATCTAATAACCAATATTAAACAATTTAATTCAATCGGTATAAAAATGTTCTAATTTATACTCATAAAATATTTTCTTATGACAGGGGATTCCCATGTTCCCAGCACCCCCACCTACAGTTTTTCGGAAAAACCTTAGGGCGATCGCTTGTACCGAAAGGACAACCATCCATTTTAAAGTGGATGGTGCTAGGGACAAGCTAACACTCATAGATGTTGAGAAAATGATACCATTCAAATGTGTTACGTTTGTACCAGTTTATAAGACAAACTTCATCGTTTGTACCAAAAACGGTAAAATTACAAACGAGTATTGGTGGCTTAAGTTTTGTAAGAAATGACAACTTGTCAATTTGGGAGTTAAATGTATATCTGTAAGCAACAAAAAAACCATTCTGAGCGGAATTCAGTTGATAGTGATGCTTTGTCAACAAATATATATATATATATATATGTCATATTATGGTAAAATAATTAAATAGGCATATATTTTCTTTAATAATATTTATTTAATATTAATCCAATTTTCCCGTTTTTCCTACGTTTTCACATTTCCTAGGAAAACTTTTAGGAAAATTGAAAATGGCCTCTCTAAAATACCCTTTCAATAAAATTTCTTTCCAGAAAAAATACTATCATTGTAAATCGGAGCAAAATTGCTGGTAGAAAAGTTGTTCATAGGGAACAAAAATCGTAATATTTTACTAATATATTTTTAATATATCTTTTACTATATATTTTCCCGGTTTTTTTTTTTGGTCTATCACATTTGACGAAAAAACTCCTGAGAAAATTGAATAGAGCCTATATCATATACATCGGAACAAGATTTCTGGTTGAATTTATGTACACTTTATGGTATAAAAAATAAAAAAAAAAAAGAAACATATTTGTAAAACCAAACTCTACACTCAAAATTAAAATAGTCATTATTCATTAACATAACAGAATATTATTGATAATGTGGGCATGTAGCCACTCTAATCTGACTCTACTCTACTATACTCTTGAATTTTTGAACGAGTGTTCCGTGTTCTAGATTTTAATACTTAGTATTAAACAGTATATTATAGTGTCACTAGCCTATAACTGTTTTATACTTTTGCCGCTTTCAATACAAACAATGCGTTTGCAGTACAAACCGGTACAAACGAACACTTCGGTTTTTTTTGTCCAAAAACTCTAGGTGGGGGTACTATCATGTCCCCAGCATTCCCATTTTAAAATGGCTGTAACATTTTTGTGCTTTCGGTACAAACGATGAAATTTGCAGTTCAAGCCGATACAAACGATCACCACGGGTTTTTTCTGAAAAACTCCAGGTGGGAGTGCTGGAAATATGGACCTATGATAGGTAGTGTAATGTTAACTATATTATATAATATGTATATATGTTTTTAATTTTAGTAAAAATCGAATTGTGAAGCATGTTTGAATCAATCCTGATGTACAATTATGATGCAATAATATTAAATAACTTCGTGATTTTGATTGAATTTATATGTATGTCTTTATTTTTTTTTTTATATAAACAATTACTATTGTAATACTAAAATGTATTACTAAAAAATAAAATAAAAATATATGTCTTAATTATATGTAAAAATGCAAACATATTACATTAAAAATATTGTTGTGTTTGTAATTAAAAAATAGATTGAGTTACATTTATAAATTGTTATTTAAATAAAAATATTAGATATTATTATTACCTATGTGGTTATATTTGATTTCATTTAATCATTATAATCCAGGAATGAAACGTATAATACAGTATTGACATATAATATAAAACATGAATTATAAAGACGTAAACAACTATAGGT